ATTGGAACCTTGTACTCTAGAGCTATGAAAAGGCCAGAGCAAGATATAATTGGTGTGATTAGTATTTAAAGAATATATAAGCCCTGCTACATGGTATATTAAAAGGAAGACTTTCTACTTCATTATATGGATGGCATTTGGAAAGTATTATTTAGGAATATGCTTATGATTTTAATTTAAAATTAGGGTGAAATTGCCGGTTGATGGTCAAACTTGAATCCCAGCATCTGGGGGCCAGGTGAGAGAATTGCTTGAGCTCAGGAGTTTGAGACCAGCCTGAGCAAAGAGCGAGATCCCATCTCTACTAAAAATAGAAAAATTAGCCCAGTGCCTATAGCCCCAGCTATTTGAGGTGAGCAAGGAGAATTACTTGAGCTCAGGAAGGTGTTCTATGATGACACCACTGTACTCTAGGGAGACGACAGAGTGAGACTCTGTTTGGTAAAAAAATTCAGGTGAAATTCACATAATATCAGATATCAAAGGCAGGGCAAATAAAAAATAAAAGGCAGAAAATGTAAAAAAGGAAAAAATATAAACAAAAAGATAAAGAAAAATTCACATAATATAGTCTTTAAAGTGAACATCAATTCAGTAGCATTTAGCATTCATAATGGTGTGCAACCACCACTCTGTCTACTTTTCTAACTTTGAAACATTTTCATCACCAAGAAAGGAAACTATTGAGCAGTTACTCTACATTCCCTCATCCCAGCCTTGTCAACAGCTAATCTGCATTCTGTTGCGCATGGATTTACCTTTCTGGGTATCGGTGGCAGCTTGGATCACAGTTGTGAGGCCCCAGCCCCACAGTCCTTCTCCTGTATTTTGGATTTGTACCCTCCAGTGATATTAATGAAAGAGAGGATACTGAGTCCCAGTTTCTAAATTCGCTTATTTTGGACTCAAAATTCGTAGCTAGATATTTAGGTTCCTTTTACTGTGATCACTCTGGCCTTGAATTTATCCTGTAACTTGATATGTGACCTAACCACCTCCCAGGTTTGGTGACATTCATTGGAGTCTGTAAACCACTTGATACCCACGTAAGTTGCTAACATTTTAAGTCTGAAGTAAAGATTGCTTCTGTGTGTCCTCCCCTAGCGCTTAGGGTCATCCTGGATGGCCATGAAGGGAAGTGTGATGGCCAGCAAGTTTTTAATGCCAGTTCCTTTGGCATTTTTTATTAGGCACTCGGCAAGCACTGCCTGGACATTCACTGAAAAGGACTTCGGACAAGACCTGCTGGTTCTAAGCTAAGAAATGTCTTATTTTTTTGCAGGGAGGAAGCTTTGAAAGACTGGCTTCATTAATAAAAGCGACTCATGTTTGCAATGAGAGCAACTCCAATTACAGTGACCTTAGTGAATGCGTGGCTCGAGATAATACGTAAGTCAAAGCTGCTTGTGATAAGATAGTGTGACTTGGTTGCTGTGACTGCCAACTATAGTTAGCATGTAGAGCTTGACCAGTAGGTCATCTTCTTTGTCATGGCATAACTGGACAGTGTCTAGGCAGAAGCTCTTTACAACTCTCTTATTCATGATGGGTTTTTGTTTTTAAGAGGGAAATTTACATGAGTTCAATTGCCCAGTCATTTATTGAGCCAACAATCTTGTAAAAGAAAGTCAGGCTGGGAATGCTCAGAACTTTAAATCCCTTGCTTGGGAGGCTGAGTGGGAAGAGGCTTGAGCCAGGAGTTGGTCACTAGCCTGGCAACATAGCAAGATCCCTTCTCTAAAACAAGTTTTAAAACTTAGCTGGTATAGTGGTGTGTGCCTGTAGTCTTAGCCACTCAGGAAGCTGATGTGGGAGGATCGCTTGAGCCCAGGAGTTCTGCAGTGAGTATGATGGAGCCACTGCCCTCCCACCTGGGAGACAGAGCAAGATCATAGCTCTAAAAAAAATAAAGACTAAAAAAAAAAAAAATAAAAACTAAGACTTTTAGTACACTTCAGTTTGAATTGTATTTTTGATTGCCAGAATACAGGCATTTGAGAATTGACTTTTAGTTTATAAAATTTAACTTAAAGAAAAGAAAGTGATTGAAACATCATGCTAAGTGAAAGAAACCAGACACAAAAGACCATATATTGTTGCTTGTTTAGCAGTAAATACAACTCAAATGGAACAATACAGGGAAGATTAGCATGGCCCTGCGCGCAAGGATGACATGCAAATTTATGAATGTTCCATATTTAAGATGAATAAAATAAAAAGAAACAAAAAGACCACATGTCGTATGACTCCATTTATGTGCAATGTCCAATGTGGGTGAATGCATACAGGCAGAAAGGGATTAGTGGGTGTCAGGGGCTGTAGGAATTGGAAGAAAATGGGGAGCAACTGTCATGGATGTTTCTGGGTTTCTGGGTTCTGTTTCATGGGTTTCTTTATGGGGTGATAAAATGTTCTGAAATTGAATCGGGTGATGTTTACACAACTCTGTGAATATATCAAAACTACCCAATTATATACTTTAAATGGGTGGAATGCATGGTGTGTGAATTGTATCTCAAAGCTGTAAGAAAGAAAGAAATTAAGGTACAACAGATTTAATAGTAGCATGGATCACAGAGGCCAGATGAAAATAGTTGACAGTCCAGTGCTTTGGCCCAAGCCTGGTTGGTAGGCGGATCATGCACAAAGTTGGGTGAGGTTGGGGGACAAATAAGCCACATGCACATAGTAAAAGTGAAACAGACTTAGCTTGCACCAACGTTCCTGATTTATCTCCAAATCTAAAATGTTCATGTGTAGTTGTTGAGATCCAGCTCATTAGGTTCTAAGGAGAATCCTAAGGTCACAGTGAGTTTTGCAGAGCTAGAGTGAAAACCCAGGTTCCAGCTCTTTTTTCTCTTTCCAGGTAGCAAGTCAGGTATCTTTCTGATTTCTGGGGATGCTTGCGGTATAAATGTGCTGAATAGAAAGCTCTCTTCTATTGGCTAATTAACGGAATTGGCCTTAGGCCAGAAGAGCTCAGTAATCTCTCCTCTGCTTTCCTGAGAGCCCCTGTCCCTGCTGCAAATGCTGCTGTGCCCCTCACTTCAGTCTGGATTCTTTTTGTTTTTTTTTTTTTTGAGACAGAGTCTGCTTTCTTGCCTAGGCTAGAGTGAGTGCCATGGCGTCAGCCTAGCTCACAGCAACCTCAAACTCCTGGGCTAAGCAATCCTCCTGCCTCAGCCTCCGAGTAGCCGGGATACAGGCACAAGCCACCATGCCCGCTGATTTTTTTTATATTATATATATTAGTTGGCCAATTAATTCTTTCTATTTTTTTTTATGGTAGAGACGAGGTCTCGCTCAGGCTGGTTTTGAACTCCTGACTTTGAGCAATCCGCCCGCTTCGGCCTCCCAGAGGCTAGGATTACAGCGTGAGCCACCGCGCCGCCTTCAGCGTGATTCTGCCTCTCCCTTTTCCATCCGCTCTGAGGTCACGTTGGCTCAGCAGACTGGAATTCACACAGGACCATCCAGACACATGCCCGCACTGTCTCCACCCCTGTGATGGGGATCACAATGATGAGACCCCCTATCCCCCTTGGATGTTCATGGATCGAGTGACAGGCCCACTCTTTGACTCAGGGAAGAATCCTGTTGCCGTGGGTTCTCAGGCTGCCCTTTTGCCAATCCAGCCATGCCCAAGACACTGGGCCCAGAGTTGGAGCCTTCTTTGCAAACAGAACCCAGAGGTCAGGCTTGTTGAGCCCTGGCCTCTGCCCCCAGGCCAGCTAGGTGCCTAGGGATGACCAGGAGTGACCCCTTAGGGTGGAGGAAGGATGAGTCAAAGCACTTGACTAGGAAACAGTATGGAAAATTTCCAGACAGAGAGCCCAGGTTGGTTAGGTGCAACATCAGAGAAGTGATAACATTTTGTTCCCTTCAAGGTGAAAGAGGTTAGCTTGCATGTCATGTCTGTGCCAAAAAGCAGCCCTGATCCTGGTTAATAAACAGAAGAGAAGTGATGTTGACACGTGTATGAGGAAATTAGATGTCGTGAAGAAATTGTCACTGACCTTCAGAATCCCTGAAGGAGCAAAGAAACCCCCTCCAGAATTGTGACAGACCTGTCCCTACCTCTTGTCATTGACTTTGCTGGTTTTTCCCCTAAGTGCCAGTTTTCAAGATGCATGAAAATTAATTTCTCATTCAATTTTTTTTTTTTTTTTTGAGACAGAGTCTCACTTTGTTTCCCAGGCTAGAGTGAGTGCCGGTCGTCAGCCTGGCTCACAGCAACCTCAATCTCCGGGCTCAGCGATCCTACTGCCTTAGCCTCCCGAGTAGCTGGACATACAGGCATGCGCCACCATGCCCGGCTAATTTTTGTATATATATTTTTAGTTGGTCAATTAATTTATTTCTATTTTTGTAGAGATGGTCTCGCTCAGGCTGGTTTTGAACTCCTGACCTTGAGCAATCCGCCGCCTCGGCCTCCCAAAGTGCTAGGATTACAGGCGTGAGCCACCACGCCCGGCCTTCATTCAATTTTATTCTCTTTCAGTTGTATTACTGCTTGGCAACACATTAGGAAATTACTTTTTAGCCATCTAATCCATACTAATTGAAGTTGTTAGTATGGATTTTAAATGTCTTATACTGCTTTTACTAGAATTGTGATTTCATGGGATAACTTTTGGGATTTTACTGCAATTATATATTTTCTGTTAAAAGGCTGGGTGGATTTCAGTGGGGAGTTTGGGAACTGAATCATGATTTATGGTTTTATTATATGGATCAGGGCTTTTAAAATTCCTAGTGTGATTTAACACACAAGGAAACATCTTAACTACAACTTTGGTTAATTAGCACCGCCTATATACCTCGTAGGCTTCAGGAGGGTAACACAGTTATGGAGTGACAAGCAGCCACAACCTATGGGAGATTAAAGTCTCATTAATGTGCTTTCTAATATTATTTCCTATTTGGGGGGTGTCATGCCATCGTAGGAAAACTGTCATTAAATTATTTTTTCAAAAATGCGTAACTTAACATTTCTAAAGATGTAGAGGCCCCTGACACGGGGGCAGACCTGCCTGTCAGCAGCGCCAACGGCATCTGCCCGGATGTTCCTGCTCAGCTGCATATCCGCATCCTCATCTCGGATGCTGGCTTGGTGGAAGGGATTACTCAGCAGGAGATACTTGGAGTAGAGACAAGGTATGATCACATCTTGGAAAAGTGTAGCTTAGAGAGTGTCGGTAAAGTTGAGGGTGGGCCAAAGAAGAGGGAAATGCTAATTTAGATTCTGATTGTTTATTTTCAAATTGCAATTATTAGCATTATGCTTATATGTATACATGAAATGTATATAAACTATGTTTATAATGGAAACTTATTCTCATAAGTAGTTGTGAAGCTTCGAGTAAGTCATTCGATAGGGTATTTTAGGAAGCACGAAGGTGAATAGAGGGCTAGTTAGCACTGAGCATATATTGAAACTCATGGATGTGAATGGCATGCTGATCAGAGACTATCATGCAGTGGTTGGAGACATTGGCAGCAGACAGGCAGGTTCAAATCATGTCTCTCCCTCTTATGAGCTGTGTGACATTGGGCAATTACTTGATCTCTGAGCTGCAGTTTCATCATCTGTAAAATGGTGATAATACATTTATGTACCATGCCTCTATCAGTTTTAAGTGACAGGGTCCCAGTTCATACTGACTTAAGCAAAAAGGGGAGTTTATTGGTTCAAGTTCAGAAAAATTCACATACAGCTAGTTCATTGTTCATCATTCTGATGGGGTCAGGAATCTTTTTTTCTTCCTCTCTTAGCTCCCCTTCCCTTTGGGTTGGCTTAATTCTTAAGGAGGTTCTCCTCAAGAGATGGCAAAGATGAACACCAGTAATTCCAAGCTTCTATCACTTTACTAAATCCAGTGGGGAGAGAGCACCTCTTTCCTCATCTTTCTCAAAAAGGATCTGGGGGCCGGGCGCGGTGGCTCACGCCTGTAATCCTAGCACTCTGGGAGGCTGAGGTGGGAGGATCGCTCAAGGTCAGGAGTTCAAGACCAGCCTGCAAGAGCGAGACCCCATCTCTACTAGAAAGAGAAAGAAATTAATTGGCCAACTAATATATATAGAAAAAATTGGCTGGGCATGGTGGCGCATGCCTGTAGTCCCAGCTACTCAGGAGGCTGAGGCAGGAGGATTGCTTGAGCCCAGGAGTTTGAGGTTGCTGTGAGCGAGGCTGATGCCACCGCACTCACTCTAGCCTGGGCAAAAAAAAAAAAAAAAAAGGATCTGGGCAGAATTTTTATTGGTTCACTTTGGGTCATGTGCTCCTTTCTGAACCAATCACTATGGCCAGTTCAGTAGACAACTCTCATTGGCTAGGCTCAGGTGATGGGCCCACCCCTAGATTCAGGCTAGTCCCTGTGGTCCACTGAACTGAGAGTGGGAAGTGATGGTTCCCCAGTGGAAAATTGGGGTGCAATTACCAGAAGACAGGAGAGGGTATGCTGGGTAGGCAGAAATAACAGACGTTGACCACCAAACTCACCTCAGTAGTAGTGTTTGCAGGCTTCCACAAGATGGCGTGTATAAAGGCTAATACCTTAGTTCTGAGCCTACAACATGGAAAGCCCTCAGTAAATGGTTAACCATTGTTTTTATTATTATTAGATTGTTTAAGACAAAAAAGTGATGGAACAAACCACCTTTAATAGCACCTGATTGGCAACATACTGGCAATTGTAGCTAGGTAGTAGGTCCAGGAGGGTTTATTGTACAATATTCTTCTCTCTTCTTGTGTCTATATGTGAAAATTAACATAATACAAAGAATAAAAAAGCACAAATAGAATTTAAAACTTCTAAAGAGAACAACAGTTTATATCCTCATTGTATCTGTTACCTGATGATCTTAGTAAAATAGGAGTGAAGGGTGGCTGTGTAGCTTGATTGTCTTTTCCTCCTAGGTTCTCCACCGTGAACTGGCAGTACCAGTGTGGCCTTGCCTGTGAGAATAAGAGTGACCTTTTCCCTATTGGAGCATCAGTCCAGTTTATTAACGTACCTGCACAGTTGCCCCAACCCCTGACAAGGTAATCCTGTTGCTGCCTTAGTTGACATTATTAGGAAGCAGAAAAATGTATATTAGAAAATAGAAAATTTATTCCTTTAGTCAAGTTTTGATACTTTTCACTTTTTTGTAACCTTCTAAAATGTTTTGCAGATTCCAGATCAATTTTACGGAGTATGACTGTAACAGAAATGAGGTGTGTTGGCCTCAACTTCTCTATCCATTGACCCAGTATTATCAAGGTAGGGTAAGACAGATTTCTGTTATCAATTATTTTATGCCATTTAAAAACATTTTTTTTAAATGTATAAATATCACAGAAAACTTAAAACATAGAGAAAAGTTTTTTTTTTTTCCCATCACAGAGAAGAAAAGTTTTAAAAAGAAAAAAAATTTACTTAAAATACTGCCATTTAGAAATTGTCACTATTAATATTTTTGGCTTTATTCTACCTACATAGCTACAAAAAGAGTTAAGAAATAATGTTGCTTAATTTTATTCATTGTTTTCCAGGTGAACCTTATCCTCAGCGTGTTGCCAAGGGCTTACTGTTGGTATCGTCTCTCATGCTGGCTGTGCTCCTCAGCAAGCCCTGGACCAGAATGTTCCAAGCTTGGAGTCTGACTACCACCTGACTTCTTAAAGACTATAGACCCTTACTTCTGTGATTTGTTATAGTGCTATGTGCCTCTTTGTAAAATTTTAATAAATAAAAGGTTTTTCTTTTTTTTTCTTTTGTTTGTTTTTGTTTTGAGACAGGGTCTCACTCTGTCTCCTGGACTAGAGTGCAGTGGCCTCATCATAGCTCACTGCAACGCAAACTCCTGGGCTCAAGCAATCCTCCTGCCTCAGCCTCCCAAGTAGCTGGGACTATAGGCGAGAGAGCCACTACACTCAGCTAATTATTTCTATTTTTAGTAGAGATGGGGTCTTGCTCTTGCTCAGGCTGGTCTTGAACTCCTGACCTCAAGTGATCTTCCTGCCTTGGCCTCCCAGAGGGCTAGGATTATAGGTGTGAGTCACCATGCCCTGCTGAAAATTTTTATTTTTGTAGACAATTTTTATTAAGTGGTCTGAGTTTAATTCATATATGTAGCTATCCAGATCTGTAAAACAATGCATAACGAACACTTTTTTTTTCTTGTTTTGTTTTTTTAGAGTGAACATTCTTATCACTGTACTGGATTGAGTAAAATGCATGAGAGGATCAACTAGGTAAATAAATGTAAAAAATTTTAGCTTCTCACAAATTACTAAAATCATAGGAGTTTTATTTATACCAGAAAGAGCCAATCTTTAATTTTGTATATATTTGGGTTGATTGATTAGTTTCCTGTAATTCAAGAAAGGATTAAGAAATGCATAAAGCCTTAAGAATGCATACAGCACAAAAGCACACAATAATTGATAAGGAAAGAGGTGAGGATTGGGAGAGGGAAAATAATATAGGGAGGAAGGTACATCAAAGCCAGGGGCACATGTAGCCTCTGAAAACATATGCCAAGACTGCATTTAACATAGGCAGACCCTGAATTTAGTGCCCGATGTCACAGCACCACATAAGATGTGTTGTTGCATCTTTACTGCAGAGTTCTTGTCCAGGAGGCTTCAAATCTTCCTTCCACTCTTAAGTCCACTTTTAAATAGGGGGATAAACCAATCAGGCACAGGTCATAACTGTCTACTAGATAGAAACCCTAGTTTCCTGCTCAGTTTTCAGCATCTGTTCTGTTAGATAGTGGTGGGCCTCCTCCCAACCCCAAGGTAGGGCTGATTTAGGAGTCTGGGTCAATCCTGAACTGAGGGGTTGGGGTGTGGGTCAATTTTTGTCCAAACTGCAATCATTTGAATTCACCTTCATAATTCTTTCTTTTTTTTTTTTTAGACAGAGTTTTACTTTGTTGCCCAGGCTAGAGTGAGTGCCATGGCGTCAGCCTAGCTCACAGCAACCTCAATCTCCTGGGTTCAAGCGATCCTGCTGCTTCAGCCTCCCAAGTAGCTGGGACTACAGGCATGTGCCACCATGCCCGGCTAATTTTTTCTCTATATGTTTTTAGTTGGTCAATTAATTTCTTTCTATTTTTAGTAGAGACGAGGTCTCGCTCAGGGTGGTTTTGAACTCCTGACCTCAAGCAATCCGCCCGCCTCGGCCTCCCAGAGTGCTAGGATTACAGGCGTGAGCCACCACGGCCAGCATAATTCTTTCTTATTATTTAAAATTCTTCTTCTTTTTTTTTGTAGAGACAGGGTCTCACTGTGTTGCTCAGGCTGGTCCTGAACTCCTGGCCTCAAGGAATCCTCCCACCTTCACCTCCCAAAGTGCTGGGATTACAGGTATGAGCCACCACGTCTGGCCTCACCTTCACAATTCTTACTGTATCTTAGCATCACCTATACTGTTGTTTAAACTTTTCTTTAAATAAAAGTACCAATAATACCAATTATACCAACCAATAATATTTATGACACCATGTGTCATAAATGTTGTATCTTTCCTAATAAATATTAAACATGTAACAACAGATTTTTTTTCCCTTTCAAGTAGCACTCTGTGTTTCATCGGAGGAAACACTGGCGTCCTCCCTCTTCTACATTTCTTTCTCTGATTTGGGTCTCTGTAGGTTGAAGCTATTATATCCTATAGAAAGAGATGGAAGTTGTCTTTTGTCAAAGAAAAGGAAATACCCACTGATTAACTGCAGTCATTCAGAAAGTCTTTCAATGGCAGTTAATGTAACTAGCTTTGGATTTAAGATATTTATGGAAAATTAACTTAAAATTTCCAAGTGACAGGTAATTTAGCCTGTATTTGTGGGCTTTGTTAGAATGCCTTTTGTACTTAAGAGAGGGAAAAACTCACTTTGGCAGGAGAATGGAATCTGGGGTGCCTACCATATGGTTTTAACTTTCTAAGTGTATAAAGTCATGTATGCATTCAAGAACTCGTACTGAGTGGCATGCTACGTGCAGGGCCCTGGGGGGCCCACAGTGCCGGAGACCATGTCCCTGCTCTGGCAGAGCTTACATTCTAGTGGGAAGGCCGGCACTAAGCACCCAGACTAGGTTTCAGATGGTGGCAGGTGCTGTGAAGGAAAGAAATCGGTGGGTAGGGAGGTCGGGCAGCCTCTCTAGGGAGACCCGCAGGAGCCGGCTTGGGGAGGTAGGCCGGGGAAGGTGCTCCGGGCAGACGCCAGGTGTACGCCAGTTGCGCACCAGGTGCTGGGCAGGCCGTCGACGGGACGTGTCTGCAGGTGGCGACTGTCGAGACAATGTCGTTCGGTGGTCGCCAGGTCGGTGGGAAGGGAAGACTGCATCCGTGCAGGGGGACTCTTTCTGGGGTCGATGGGGAATGTTGGAAATGGGGTTGTGGTGATGGCTGCCCACTCTGTAACTTCACTGAGAATCACGCAACTGTGCACCTGCAACGAGTGAACTCCTCGGCTTGTGGACTCGGGAAGGCGCCTCTTCAACAGCTGCAGCAAGCCCAGCGAGCGGCTTTCCCCGCGGGCTCCGGCTGAGCACGGGCCGCGGCAGCCCTGTCCGCCGGGTTTGCGCCGGTTGGCCCGGCCGCCGCGGCACGATACCGCAATCCCGCGCATCCATTGGTCGGCCGGCAGGGGGCGGGGCGCGGGGGCGGAACCGGAACCGGCCGCAGCTCGGGGGCGGGGCTTCGCTGGCGGCAGCTGCGGTCCGGGCGGCGGCGGCCGAGGTGGCAGGACCCCGGACAGCCGCTGCAGCTCGGCTCCCCATGGTGCGGGGCCGCGGCCAGGCCGCTGGAGGAGCCCGAGGCCTGGGCCGCCCCGGCTGACTGCGCGGGCCCGCGCGGCTCGGCGCGCCGCTCCCGTCGAGCCCCTCCGCGGCGCGGGCCGGCCCGCAATGGGGTCGCTGTTCCGGAGCGAGACCATGTGCCTGGCGCAGCTCTTCCTGCAGTCGGGCACAGCCTACGAGTGCCTCAGCGCCCTGGGCGAGAAGGGCCTGGTCCAGTTCCGAGACGTGAGTGTCTCCCGGGAGACGGGCCCGCACCTGCCCGCCCGCCGGCCGCTCTCACGTCCCGCCGGCGCTCGGGCCTTCCTGCCGCGAGCGCCCGGGGAGGGGTGCGCCCCTGCCCCCGTTTCCCAGGCGGAGAAGCCGAGGCCTCAGCTTACCGGACCGAGCTTCCGTCCAGCGGGGGCTGGCCCTGGGTCGCCGGACGTCTGGTCCGCGGCAGCCCTGCCCGGGCTAGTTGGGATCGCCTGTGTGTGGTGGTCATCAGCTTGGGGTGGTGCGCATCAAATGCCTGAGAGGACAGATCCGATAAAGGCCTTTCGTTGTCCTTTTGGAATCCTTACGGGGCTGGGGGGAGGACATTAAGCAGATAAATACGTAAACCAGAAAATGTTTGCTGTAAAGAAAATAAAGCGGTGTGGTATGATGGTGATTTGGTGGGAGGTGCTTTTGAAGTGGTGGTCAAGGAAAGCCTCTCTGAGGAGGTGACATTTCGGCCGAGACCCGCGTGGGAAGGTGCTGGCTTTGGGAAGATCTGGGGAAAGAGGGTCCGTGGTGGAGGGAACAGGAAGAGCATAGACAGAAGCTGAACTGGGAGTGAGCTGGGGGTAAACTCCTTGAGGAGAGGTGTTTTCATCAGTTTTCTTCACTGGTGTGTAATGATGGACATACCATCGTGTAAGGACTAGAAGCACAGTCATTATTTGTTGAACGGGAGCTGTCTCCCCAACATGTGTTAAGAAACATTCGGGTCTGTATCCATTTACTTGTTTATTGTTTGTCTCCACCATGGACTGTCAACCTTGCAGGGCGAGGACCTTGCCTGACTTGTTCACTCCTGATTCCCCTGGACTTATCACCGTGCCTGGCATTTCTTGGCATTAAATAGGCATTTGTCGAATGAATGAACAAGGTTTTATTGAGTGCCTGCTATGTTCAGGCATTGTTTTTGGTGCATGGGGACTCAGTGGTGAGTGAGGACAAGTCCCTGTGTTCCTGGAGCTCACAGTCTGGGAGGAGACAGAGTAAACACTGATTTTGAGTTGAGATAAGTGCTCTGAAGGAAAAGAACAGGGTGTAAATGGGAGACTATTAAGCAGGACCTAATATTTATTGAATGGAAATTTACTCAGGCTAACATTTTATTTCCTGGCCACCACTTTCATTTCTTGGCTGTTCCCCCTTATCTTTCTGAGGGATCCTTAATTCCAAAAGGGAACAGCCCTAGCCCAGATATGACATCCGGGATGTTTGGGTTGGCCCCTTGAGGCGCCTGCAAAGTCGTGGAGAAACAGGTACAGGTCAGGTGCAGCGCCCTTCCTGGTTCCTGGAGCTGCTTGGGTTTCAGCCTATGGCACCCACTCAACAGGCAGGCACTGCGTGGACCCCTGAGGAGCACCCAAAAGACATGGGCAACAGACGCAAGTGAAACAGGCTCCTTTCTTTGTACAGGTGTATTTGTTCCATTCTGTTGGTACTCAAGCCAAGATACTTATCACACTTCAGTCGCAGATTTGAGCCAATGCTCTAATCACCACAGAGATTCAAGTTTCATTAAGTGCCATTACATTAGGTTGTAGAGTATACTTAGGATCCTTTCTAACTAAAAGCCAGTGAAAAAAAATAAAGTGCTGTCCATTTTTTTCCAGAAGGAAAATAAAACTAAGACTTTCTGTCAGCATCCTAGGTGCTAGTGCAGAAAACATTGTCACATCTGATGCTTCTGCTGTTTTCTGGAGTTACTGACTTTGCAGACATTGGTCTTTTCTGGTTCATTAGGGCTTTTGTTTTAGTAATCTTTGCCAGGGAAAAGGGGCAGGGTGAGGATTTTCGTGGTGACAGCCAGTGAAAAGACTTGGAAAAGAAAGGTCATTCAGCTAACCATTAGAACTCAGTGCAGGAAAGGTCCTCTCACTTTTGTAACAGTTCTCAGACTAAGAACAGGTTTCCTGTGTAGTCCTTTAGCTGAAGTGGGAGAATGAGAGGTGTGAATATCATTGCAAACAGCACCAGGTTTCCTCTGTCCACGTTTTTCTAGGTTAAACAAGTCTTAAAATGAATCTGCCTTAAAATGTACTTTATACCATTAGCCTTGATCTAGGGTGTCTTTGCTACCCTAAAAAGAAAGCAAAACCTAAATTTTATAAAAGGAACCATGCAACAGAAAAAAAAAAAAAACCCAAACCAGTTAAAGTATATAAGCCTAGTGATGGTGGTATGTCAAATTCATTTATATTTGTAGCAAAATTGCTGCTGAAATTTACCTCCTTATAAAGAGTCTACTATTTATAGAACCATTGTTGTGCAGTTAAAGTTAAGTAGTGTTTGATACTGAAGGAAACAAAATTGAAATTGAGAAGTAGTGTCCACGGTTGACAGGATTTGACGCAGAGCTTTGTTTCCAAGTTCTCAGTTCTATGGAACTAGATCGTGTCTGAATCATTAGGAGATTAGAAGTGGTTACTTTAGAGTAGTATGACCTCTAGAAATAGATGAGGTGACAAACAAGTGAAATTTAAATTTTTATCGTTTTTTCTGCTTAATACTCTTTTTTTTTTTTTTTGAGACAGAGTCTCGCTTTGTTGCTCAGGCTAGAGTGAGTGCCGTGGCGTCAGCCTATCTCACAGCAGCCTCAAACTCCTGAGTTCAAGCAATCCTGCTGCCTCAGCCTCCCTAGTAGCTGGGACTACAGGCATGCGCCACCATGCCCAGCTAATTTTTTTCTCTATATATTAATTGGCCAATTAATTTCTTTCTATTTATAGTAGAGACAGGGGTCTCACTCTTGCTCAGGCTGGTTTTGAACTCCTGACCTTGAGCAATCCACCTGCCTTGGCCTCCCAGAGTGCTAGGATTACAGTTGTGAACCACCACGCCTGGCCTCTGCTTAATTCTTAAAAAAAAAATTGAAAAACTGAACAGGAACTGAGCCATTTGGTGTAGACACTTCTCAGGTTGAGCAGTTTCATATCAAGTTGTGTCTTAACTGTTTTTTAAGAGTGCCCAGTACCAATGCTGGGTGGAATAAAAGATAAACTTCTTATCCTGAATGGCTTTCAACATGAATGATTACTGTAAATTTTTAAAATTGTACAGGTAATATATTGCCCTGTGGGAAATTCTATACCTAGAAATAAACATTTTAACTTTTTGATTAATATTGAACATTTTTCTGATAATATCGTAAAACGTGCATATATGTGTGTTTTTGTATAATTGGAATCCCATTGAAAATATTTTTTTTCCTTTATTTTCATCATCTGGGAACTTGTTAGACACATTGAAAATATCTTAATCTGCTTTTCACACAAATTGTGACTAATTTCCTAATTTTATTAAATATATTTTTATGATTTTTTAGTGTTTTCTGCCTTTTAAAAAATTTATTTATTTATTTATTTTTGAGACAGAATCTCACTCTATTGCCCTAGATTCCCTTAGGGAAAAAGTACAGATACAGACAAAAATATATCTATAAGAACATCAACCTCAGAGAAAGAAGAAAAATGATAACCCCCAAATCCAACAACAGAAAATTGGTTAAATAAATTATACTCTATATCCCTCCAATGGAATACTACTCAGCAATAAAAAGGAACTCCTGATACAAGAAACCACATGGGTGACATTTGGAAACATTATACCAAAGGCAAGAAGCCAGACACAAGAGGCCACATAGTGTAGGGTTCTTTATATGGAATCTCCAGAAAAGGCAAATCGAGAGAAAGTACATGAGTGGGGCCGTAGGCAGGAATGAGGGTTACCTAAAATGAGCATAAGAAATCTTTTCTGGGGGGACGGAATATTCTAAAACTGGATTTGATGATGGTTGCATGACTTGATAAACTTTCTAAAAATCATTAAATTGTATACTTGAGCCAGGCACTGTGGCTCACGACTGTAATCCCAACAACTCTGGAGTCTGAGGCAGGAGGATCACTTGAGCCCAGGAGTTTGAGACCAGCCTGGGCAACATATCTAGACTCTGTCTCTAAAGAAGTACAAAAAAATTAGCTGGGTGTAGTGGCACCTGCCTATAGTCCCAGTGAGCTATGATCGAGTCACTGCACTCCAGCTTGGGGTACAGAGTGAGACCTCATCTCTAAAAAATAAATAAATTGTGTACTTGAGTGGGTGAATTGTATGATATGCCTCAATAAAGATGGATAAAAATTATGGTCAGCCTCCCAAGTAGCTGGGACTACAGGCTCAGGCCACCACGCTTGGCTAATTTTTCTTTTTAGTAAAGTCAGAGTCTCGCTCTTGCTCAGGCTGGTCTTGCACTCTTGAGCTCAAGCAGTCTTCCCACCTTGGCCTCCCAGAATGTTAGGATTACAGGTGTGAGCTATCACACCCAGCCAAATTTATTTTTTAAATAAAAAATATTTTTAAATTTTAGAAATTTAAAGCCAATTTTTCATCCTCTTTTCAGCTCAACCAGAATATAAGTTCTTTCCAAAGAAAATTTGTCGGTGAGGTGAAGAGGTGTGAAGAACTAGAGCGGATATTGGGTAAGTTTATTTTCCATTTTAATAACTTAATATTTATTTATTTATTTATTTACTTACTTATGCTGTCACCCAGGCTGGAGTGCAGTGGTGCAATCATACCTCACTGTAGCCTCAAACTACTGGGCTCAAGTGATCTTCCTGCCTCAGCCTCCTGAGAAGCTGGGACTAGAGGCTCATACCACCATGCCTGAATAATTTTTTTTTAAAGTTCCTGTAGCGACAGGATCTCACTATGTTGCTCTGGCTTGTCCTGAACTCCTGCCTGGCCTTAAGCGATCTTCCCGCCTCAGACTCCCAAGGTACTGGGATAGCGGGTGTGAGCCACAGAACCTGGCCCATTACTGTTTTTAATGCCCGTATAATATTTTATTGTATTAATGTGCCATGGATTTTTTTTTAAAGCAGTCCCTTGTAGTTTATTATAACTTAAAAATGTTCCATACATGTTAATATATTACTTAATTTAAAATTATATCAAGGGACAAGGGAAGCAGGAAATGGCAGATAGATTGATCAATAATAATTTCCTTTTTCTCAGGCCTTCCTTTTGCCAACATGTAAGCTCGGTGCTCTCTGATGGTTAACCATTAAAACTCAGTAGCTCAAGGCTACTTCCTTTATTTCTGAAATCTTTAAGTTTAGTTATTATCAAGTCAAGCCTTGAAGTTCTGATTGAAATGAAAGGGAAAATGACAGACAACAAACTGAAGTTCAAAATTTGTTCTTATAAGGTGAAACGATGGGGAGGAAGACTGTTACTTGGAATGATTTCTAATAGCTGATCATTATTATGGATTTTATTTTTAAATTGAGGATTTTTAAAATTAACAGAAACTTCTAGTCATCTGAAATCTGTTCCTGTTCATATTGCTTGAGGTCCTAGTTATTTGTGTGGCTTGAGACATGCCTGTGTTTGCAATCTGTGTGAGTCATTGGATAGATCGTGTACTTGGAATGAGGTTTTTAAAGGCAGGGCAAAAGTGATAGCACAGTAGACACGTCCAGGACTTCCTGTAGTTTAAATTGCTTCAAAAAGAATGCAGACTTGAAACAATACACCAGGAACTCTCAAGTAAATTTAGGTGTAAGGTGGGCATGGGGGTGAGCACCTGTAATCCCAGCTGCTTGGGAGGCTGAGGTAGGCTTGAGACCAGGAGTTCAAGACTAGTCCGGGCCACGTAATGAGACTTTTTCTCTTAAAAAAAAAGATAGAGAATAACTTTAGGTACAAATTGGTTAAAACAGTTTGCATCCATTTCTAGAAACCTCTTAAACCCAGTGCTTCCTTTGCTATCTTGTTCGTAAGACAGTTGCTTTTCTTTTTCTTTTCCTTCCCTTCTTTTTTCCTCCCCTTCCTCCCCCTCTCCCTCTTAAAAATAGACTAGTAACTCTTTTCTGATATATTATGTCTGATAATGACCACCAGATATTGTGACTTTTATCCTAAAGAAAAGGTTGTTTCATGGAATTGAAAATATAAATTAAAGAAAGTGAGTCATTTTGGTTTGTACTATTGATTTTGTGAATATAGTCTTTATCTTAAGTAGTGAAGCAGTGTGAGCAGTTGTCCTAAGTTACAGCATCCGGCCAGCTGGGGAGTTGCAGGGAGCCTGGCTTCCACTCTGGGTGCTCATGCTGGAAGAATTGTGATTTTCTTAATGGACACCCACCTCTTCCTAAGAGCGTCTGCAGAGAAAGTCAAGTTGCCGGATTTTGTGGGGACTATTGTACGTCTATCACTTGGGTTATTTCTGCACTTCCAAGTGTGCCCCTGACCTCTGCTTCATTCTACAGATACAGAGACAGTTGTGATGTAGAAGTTCTTTAACTAAAATTTTAGAAATGAAAAAAATGGGGGGGGGGATTTCAGAAAGTGTGTCTCTAGCTTGTTGTTTATTTTGTCACTGCATGCCAGTATCTCCAGGCAGCATTCTTTTGTAGATCTTTGGAAACAAGTTTGCCAAAAGGGACCTGTAAGTGCATTGGAACAAGAAAGAATTTTGTGCATTCAGACAGGACAGGTAGGGATTTAAAATGTTTTGACTGATATGTGTCACAGTAAATTTTTATATCTAATTTGTTTAACTTTTATTTTCACAGTTTATTTAGTGCAGGAAATTAACAGAGCTGATATTCCCCTTCCTGAGGGAGAGACCAGTCCTCCTGCACCGCCTCTTAAACAGGTTCTAGAAATGCAGGTAACTTGCTTCTGAAGAAGGTGCTTGAAGCCATTGATCTCAGGGGCTATCTTATTTATATTGTCTAATGCTTTTCTGTTTTCTTGAATCCATGGGATAAAAATTAAAGAACAGAATTATGGTTAACCCTCAGTAGTAGATTATCTGTGATAAATTTTAATGATAATTCAGTTTTCTCTTACAATGTAAGACATGCACTTCCTTTCCAGGTGGTGGTGAACAGCAGCTAGTGAGAATTAGCCATCAAATTTGGCCCATGGGCTTTTAATGTTTTGGAAAGTTCATTCTGGGATTACCCAGGCCTTAGCATTTCTCTCCTGCAAGTCACTGAGGCTTCCATCCTGTGCCTTCACAGTCCTCCTAAATTCGCCCTGCCTGCCCCTCTCTGATCCATAGAAGGTGGTGTGAAGTCGCTAGGTTATTCCAGGTGGGCAGCAAGCAGAACTCTTTCACCCTGCGATCACGGGCTCGTGTGCTGGGGATACAGCCGTCTCTCTGTGAGCACACCAGCTCGTGGTGTTCATTAGTACCCCCCACCCCCATGGATTATCCATTGAGGCTTCAGTCTGATCATTTTTTAGTTCATCACCCTGGGAAATAGGCGAGAGCTCTTTATAACTCTTCTAAAACAATTGCTGCTGTGTAACTGAGGCCATTCCCATTGCTGACTGCTCTGTTTATCCACGGGGAAGTCGTGTAACATTTGCTGTATGAGTAGATTCCAGGGAGAATCATACAGTCAGATGAGTAGGAAGCAGTCATCTGGTTTGGCCTGTTTGGTTGGTCGCTATGATATAATTATAAACATAATGATCACTCTTTATAGTTTTTATACGGCAAAACAGAAGTAATGAATGTAGCAAGTTAAGTGATTTGTTTGAATACAAGTTCTCACCGACTCGATTTGTTTTACAGATTTCTGCTTCTATTGTTTTAATACTTAAGTTTGTTAAGAATGCTTAGTATGTAACTAATTATTGAAGAAGATTTATTCTCAAGAAATTTTATGCTCAGTTATATAAGAGCAAGTGCATAAGCTAGAGACTAGAAAAATATGTTGGAAAAGATTATCTGACCATTTTCTGTGTTGCAAATAAGAGGAAATGTAGACTTGAAGAGGAAGATGCTTTGATGTTTGATAGTAGATAAGCAGGCAGCGGAAACCAAAAGAAATGACAGGACCTGCGATTAGAGAAAAGGGCCAGTCTTCAGGTCATTGGAGTCATCATAGCCCCTGAATGTTTTATATCATATGTGGTGTGAATGTCACAGAAATTACTTGAATTAATATGAAGTGATAAACGATGGACCTTCAACATCTTTGCATGTTTTCATACCCCCGTCCAACTAACATAAATTCTGGATTTTTAAAAGCTCCAACTGGTTTTGGTGTACTACAAAAAGGTTGTTAGAATCACACTTGGAACTAAGTCCTACTTTTAACTAACTGCTATTTTGTTTTAGGAGCAGTTACAGAAGCTTGAGGTTGAACTGAGGGAAGTCACCAAGAACAAGGAGAAACTGAGGAAGAACTTGCTGGAACTGATTGAGTACACGCACATGCTGAGAGTGACAAAAACCTTCGTGAAACGCAACGTCGAGGTATTGCCCACCCTGTGAGGCAGACCGTGCCCGGCCTATTTTTATGATCAAGAAAAATTGAACAGTGGAAGTTGAGCTCTAAAATTTGGTTTCTCCAAATTGCTGAATAAAGGATGTAAAAATAATCTATATAAAAATAAAGAATAGGCCAGAGGCATGGTAGCTCATGCCTGTAATCCTAGCACTCTGGGAGGCCGAGGTGGGTGCATCCTTTGAGCTCAGGAGTTCAAGACCAGCCTGAGCAAGAGCGAGACCCCATCTCCACTAAAAATAGAAAGAAATTATTTGGGCAACTAAAAATACATAAAAAAATTAGCCGGGCATGGTGGTGCATGCCTGTAGTCCCAGTTGCTCGGGAGGCTGAGGCAGAAGGATTGCTTGAGCCCAGGAGTTTGAGGTTGCTGTGAGCTAGGCCGGTGCCACGGCACTCTAGCCGGGCTACAGAGTGAGACTCTGTCTTAAAAAAAAAAAAAAAAAAAAGAACAAAGTATAGTCTGTGTAGTAGTGCTTCACTGAGCTGAGTGTAGACAGAAGTGCATCCCTTCTGAAATTAGTTTCACTCAATATAGTAGTTGACCTCTGATAAAGTTATTCTATCTTGGAAGAAGGTGATAACTTATAACTATTCTTTTATGTAAATGTCTTTAAGTGGCTTACAAATAATGGATAGGAGATTATCTTTTTATTTATCAGAGCTGAGTTGTATGTGGAAGTTACCTTAGGGCCTTTGCACCCAGATCCAAGTAGTTAGATACGATGTTCTTTCTATATAAACTTGTTTGGAAATATGACATGAGAAATAAAGTGTCACTTTTAATGAGACACACTGGTTTTATATGTTTCTCTTTCTAGTTTGAACCCACTTATGAAGAATTCCCTCCCTTAGAGAATGATTCTTTGTTGGACTACAGCTGTATGCAGAGGCTGGGGGCAAAACTGGGGTAAGTGACAAGGACTGGGTGTCACACTTCATACTGCCCTTCCTGTAGAGTGGATGAATGTGGAGTGTTTTAAAGCTCGTGATTGAATGAAAGGAAGTGAATATTTGTTTGAGAAAACACTGTACTCCTATACTTGTTGAGCTGAATTACTCAACTGTGTTGACTTTTAAGCTAAATACAATGGACATTTCTTTTTTTGGTATAATGATTTGGAAAGAAACAACATTATGTCATTCAGTGTTACTCCTATAAGCCTAAAATAGTTGGTCACTGAAGATCAAGTCCTGTCTGGTGGAAGCATAGGGGTTAAACTGAGTTGGTTAATTTTTTTATTAATTATACTTCAAGGGTTTCTTTCTGCTGTTTCTTCTGTTTACTTGAACTAATGGCAACTTCTTCATGTGATTTTTGATTTTTTTTTTTTATCATTATGAACTTACATTCTTGAGTTCCTTATCTGAAGGAATCAGCAGTGTTGGTCTGAGGATGTGTTCCTCCAGAGAGAATTTGTGTTTGCATTTGTCAGGTACCTGGCAGTGCTCTGCCAGCCTGGAATCATTTGCATTTGCAGCCTGGGATTTGTTGGTGGTTGGTTTGTTTTTTGACTATGCAAGTAAGTGAATTTAAGCCCTAAACCTGAGTGAATTTTAACCTATGGTTATAAATTCTTAGGGAAGACTTTTCTGTCCATCTAGAACCCAAACCGAAATAAATAAGTTTACTTGTAGCCTCCTTTGCTGGGTGGATTTTCTTCTGGTCCACCCATCACTGCAGGTATAGCCCTTCGGATGTGAAGAAGTCCCAGTATGGGGGGGATTCAGTTCTGTCTTGGCACCTTCTTTGGGCCCAGTGCAAGTCTTCTTTCTCTCCTGCTAGTGAAAAACTCTAGGCCTCAAGATACTGGGTTAGTATGATAATCAGGACAGCTAGGGGGCCCTGTTTTCTTTTTGATTCCAGGAATTTCTCTTTCTTATAAGCTCAGCTATACATTTAAAAGGGTGTTTCAAAACTATTTTATGCAGCATTTGAGATGTTTCGCAGTTGGAGGGCTTTCCATTTTCACCATTTTGCCCGAAATGGAAGTCTTCATCATTCTTTTAATGCAATTTGCTAATGTTCATTGCTTTCAATTGACTTGGGTTGGCTTTATTATTCACAGATTTGTGTCTGGCTTAATTCACCAAGGAAAAGTTGAAGCATTTGAAAAAATGCTGTGGAGAGTCTGCAAAGGGTACACCATTGTGACCTATGCAGAACTGGATGAGTCCCTCGAAGACCCTGAAACGGTTAGTACATGTCACAGTCACCTTTTAACAATGACAGACAAACAGCAAAGTTGGAGATACAGTGGAAAGAATGTTTTTCTCCTGACCATTAAGTTGTTAGCCCGATGCCTCATATTTTTTAACACATTTGTGTGTAGTTCCCAAAATCAAGGACATTCTCCCACAGTGCCACAATATGACCCTCAAAATCAGGAGAGGAATGTCGATACGTTACTACGTTTTGAGCCACAGATCCTGTTCAGGTTTCTCCAGTTGTGATGATACTGTCACAGCGAAGGATCTAGTGTTAGCATCGCACATTAGAGTTAGTTATCACGTCGCTTTGGTCTTCTTCATTCTGGGACAGTTTCTCAGACTTGCCCTGACTTTCATTTAAAATTGACATTTCAAAATATTACAGACCAGTTTTTTTGTAGAACGCCCCTCAATTTGGGTTTATCAGATGTTTTCTCACTATTAGATTCAGGTCATCTGTCTTTGGCAAGAATGTCACTGAAGCGAGGCTGCGTTCTTCTCGTTGCATCCTCCAGGTGGCACATGGTGTCATTTGTCCCGTTACTGGTAGTGGTCACTTTGATCACTTGAATAAGGTAGTAGTAGCCTTAGGTTTCTCTACTGAGAAGTTACTCTCTTTTTTTCTTTGTAATTAATAACTACTTTGGGAGAAGTGCTTCGAAACTGTGACTATCTCATCCTTCTTCAGATTTTCAGCTTATTCATTTATTTCCTGTTTTATTCAGTGGGTTGTATTCTCTTACCATATTACTTATTTTTATATTCAAATTCTGCTAGATTTGGCCAGTTGGAGCCCATTCAAACTGGCTTTTGTATCCATTTTAACATGTTCCCATCATTTTTTGAGCACTCCTTGCTTTGTTGTACAATAGGACGTCCAGATTCATCTTGTAATTCCCCTTACACAGTTCTGGAATCCGCCATTTCTCCAAGAAGCTGGTTCTTTTTAGTGGAGATCTTGGTATTTCAAAGCCAAGATGTGGTCTCTGAGTGTGCCCATTGTTACTGAGGTGTCATGGTTCCCTGCTCTCTCAGAGATAGCGCTAGGATGCACTTACGCACCTACATTTACAGCTGTGGTCCTCTGTGCCCATCCCCACACATATCCCCCACAGCTCTAGGGCTGAGCTGTTCAGGAAGGAAAGCGGAGGGGCAGGGGAAAGACAGCCATAGTTATCTTTTTAAATCTCCGTGTGTTTTTAGACTTTATAGTAAAAACAGCTATGTTATTCTAAATGAGGATGAACTGATATACTAAGGGTAGAAAAAGAGCTTGGGCTTCTTGAATTTTAGAAAAGAGTTCATATTTTTCTTCTAGGTTAGCCTCAGGAATTTTGGCTGCAAGATTTATATAGATCCCATAGTGGTTTTGACACATCACAAGGAATTTGGCTGTGAAATAATTTTCATAAGGCTCAGCCTGAGTAACCGTCACGCTGGGAAACCTCATCAGTTAAGCTATTTGTTAACCATCCACCTGTCATGTTTTCTATTCTTTTTTCCTGAGACAGGGTCTTGCTCTGTTGCTGGGGCTAGAGTGCAGTGGCTTCTCGAACACACGTTTTCCTAGGCACATCCCTGCCTTCTTGCACTCAGGAACACCAGACAACACGTCAGCATTATGCTTAGGGACCATTTTAAACAGTGAAATCACCAGAAAAAAGCACAAACGTGAAAAACATGGCACTAAATGGACCGTGTAAAAAAAGACCCGTGTCTGTAGTCTAGGAGCTGAGATGAAAAGGCAGAATTTCACCTTGTTGGACCTTACCAGGAAACGTGGGCATTGGGTCCCTAAAAGTTTTTGCCACCCTGCATGTGACTGTGAAAGTGCCACATGGATTAATTTCTGGGTTATTTTAGCAATTATGGAGTCTGCAGATGAGGATTGACTGTATTTATTGAATGAATGAACAAACTATTTGGCAGTGTTTGAGCTGCCAGAGTTCTAGAAGTTATATACACAGAAGTAATACTTATCCTTATTTATTCTTTGTAGGGAGAAGTCATAAAATGGTATGTGTTTTTAATATCCTTTTGGGGAGAACAGATTGGCCACAAGGTTAAGAAGATATGTGATTGGTAAGAAAAAGAAACATTTCATTTATTTTTTTTATATTTAATAACCTCTAATTTTCCTTTAATATCCTTCTGTAGTCAAAGAGAAACAGGGTGAGTTCAAAGGCTGCTAGTTTTGTTATGATTCCCTTGCAGTGATACTTTCTTAAACATTTAATTTGTCATCTCTCTTGCCAGTGCATTACTTAAAATAATTTAAAAGTAGAGACTATGTTAATGATATTCTCAGATGGGATTTTTTTTCTTTGGGGATCAAGGCTTCAGATCAATTGAAAAAGGAATCACATTTTTTTTTTTTTTGAGACATAGTCTCATTTTGTTGCCCAGGCTACAGTGCCGTGGCATCAGCCTAGCTCGTAGCAACCTCAAACTCCTGGGCTCAAGGATCCTCCTGCCTCAGCCTCCCGAATAGCTGGAATTATAGGCATGCACTACCATGCCCGGCTAATTTTTTATATATATTTTTATTTGGCCAATTACTTTCTATTTTTAGTAGAGACGGGGTCTCACTCTTGCTCAGGCTGGTTTCGAACTCCTGACCTTGGGCGATCCTCCCACCTTGGCCTCCCAGAGTGCTAGGATTACAGGCTTGAGCCATGCTGCCTGGCCAGGAATCACATTTTAACATGGTGGCGTTCCCTGGGCTCGTCCGTCATCACTGAGTACACGAGTGTCATTTCTCCTGGGTGCCACGAGGCAGGGCATGGTTTGTGTCGAGGAGTGGGTGCTCATGGGCCTGGCTGGATGCTATTCCCTCACTGGACCAGCTTGGAGAAGGGACCAAGCCTCGGTTTCCTCTTCTATAAAAGGGGAGATCACTTCCTCCCTCCTAGGGCTGTTAGGACTAAATGAGATGCTGCAGAAAAAGGCGTCAGTGTAGCAGAAGCCGCCAGTAAATGTTGGCTAGTATCACAGCAAGAATCTGTGACTTATTCCTGTCAGTAGATGGGAATGTGAGCAACAGCCAGACAAGCCAAGCAAAGCCCAAAAGTAAAAACTCAAAAAGAGTACTTCTTTGTTTTCTTACACCAGTGACGTCTTAGATTGTCTTCTTTCTTGTAGGGCGGTGGTAGGGTTTGGGTATTTTCTGTTTACTCTGGTTCTCAATCACTGGTGGTATAGAAAGTAATTTTAGGTGTCACCTGGTTAAACCTTTTATTTTATTTTATTATTTATTTATTTGAAGCAATGTCTTGTTGCCCAGGCTAGATTGCTGTGGCATCAGCCTAGCTCACTGCAACCTCAAACTCCTAGGCTCAGGTGATCCTCCTGCCTCAGCCTCCGAGTAGCTGGGACTACAGGCTCATACCACTGTGCCTGGTTAATTTTTAAATTTTTTGTAGAGATGGGATTTCCCTATTTTGCCCAAGCTGCTCTCAAACTCTTGGGCTCAAGCAATCCTCCTGCCTGGGCTTCCCAAAGTGCTGGGATTATGGGTGTGAGACATAGCACCTGGTCAAACCTTTTGTTTTGATAGATGTTTGTTTTACTGTAGATTATAAAACTGTACCCAGCTCAACAAGTCCATGATTTCAAAGACAATTATTGCTTAGGCTCAGGCTAGAATAGGTATTTAATTTTCCAAAGTCAGAACTTAAAGACATACTAAGGTGACATGGAAATGACTACAGTTTGGGAGATGTGGCTTGACATTTCTCAGTGCAGTCTGGGCGGCGGGTGGCCCCCAGAGTAAACGGTGGCGCGCGCGTGTGTGTGTGTGTGTGTGTGTGTGTGTGTGTGGTTTTAAACCTGTTTAATGATTCCCAGCCCAAGGATATTGATGGATTTCAGAAGGATGGACTTGGGAGTGAGTTGCCGGGAATTGTTGAGAGCAGGAGTGGAATGTGGATCTGGGAGCGAGTTTGTTCAGTTTGTTGCATTCAACAGATGTCTGCTGAGTGCCCGTGTGTGTGCCTTTCTCTCCCAGATGGCTGCTGGGAGATGACAGGTACACGACATGTCCTCTTCTGTCTTCCAGTTACCACTGCCACGTGTACCCCTACCCACACACCGCCGAGGAGCGGGAGGAGATCCAGGAGGGGCTGAACACTCGGATCCAGGATCTGTATACTGTGAGTAGGGCCAATACCAGTGCCTCCTTACCTGAGGGATGCAAGGCATTTGCAACTCCATTTTCTTTTTTAATGTGGGTAATTTTGGACGTGGACAAATCCAGATGTTTCAGTGAGACTGCAGCGTCACTTCCTTCCCTCCTCCTCATGGAAGTTTTGGTTTAGCAGCCTGGGTAGTAACCTGGCTTTTAAAAAGGATTCTCTGGTTTTCTTTGATATGCTGGATTGCAGTTCTTGATCACAAAAGGCAGGAAGTCCCTGTGTACAATGGTGGGCATTATTTTACCCGTATGATTGACATTCAACCTTCTCCTGTCAGTGTAGTGTCCGGTGGTAGGGGCGCGGAGTAGACTGGCTCGTTTAAGCAGAGGGGGTTTCTTGGCAGGATGAGACGGGATGGGCATTGGTGGCTCACAGGGTTGATGGGCTGGGCCAACCTTGAGAATGGGTAGGAACCCAGGGGGCTCTCTGGACCCAGGTGGGCCATCGTGCTGCCACAGTAACGATGACATCTAACCACTTCCTGTGTCGGCGGGGTCATGTTCTCTGGAGGCGACTTCCACAAAGAGGGCATATGTTTGGCTGAGCTTAGACTTTCCACCCACCTCCAGGTGGTGCCGGGGGCGGGGAGGGAGAGACAGGTGCCTGGAATGATCCTCCGTCAATGGAGAGAAATCCGCCTAAAGGAAGTCGGGTGCCAGGGGGACCAAAACCAAAGCATGCTGCCATGCTGAAAGCCCCGCGTGTTCCCACCCAGGTGCTCCACAAGACTGAGGACTATTTACGGCAAGTGCTGTGCAAAGCCGCCGAGTCTGTCTACACCCGCGTCATCCAGGTGAAGAAAATGAAAGCCATTTACCACATGCTGAACATGTGCAGCATCGACGTGACTAACAAGTGCCTCATCGCCGAGGTCTGGTGTCCTGAGGCGGATCTGCATGAGCTGCGCCGGGCGCTGGAGGAGGGCTCGGTAAGGCCGCCTTCCTCTCCCCAGCCAGGGTCCCAGAGGCTGCGGGTCGATAAACTCAGAGAGATAAAGGAAATGAGAATCTCACTGAGTAAGGAGAAGGCATCGTATTGACAGTTCTTCTGAACTGAAGTTACGGCGAGCTGGTCATTGGAGGGTGTGTGGATGCGATACATCGTTAAATTACTCTTTTAAATAAGTAGTGCGTTCATGTGGTTTAAAAGGAAAAGAGGCCTGGCGCGGTGGCTCACGCCTGTAACCCTAGCACTCTGGGAGGCCGAGGCAGGTGGATCGCTCGAGGTCAGGAGCTCGAAACCAGCCTGAGCAAGAGTGAGACCCCGTCTCTACTATGAATAAAAAGAAATTAATTGGCCAACTAACATATATATAGAAAAAAATTAGCCGGGCATGGTGGCGCATGCCTGTAGTCCCAGCTATTCGGGAGGCTGAGGCAGGAGTATTGCTTGAGCCCAGGAGTTTGAGGTTGCTGTGAGCTAGGCTGACGCCACGGCACTCGCTCTAGCCTGGGCAACAAAGTGAGACTTTGTCTCAAAAAATAAAAAACAAAAATAAAAGATAAAAGGAAAAAGAAGTGTCAAAAAGTGTGAAAGACACAGTGAAGTGGCTTTCCCCCACGGCCTCATGTGTCCATTTCCTCCACTCAAAGATAACCGCCATTGTGGCACTGTTATATCTTTGAGTTTCTTAATCTTAGACAAGCAGACACGAGCAGATATTCTTTTCTTCACAAAAGGCGTGCTGTTCATACATTTATTTTCACTTATTAAAACTTCCCTGTTTTTTTAAAATAACTATTTAACATTCTTTTGTGTGCATGTACCATGGTTTATTTAAAGAGTTCCCTGGTCATTTAGGTAGTTTCCTATTTTAAATGCCACTGCAGGGTGTGACACTTGGCGTAGGATATTTCATGCATGTACAAGTCCGTAGGGCAGATTCCCAGAGGTGGAACTGCTGGATTAATTTTGATAGATGTCGCCAATAGTTTTCTTGTTGGATAGTAATTTTTTTTTCCTTTTTCTCTTTTTGTGTGAAAGAGAGAGAGTGGTGCTACAATCCCCTCGTTCATGAACGTAATCCCGACGAAAGAGACGCCCCCGACTCTAATCCGCACCAACAAGTTCACCGAAGGCTTTCAGAACATCGTGGATGCCTATGGCGTTGGCAGCTACCGCGAAGTGAACCCAGGTTGGGAGCTGATTTTGCAAATCCTTGGATTTCATGCTTGGATTTACTCTGGTGTTTCCTTGCTCTGAGAACGTAAAAGATGTTTGGAAAAATAGGCTTACTGCTACTTTTTTGTCACCTTGTTTAGTGTGACATTTTGAATTTAACCTCACCATTCTATCCTAGCAGTTCTAGAGAATGTTAAGATCATCACACATCGTGTTTAAGTCAACTGTTCCGTATTCGCTGTCAGTCTGAAATCTCTTTCCCTGTCCTTTCCCCGCAGCTCTTTTCACCATCATCACATTCCCGTTTCTGTTTGCTGTGATGTTTGGAGACTTCGGGCATGGCTTTGTGATGTTCTTATTTGCCCTCTTGTTGGTGTTAAATGAAGACCATCCCAGACTAAACCAGTCTCAGGAGGTAAAATATAACCACCCCAGCTTGTGATTTCCTGTTGGGTAGCATTAGTAGTGACCAAAAGAGAGATGCTGTTAGCTCTCAATCGTTGGCCGTGACCGTGCTGTGTGAGAGCTGCAGGGCTGTCACCTCTAGCTGCCAGTACACCTGTCGCATGGGGTTGTTTTCTGAGAAGCCCTGAGGGGGTGGCTAAGAGTAAGCCCAGACTGACGCTGTCCCACGAGCACGTCTCCCAATGACCATATCTTGGTCATCACACTTTGCTCCCTGCAGATCATGAGAATGTTTTTTAACGGGCGCTACATCCTGCTGCTCATGGGGCTGTTCTCCGTGTACACCGGCCTCATCTACAACGACTGCTTCTCCAAGTCCGTGAACCTGTTCGGCTCTGGGTGGAACGTGTCTGCCATGTTCAGCTCCAGCCACTCCCCGACAGAGCACAAGAAAATGGTGCTTTGGAAGTAAGTGTCCTGCTATCCGATCATGTTTTGGGCACAAAAGGCATTTTTCTGAGTTTCCTTCCTCCTCCCCGCAGTAAGCCTGCTCGCTCTGCTTTTGTTGCAGCGACAGCACCGTGCGGCACAGCAGGGTTTTGCAGTTGGATCCGAGCGTCCCTGGCGTGTTCCGCGGCCCTTACCCTCTTGGCATTGATCCTGTGAGTGTGCTCCCCTGCCCTTGCCTCCTTGCTCTGGGGTGCTCCCTAGTTTTAGGTGCCAGAACGTTCTCTAGATGTTTGAGCAGGGTTCACACATGCTTGTGGGGGTGGGGAGGAGGTGCTCCCCTTGCACCGTGGAGCCCGTGGCCTTACAGAGCAAGTGGGAGCGTTGAGCTCTGCATTTGGGACCCCGAGAAGTCTGCAGGGAGATGGGGCTGCGTTCTGTCCTCCTTCCTGACCTATTTTCCTCTAGTGAAAAATGACACTTCAGGAGCCCTGATGTATGCTGTTTCTTAGATTTCTTCTTTGTATATGTGAATTATTTTTTTACCCATTGATCTAAATTTTTTCTGTCCTAACAGACCCTGTTTCCCTTTTCCTAATCCACCCAGGGTGGGGACCGTAGGAATTAATCTTCAGGTAGTAAGAGAAGCGGTCAATGATCAGGGACCTGGAGTAGGGGGACCCTGGGGTCAGGGCTGCCCTGGGGAGATTGGCATGGCCTGGGGTTCCACTCTGGTGCACCGGCTGCCATCAGCTCAAATTGGCCACTTGGCTACACCTCTGCTTTTATTTTTTTCACAGTTAAACTTTACTACAAAATAAACATACAAGATAGCTTATAGCACATGTGTGTAAACATGTTATAACACATGGACTTGTGCATCCCTGTGCAGTACAAGGGGCTGTGACCCAGGACTCGAGAGTGCCCTGGTCCTTCGCTGCGGGCACCTGCACAACCTTGGGCTCCGTGAACTTTGTGTGATTCTTTCTCTCGATTTTCTTTTTGATATTGCTGCCTTGGCACGTGTCCCTAAATGCCATGTTGTTCCATTTGGGATCCTTTGAGTGGTTTTTTTTTTTTTGAGACAGAGTTTTGCTTTGTTGCCAGGCTGGAGTGCATGCTGTGGCATTAGCCTAACTCATAGCAACCTCAATCTCCTGGGCTCAAGCCATCCTCTTGCCTCAGCCTCCTGAGTAGCTGGGATTATAGGCATGCGCCACCATGCCCAGCTAATTTTTTATATATTTTTTTAGTTGGCCGATTAATTTCTATTTTTAGTAGAGACAGGGTCTCACTCTTGCTCAGGGTGGTTTCAAACTCCCGACCTTGAGCGATCCTCCCGCCTTAGCCTCCCAGAGTGCTAGGATTACAGGTGTGAGCCACGGCGCCCGGCTCCTCCTTTGAGCTTTATATTGAGAAATTTTTTTTTTTTGAGACAGAGTATCACTCTGTTGCTCAGCAGTAGAGACGGGGGGCGTCAGCTAGCTCACAGCAACCTCAGTTCCTGGGCTCAGCGATCCTCCTGCCTCAGCCTCCCGAGTAGCTAGGACTACAGGCATGCGCCACCATGCCGGCTAATTTTTCTATATATATTTTAGTTGGTAATTATATTTTTGGAGAGACGGGGTCTCGCTCAGGCTGGTTTCGAACTCCTGACCTTGAGCAATCCGCCCGCCTCGGCCTCCAAAGTGCTAGGATTACAGGCGTGAGCCACCGCGCCCGGCCGAGAAAATTGTTTTTTAACTGTCTGTGGCTCTGGTTTAAAAAAATCAGTGGTTCTCAGATTGAAAGCATCAAGAAAAAAGCCAGAGTGTTTTCTTTTTAAAATGTAGAGCTGCCTCTCAATGTAAGACAGGAACTTTCTTGATTGTCGCCTGTTCAAGGAAGATAAAAGATTGTTTTGTTTTGTTTTGTTTGGTCTTTAGATTTGGAACTTGGCCACAAATCGCCTCACTTTTCTAAACTCTTTCAAAATGAAAATGTCTGTGATCTTAGGAATTATTCACATGACTTTTGGAGTCATTCTGGGAATATTTAACCACTTGTAAGTATAGATTTTTTTAAAGCAATATTTATGAACTATGTTTGGCATTTCTTAAACTTTGCTTCTTGCTGGTAGACTGTATTTGTTGGTTAAAGGGCAGCCAATATGGTATTGTACTGCCTTATAGAATGCTGTTTAGATTTTTTTTTTTTTTTTTGAGACAGAGTCTCGCTTTGTTGTCCAGGCTAGAGTGAGTGCCGTGGCATCAGCCTAGCTCACAGCAACCTCACACTCCTGGGCTCCAGCGATCCTTCTGCCTCAGCCTCCCGAGTAGCTGGGACTACAGGCATGCGCACCAATGCCCGGCTAATTTTTATATACATATCAGTTGGCCAATTAATTTCTTTCTATTTATAGTAGAGACGGGGTCTCGCTCTTGCTCAGGCTGGTTTTGAACTCCTGACCTTGAGCAATCCGCCCACCTCGGCCTCCCAGAGAGCTAGGATTACAGGCGTGAGCCACCGCGCCCGGCCTTGTTTAGATTTTTTATTTAGATTTTTTGCAGTTTAAGTGATTGATTCAGCAAATATTTACTGAGCACATAGTATGTGATACGTGCTGTTCTAGGCATTAGGGATTCAGCAGTGAGGGAGACAGAAAAAAGTGTTTGCCCTCATGGAGCTTACATTCAGGTGGGAGAGAGACATGCAACAAAATTTATATATATTTCCAGAAGTGATTTTTGTCACATTCCTTTTTTATTTTACAAATGAGAAAACTTTTTTTGTTTTTACTTTATCAGAGCTAGTATATCAACAGTAAGAGATTGCATCATTTTTTTCTCTAACTAGATGTGTTTGTTATCATCCCTAAACATGAGTTGTATAATTTAATGTTATAGCTTTAAGTCTTAATATAACTGGAAACTTGGAAAACTTTCACAACAATTTAAGATAGGGCATTTTGGAGCCAGAGTCTCTAATCATTTGTAGCTTCGCTTTGAGGAAATAAATGTTTCTGAATAAAAGAATCAAGGAAGCATGAGTGGGGTTTGACCACATTCGTGGTTTTGCTGTCCTCGCCTCTATTTGTCTTCGTGGATGCATCTGGAACATGAGTTCAGGTCGTCACAAGACAGATGCTGTTGTACTGAAATTGGCTTTATTTATTTATTTAGTCACAAAAGATTTGAGATCAATTGACTCTTTACTTTTTAACTTAGGCTGATCTCGTTCCTGGGTTGACTGATTCCTTCTTTTTTCTAGGCATTTCAGGAAGAAGTTCAATATTTACTTGGTTTCCATTCCAGAACTTCTCTTCATGCTCTGCATCTTTGGATACCTCATATTTATGATCGTCTACAAGTGGCTGGTTTTTTCAGCAGAAACCTCCAGAGTTGCTCCTAGCATTCTGATTGAATTTATTAATATGTTTTTATTCCCAGCCACTGAAACAAATGGGCTCTACACAGGGCAGGTAAGTAATCTTTCCACTGTCGTGAACTTAACAGAAGTTCCCTGAAAGCCTGTCATCCTGGTCAGCAGAGTGAGGGCAGGTGGTTTCCGCAGGCCTCCCATGAGCCCCGGGAGCGTCCTGTTTCCGTGCGTTGTCACCAGGGGGTACAGGTGTGGCTCTGGGCAGGCAGGATGACCACACTTGCCGCCTCTCAATAGCCATGACAGCTGTGGGGAGGGAGATGCATTGCTGGAGGGTTCCTGCGGCTGCCCAGCGCCCAATTTAGAGTGGGCTCCTGGGCCACAGCACATGGGCCCTCTCAAAGAATGGCTTCTCTGCAGTTGTGTGTTCGCGTGATGTCAGAGTGTGGGCTCTGCGGGCTGACTGCTCCTCATGGAGTCCCAGCTCTGCCACTTCCTTGAGATGGAACTTTGAGCAGATTACTTAACTTCCCTGTGCCTCGCTTTCCTCATCTGTAAAATAGGATTAAAAACAGGAACCAGTTCACAGTGTGGAGCTAGTATGTCCAAAGTGCTCTAAAGAGTGCTTGGCACGTAGCAGCTATTCCACACACGCCAGCGTTTTCCACCGCTCCCGCTTCATCGTGTGCCGAGGGACCGTCTGCTGTGTTAAGGGCGGCCGTGGCGTCTCCCTCCCAGGGGTGGTGCTGAAAGCGCCGCCCACGACGTCGGGGACACGGGGAACCCTCCTAGCCGTTGGCATAGGGCCCTGCGATTCTCCCCAGCTGCGTTCTGTCTTTCATCTTGCTCACCCTGTGAATGCAGCGATTGGTTTGGGCTGCTACGAAGTTTTAAGTCACATTTGAAGCTCAACTTAGAGAACTTTGGGCTTCGTTAACCAGCTGCATATTTACGTTCTTTCTGAACTTTTCAAGTTTCTAATTTCATTTCTCTTTTTCCTTTTCATGATTTTTAATAATTGTATTTTATCATTATTTTATTGAAACTTTCTAGAATGACGTAGCTACAGTAGATAAATGCAAGGGAGTTCAGTGGGGCCTAGGTGCTGTCCTATGTAGCACCTCCTGCATACCTAAAAATGTGCTGTCCTCGAGTCTTTCCTAATTCTCACAGCAGCCCCTCCAGGTAGGTGGTGCCATCCTGCCGGGGAGGACCAGTGGCGCAGGGCGGGCCTGTTGCTCAGCAGCCAGTGGGGCGGGGTGTTGACTCTGGCCTGCGCAACTCCATGGTCCGGGACTTCTGACGGGGCTCTACCCGTGGCCCCCACTGTCAGCGTTTCAAGGGGTGGACTGTGTTGATGGTGCACAGACAATGCACTGTGTACCCGGGTAGTGCATGGGACTCCAGGAACGTGTCTTGAACGGGAGGGCGGCCACAGAGAGTGACAACATGGGGCAGCAGAGTGTCTGCTGGGGCAGAGTGACAACATGGGGCAGGTCCTGTGACATCACCACCCCTGCAGTGCTGTGTGAGCGGGAATGTGCTTTGCTCTTGAATTAGTTTTCAGTAACTATAAACCTCCTTTCTTAAGAAAGTTTTGGTTTTGTTCCGAATGCTATTTCAATATATTTCACGTGTTAAAGTAAATCCACTTACTGCTACTCACATTGTTCAAATAGTCTTTTTTTTTTTGAGACAGTCTCCCTTTGTTGCCCAGGCTAGAGTGAATGCCATGGCGTCAGCCTAGCTCACAGCAACCTCAAACTCCTGGGCTCAGGCAATCCTCCTGCCTCAGCCTCCCAAGTAGCTGGGATCACAGGCATGCCACCATGCGCAATTTTTTTCTATATATATTAGTTGGCCAATTAATTTCTTTCTATTTTATAGTAGAGACGTGGTCTCGCTCTTGCTCAGGCTGGTTTCAAACTCCTGACCTTGAGCGATCCACCCACCTCAGCCTCCCAGAGTGCTAGGATTACAGGTGTGAGCCACCGCGCCCGGCCTCAAATAGTCTTTATAATCACAAATCAACACAAAACCAGAACGAAGGATATACAAAAGTATTCTGCTTGTGTTTGTATGTTCCCATCTTCAGTGTCTCCAGGAAATGATTAGCTGGAGTTTGAGTCTATGTAGAATTTTTCTAAAATTTCCCTATTGGTCTGAAATAAAGTAATACTTTACCACTGTATCATTAGTGTTGTGTACCAGTTCCAGAATTCAGCTGTGTGTTCAGGAAGAAGAAAACAGTCCACTGGCAGATACAATTCGGCCTGCCCATGTTCCCAGCATGGGACGTTCTGTTTCATGTCTACCAATTTATTCAAGCGCTGCTGACACCGTGGGCACCCCTTTGCATTTCAATCGGTCTTCTCTCCTTCTGCACTAACAGGAGCACGTCCAGAGAGTGTTGCTAGCTGTCACAGCATTGTCTGTCCCCGTCCTCTTCTTGGGAAAGCCACTCTTTCTGTTGTGGCTACACAATGGGCGCAGTTGCTTTGGGGTAAGCCGGGTAAGTATGAGTTCAGATGCGTGTTTGTAAGTTGTGAGCGAAATCTACTTTTGGTTTTTACAAGGACTGGGCTAACATCCACTTGTCAGAGGGCCCCAGTCTCTGGGTGTGAAAGCCCAAACTTCCGTCATTCAGAACGTTGATGTCGCCTAGCCTGCAGAAGCTCGGTGACAGCCTGCTGTGGCCTGGGTGCGTGGAGACAGGTCCCCCGTGCTGAACAGCAAGCCTGTCAGGAGTTTAACCCAGTCGTTCACTCCAGCTTGGCATGATTAAAAAGTTTTTTCTGTGTTCTTACCTCTTAATTTTTTCCTTGAAGTGTTTTTTATTTAAATGATATAACTAGTTCACAGAAAATGTGTAAAATATAGGAAATAATGTTCTTATGTTTTACCACCCAGTTATAACCTGTTGCCATTCATTGGATTTCTTTCCAAACTATCCTCCTAGTATTTCATTTTCTTTCCTTTTTTTTTTTTAATCGTGGTAAATATACATAATGTAGAGCTTGCCGTTTTAACCATTTTTAAGTATGGCATTAAGGACATTCATAATGTTGTGTAACCATCACCACCCTCCAGCTCCAGATCTTTTTCATCTTGCAGAACTGAAACTGTGTCCCAGTTAAACACTAACTCCCTGTTCCTTTCTCCTCCTGGCAACCCCCATTCTACTTTCTGTCTCTGTTTGACTAGCTGCCTCCTATAAGTAGAATCGTGTGGTATTTGTTTTGTTGTGTCTAACTGCTTTCACTTAGTGTAATGGCTTTAAAGTTCATCCATGAAGTAGGATGTGTCACAATTTCCTCCTCTTTTGAGGCTGAATAATATTCCATTGTATGGATGTCCCATGCCTTGTTTATTCACCCATGCATTGATGGACACTTGCATTGTTTTCACCTTGTGGCCGTTGTGAATAATGCTGCTATGAACACGGGAGTATAAATATCTCTTCACGTCTCTGCCTTCACTTCTTTTGGGTAGATACCCAGAAGTGGGATTGCTGGATCATATGGTAATTCTATGTTTAGTTTTTGAGAAATGGCCATACTGTTTTCCACAGTGGCTGCACCCATTTTGCATTCTTGCCAACAGTACGCAAGGTTTCACATTTTTCCACATCCTCGCCAACACTTACTATTTTATGTTTTGTGTTTTTTTGTAATAGCTGTCCAAGTGGGTATGAAGTGCTTATTTTCTTTTAAGAACTTTTTTTATTCTCAAAGAGCTGAATCATTAAGAGAAACAAAGGGGCTATGTAACTTTGGTTTTGTCACAACTGTGAAGCTTTGAAGGCACTGACTGCATACTCTTTGGGTTGTTAGAGTGGCTACACACTTGTGAGGAAAGACAGTGAGGAAGAAGTTTCTTTGCTGGGAAGCCAAGATATAGAAGAGGGACACAACCAAATGGAAGATGGATGTAGAGAAATGACATGTGAAGAGGTAATCTTTTCATTTGCTATTGGTACACTTAGATAAGTAATCAAACTTCTGTAGAGATAATCGTCATGATAAAAATGATAATGTAAAAATACAAAACAAAACAACAGTTACTCCAAGCTTTCCAAATGCTGTCTTGGTCATACAGTTGGTGTATCACAATGCAAGAGTTTGGGTTGTCATTTTGTTGTTTCACTTTTACAATGGGATTCACACTGTTACCATTGCAAGTTATGATCGAAGTGACTTAAGGTGCCACAAAGGTTGCTTTCCAAATGTTCCTGTATCAGAACTTTCTCTCTCTCTATTTTTTTTTTTTGGCACAGGGTCTCACTCTGTTGCCCAGGCTGGAGTGCAGTGGGGTCATCACAGCTCATAGCAACCTCAAACTCCTAGGCTCAAGAGATCCTCCTGCCTCAGCCTCCTGAGTAGCTGTAGGTGCATGCCATCACCCCTGGCTAATTTTTCTATTTTTTGTAGAGACGAGGACTCACTCTTGCTCAGGCTGATCTTAAACTCCTGAGCTCAGGTGATCCTCTTACCTCAGCTTCCCAGAGTGTTAAGATTACAGGCGTGAGCCACTGCTCCCAGCCCAGAACTCTCTGTAGTTAGAAGACATAGAGACCCAGTTTACTCTGATTTCAATGGGAAATCTACTGGCTCATGTCGGGACAGAAGTAGAGTTGGTTTCAGGATGATTACAGTTTCTAAATCTCGAATTCTAAGAGGCCTTGGTTGGTTTTTTCTTTTCCTTTGTAAGTTTGCTCTATATTCTGAAGCTAGTTGGCCCCATGATGTTGGAACCATGGCCACAGGTAGCCCTGGGCTTATTTTTTTCAGTGTTTCAGTCAGAGAGGAAAGCATTCCTACCTCTCATGACTGGTACGGAAAATCCCACAGAGATACCATGATTGACCAGGCTAGGGCCACTTGCCACCCCTGGACCAGGGACTGGTCTCAGTTTTCCAGGGCTGCCATAACCAAATGCCACAGACCTCGAGGCTTAATTAATAAAAATGTGTTTCTCACCGTCCTGGAGGCTGGGAGTCCAGCATAATGACGTTCGCAGGGTTGGTTTCTCTTGAGGCCTCTGTACTTGGCTTGCAGACAACTGCCTTCTGGCTGTGGCCTCACGCGGCCCTTCCTCTGTGTGTCTGCGCCCTGGTTTCCTGCCCTTCCTCCAGGACAGCAGTCAGCTGGGTCACCCTCGCCCTCATGGCCTCATTTGATCTCATTTGACCTCTTTAAAGGTCCTGTCTCCAAATACAGTCACATTGAGGTGAAGGCTTCAACATATAGATTTTGGGGACATAATTGAGCCCATCACAGCTGTGGCGAGGGCTGGACACAGGCTGGACGGAGGAAGTGGTAGTTCCCCCAGAGAAGGGAGGTGCTGTCCTGAGCAGACTCGCAGAGCATGTCCTCCACGATCACCTTTCCTTTCTTGGAAACTTTATTTGGCCATTTAGTGAGGACCAAACAAAATTTGTCATAATCAACATTTTATAGTTATCGTGTAATTTAGTGTTTTGAGATAATTAATAATTAGGCTTATAGGATCACAGAAAAACAGCAGAGCTGGAAAGAGCATTGGCGTCTTCTTGCTGGCATTTTGCAGCCTTTTCACCAGCAGGGACCCCTTTTATAATTTTCCCTCTTGGCTCTGTGTTTAAGATTCTCCTGTGTATTAAGCTAGCTGAGTCACTAGTGGCCTTCACTCTTGTTGGTAAACAGCCATTTTACCATTAGATGTTGCATAACACTCAGGCCAGCGCAGGAGCCCCAGTGGGCCGTCTAAGGGTGTTGCCACCCTGGGCTGTGGCAGTCCCACCTCCTCTAGTCTGCCCCCTCTGTTTGCACTAGGGAAACTGAGGCTAGAGGTGGCAGGGGGCTGTTGGGGGTGGGGAGTCTTATGGAGCTGGGCAGTGGTGGAGCTGGGAGCAGAACTCAGTCTTGCGGTTCCTGTTCCTCACCCTCTGGGTGTTCTCACCAGCGTTCCGGAAGGCAGTTGTTTCCCTGTGCTCCTGAACGTGGAGCACACTGAACCCGTCAGAGTGTGTGTGTGAGATACAGCGACTCTAACACGTGTGTGATCTCTCTCAGTTCAATTTTGGAGAAATACTCATGACCCAAGTCATCCACTCCATCGAGTATTGTCTTGGCTGCATCTCCAACACCGCATCCTACCTGCGGCTCTGGGCGCTCAGTCTGGCACACGCACGTAAGTTCGAGCTCACACCTGTCCCCAGACTTTGTTGAGACACCTGTGGTGCCACAGTGAGCTCGTGGGAGATGCTGTGGGGTGGTTTAAGTTTTTGAGAGAACCATGGCACCGTCTTTCAGTCACCATGTGATCTTGTGCCATTAGCTGGCGAGTGCACAGGGCTCCCGGCTGTTTCTTTTGGGGATGCTGAGAAAACAGTCACTGAGACGGGAGGGGCTACTGTTACTCTGTTCAGTCATTACTCAGTGCGAATATTTATTAATGTTTATTTTGAGCAAGTCCTGAAACAGTGCTGGTTAACAGGTCTGATGACAGGCTTTCCTCCTCCCTGCACATGGTCCTATGATGCACGGGTTTTAGTTTCCATTGTTGAGTTAAATGACACCTGCTCTCCAACAACACAGCCCGAATTTCAGTCACCACAGTCTGCTGTCTGAGCACGTGTGCAAAGTGCACACTTAGCCGCTCGCTCCTTAGCCCACAGATCACGCACATAACACGCTTGCACGTCAGGATAGGTGGCAGTCACCATGCTTCTTTCAGATGTTGGCGTTTGGTGACCACATCTGCTATTCACTTCACGCGCAGACAGCAGAGCGCGTGGTGCCTCCTCGTTCATTGTACCCTGGCAAGCCTGGGGGATGTTTTACAAAAATGGCTAACCAAAAGGGAGGGTCGGCCAATAAAGATGAAAGCACATAGAAGACACCAGAAGTGATGACGCTCCAAGTTCGAATGGAGCATCAGTGGGGCGGGGGACAGTGACCGTGGGGTGCGGGCGCTGCGCGTTCAGCAGGCCCCACGTCCGCGGCCCGGGCAATTGGGTGCGGGCGAGCTCGCCCACCTGAGCGAGGGCACGGGGTGGGGGGGGTGGAGGTGGGTGGAGATTCCGGCAGCCCAGAAGGGTGCCCGGAGATGGTCCAGGACGCGGAAGGTGCAGAGGCGCAGTGCTGGAGCGGATCCAGACTCAGGGAAGAACGAGGCAGTTGGGCGCATAGCAGCAAAGACACTTGCTCCGTGTCAGGTCGCTTGGCTTGCCCAGCTGCACAGCAAGAGGAATGCAAGTCCTGTTTCCACCACCCGCGAAGGAAAGCGCTTACTACGCAGTGCTTCTAATGTTTTAAAGATAGATTTACTGTTTTTTTATTTCCCCCTTAACCAACAATAGGAGAGTGTTAATGTTTTGACAGAAATTTTAAGGGCCACAGAACAATCATGGTTTCCCTGCTTGATTGACGGACAAGGCTGCTTTGGGCGGATTTGACTGCGTGGTCGCTGTCTTGCCCTGCCCTGCTGCGCGCAGCAAGGGCTGCTGGTACTTCTAGAAAATGCCAGACCAGAGGGTTTTTTTTTTAATTACAGTGATATTTTTATAAGCGTAGCAGAAGGTCTGGAATTTATGGCCCCACAGGGAGGGGCCGTTTTGCAGAGGAGGAGGCGACTGAGTCCAGGGAGGGGCGGCACTCTACTCAGGGTCGCCCAGTCAGCCTGTTGGCCAGAGCTGGGACCAGAGGTCTGGCTCCCGCTGCCGGGGCCAGTGCTGCCCCAGGACAGCGCTAACCCGACCCCTGTCTGGGCCAAGATCACCCGTTGCTAGGAAGGCCTCTGCTTTCTCTGGAATGCCAAGTCTTCCTCAGTGTTGAAGACGATTAAGGAGCTGGGTAACTTTTACATGAGAAGCAGGTTACATACGTGATACACACGTGTGTATGTTATTTTATGGGATGACAGCTCAGAGATGAACGTAATGACAGTGAGCTCTGTGGATCCCTTTTCAGAGCTGTCCGATGTGCTGTGGGCCATGCTGATGCGCGTGGGCCTCCGCGTGGACACCGCGTTTGGGGTCTTGCTGCTGCTCCCGGTGATCGCGCTCTTTGCAGTGTTGACCATTTTCATCCTTTTGATCATGGAAGGGCTTTCTGCGTTTCTTCACGCCATACGCCTCCATTGGTGAGTTTGAGATTTAGCCTTGGGACTGTTATTTATTTTTATTTTTTGAGACAGAGTCTCGCTTTGTTGCCTGGGCTAGAGTGAGTGCCGTGACGTCAGCCTAGCTCACAGCAACCTCAAACTCCTGGGCTCAAGCGATCCTCCTGCCTCAGCCTCCCAAGTAGCTGGGACTACAGGCATGCGCCACCATGCCCAGCTAATTTTTTCTATATATTTTTAGTTGGCCAAATTAATTTCTTTTTATTCATAATAGAGACGGGGTCTCACTCTTGCTCAGGCTGGTTTCGAACTCCTGACCTCGAGCAATCCACCTGCCTTAGCCTCCCAGAGTGCTAGGATTACAGGCGTGAGCCACTGCACCCAGCCTGGGACTGTTATTTAAAAAAATATAACCCTGCCCCCCTAAATATACAGAACTCCCCAAAAATCTAATGCTTGATGTAGGCTAGCTCTTTCCTTCCTGCCTTTGGGATCTGTATTCAGATTTTCTGAGTTAAAATTGTATTTTGTTTCTGAACTGTTACCACGGTTCATGCTTGCAAGTTTTTGCTTACAGACATATAGTTGCAGATGTTTTATACTTAGTTCACTTTGGGACTGACAGGTTGCTTTATCTTACTGCAAAATACTTCTTATGTATTTGTGTTTCACAGTATATATCAAATTACTTCTCTGTGCATTCAATCTCCTCAGTGGAGAGAGTGGTTCCAGTTACTTGAGTGTGTGCCTCTGTCTGTCTGGCGGTGTGACAGAGGTGGCCTGATGCATCCGTGAAAGTTCCCGTTACACACTGGGACAGCCAGCATGGGAGCGGGAGGTGTTTATCGAAGTAAAAATATTTGTACTAAGAGCATGTTATAGAATGAAGCAATTCCAGCCCAGTAATATTTTTTTTTTAACACATAAATGTTGTTTTAAGAAACAGCAGTGTTGTTTCACAATCTTCCATTAGTAACATGAATTTTCTTTTTTTAGGGTAGAATTTCAGAACAAATTCTACGTTGGTGCAGGCACCAAATTTGTTCCTTTCTCATTCCGCCTACTTTCATCCAAGTTCAACACGAACGACAGTGTGGAATGATCATCCTGCTGTACCCAGCCCGCTTTCGAGTTTATGGAGAAGTATCATGTTATAGAATTTCACTTACGTCAAACTTGTGATAGGAAAAATTCCGTCTTCATTGATTGCCTTATGATATAGCCAAATAATTCTGTAAGATATACCTCTTCCTCCTATGTTAAATATTTTGTATAGTTTACCAATTTCAGGTATATAAATTTCTTTTGGTTTTTATGATGAGCAAATATAAGTTTATGCCAACTGTTATGTTAAAGTTGTTTTTTAAAATATAGTATTGGGGGAGAGAAGCCAATTTTGGATGGCTAATTAAAAAATGGTCTTAGATACTTGATTCCTTTAAACTTTATTAAAAAAAACAAAGTTATTCTGTCACCTGAAGTTGTCAGATAATATTTTCCAACTGCTGAGTAGGCATGATTTTTAAAAAAATTTAATGACGGATTATCAAGAGATTCACATTTATTCTGCTTGATTAAAAAATATGCAAATGTTTTTTACATATGCTCTCTAGAATAACAAGTAGAGGATTCTTTCTACAATTTTGTTTTAATAATTCCAGGAAATGGGATAAAATATTATAAAACATACAACAAATGGTTATCCCATTTGTATATTTTTTTAAAGACTCTTATCCTGTTACCCTTTCATAAAACCAATTACGATCATTGTATGTTTGGAAAGATAAACTGTATACTGAGCCTTAAAACCCAGTTTGATTGTAGAAGATCTAGTAGGAATATAAAATTTGAACTTAGTGACCAGCTTGGCTGATGTTACCGAACAAAAAGGATTTATACTGAGTGAAGGAAGGGTAAAAAGTAGTATTTTGTATATTTTTTATAACAAAATATAAAGATATTTTACCACGAAGAGATTGCACTTATCCTTGAAAACAGTTTAATTATAATTTTTTATTTTCAGACTATTTCTAAATAAAGGTCTGATAAAGGCATTTAGAGTTAATTTAAACCTTCAAACACTATTTGGATCAGTTGAAAACTATTAATCTTACTGCGCCATTAATTTATAATCCTTCATTTAAATTCATCTATTCACTTGACATTTAGTTTTATGTGAATTTGAGTGAGTTTTATTGAATGTTTTGATCTATACTGTAATCTTGTAAATTGTGTTCATTTTTCATATTTTACTTTAATTGATTTTAGGTAATTATTTTCACTTCCTTAAAATTTCGAGTAACACATGTTAAAGGCCCATCTGCCCCCCTACTCCTTCATCCTGCTTAGTAGTGGAGACTTCGGCGCTTTCACGACAAGCGACATTATGGCAGCACTGCGTTTAAGGAGATCTTTGCAGGTAGTTTCAAGGCCTGTTTGGGAGAGGCATGAGCTGAACAACATCGGACATACCCGTGACTCTAAAGTAAACCTTTTTAATTACAGTGAAGACTCTGTGCTGCTACTTGATGAGAGGTTGCCCATGGCCACTTTGGACTTCCAGCCTTTTGTCCCTCACATTAAGTTATCACACATAAAACAGTGCTGATGAAACTCTTGGAAATGATTTTGCTCTCAAAGTTAGGTTTCCCCAGAAAGGTGTAATGTTGGGCGCTTCTTTTCGGGGAGTGTGAAATCCAGGTAATGCTGTTCAGATTTCAAGGTTGTTTTTTCACCTGATGTCCCCCACAAGCTGCCATTTCCCTTACTTTCCTCCAAGGATCTGTCATAAAAACAGTAGTAACTACTTCATCCCTAGGAAACCCAAGACCTCATTCAGGGCACTATTAGTTGATTAGTAAATGAGGGACCCAGCGTCCGTCTGCTGGAATCTTTTTTTTTTGAGACAGAGTCTCGCTTTGTTGCCCAGGCTAGAGTGAGTGCCGTGGCATCAGCCTAGCTCACAGCAACCTCAAAGTCCTGGGCTCAAACAATCCTGCTGCCTCAGCCTCCTGAGTAGCTGGGACTACAGGCATGCGCTACCATGCCCGGCTAATTTTTTCTATATATATTAGTTGGCCAATTAATTTCTTTTTATTTATAGTAGAGATGGGGTCTCACTCTTGCTCAGGCTGGTTTTGCACTCCTGACCTCGAGCAATCTGCCTGCCTTAGCCTCCCAGAGTGCTAGGATTACAGGTGTAACCCACCGCGACCGGCCTCGTCCACTGGAATCTCTTACTGCTCCCCGCTGGTAATTGTCATGGGCGCCATGCTAACATCCTAATGAACAGCTTTTACCAGGATGCAGAACAGGGCAAAGCATCCTTTTCCAGTTGGAATCTGCGTGATGGTTATGCAGAATGTAATTATGTGAAAAGCAATTTAATCGTCCTAACTTTTGTGAAAGAACTCTCTGGAAATAGTTTGATATGGTATCTTGTAGACACCAGGGGAAATTTTATTTCTTTATAAAGCTGGTCGGCTCTGATGTGCTCCCAGAATGGTTGCTCTTGTTTTGTTTTGAAGCAATTTGCTAGAACCTATGATGCATCCAGTTTTTAAGACGTTTTTCATTCCCTTGACGGCAGATACCCAGAGGAAAGATGGTCAGTGTCTGGATGATGCTGGATATCTCTTTATTTTCCTAAAGATAAATATCGTGACAGCTACAGTTTCGGTTTTCATTCAGACATTTATTGCCATATGTTAATAAAAGCGCAAGGGATTTCTGCAGTAAAATAGAATTGGATTTCATCTCGCCAGGGTGGAGACACCAGTGGAGACAGTCAGTTAAGGACCACAAAGGGTGCTCTTCGAGGGACCAGGGGTTGTGCTGAGCCCTGGGGACTTGCTGTCCCGGACAGGACTTTGAAAAGACTCCTCTTTCACCGAATGCTGCTCCGTCCTCATTTCCGAAATGGGTATTTTATAACATTCTGGCCTCAGTGTTCAACTTGCAGTAGTTTAGTAAGAAATAGAATATCTATAGCAATAGGTAACTGGTGATGCTTATGAATTAAGTATTCAGACATTTTAGGGCCTGGTTCATTTTGGAAAACAAACAAAAAAATAACATCTACACCTGTTCTGCAGCCTGCATTTAAAAACAAATTTCTCTATTAAAACTTTGAAGCCTGGTTTGCTTGCATGCCATATGGAATATCTCCAAGAAGGTTATTAAGAAATCTTAATTCAAGATGATGGAAATAAGGCAGCTCGGAGTAATACTTTTCCTACAGTCAAGCTACTAATGCTGAGATTGGGTTTAGAATTTTAAGAAATACTTAGAACATTCCACTTGTTCCTTGATGGGAAAATCTAACAAGAAGGTTAGGTTATAAGCATCAGCCTCAGCATCTAGGGCCTCAGCTCCTCTTGAGAAGAAAGGACGGTGAACAAGTTCGCATTTTGCTCCACAAATGCATGAAAGGACAAATTGCATCTTCCTATCAGTATTGAACTTCCTTTTACTAATGACAAATAAATATATCTATATTTTTAAAACGGGTGTTTTGCTTTATTATGCTTTGAAAGCCAGAGAACTCTGCTCCTCCCTTCCCTGATTTTGTGCCCTCGGGGACCCTCCCCCGCGTGAACTTGCTTCTCCTCGGTCTTTGCTCGGCTTCTGTGTCCTTCTGAGACTGTGTCCTTCTGCCTCTGCCTCCGCTTGGCCGCTGTCCCCTCCTGCCATGATCTTGTCTCTCACCTCCCTTGCCTCGGCTTCCTTGTCTGCAAGGTGGGCACGCACCCTGCAGGCGGGGGTGGGAGAATTTGGAGGTCAGCTCTTGGCCCTGCGGGTTCCGCCCCCGCAGCCGAGGGGGCTCGCCGCCGCCTGCACGCGCTCACTTCCCCTGGAACACAGGCGCGCTCCCGGGTCCGCGAGCGCGAGGCACGTGGTGACAGCCGTTGCCCGGGCGCCCGTTGCTAGGAGCGCGTTGTCACGGACGCCGCTGGGCGCCGGCTCCGTCTGCCCGGCGCTGCGCCATGGACGACTTGCGGGTGCTGTGGATGCGCGACCGTGTGTACACGGCCTTCGGCCTCAGCGACCCGCAGATCTTCGAGGAGCTGCTGAACCGCAACGATGGCGAGGGCGAGGACACCGTCCTGCACTTCCTCAACCAGCGGAGCGACGAGGAGGGCGCCGCCACGCTCTTCTTCTACCTCACCGTGGTGCCCGAGGAGGTGGAGGTGGAGATGGGTGAGCCCGCCGCCTGGCGCTTCCTGCCGCCGCCACTTGCTGCCACTGGCAGAACCCGGGACTGCAGCAGCCTGGCCCTCCCGGGGGCTTAACTGGCACCGAAGGGGTTAAGTAACCCGCCCAAGGCCACGTGGGTGGTGGTATTCACTGTCTGGTGACACGCAGTGGCCCGCTGGTACCCCGGCTCTCTTTGGTGGCCTGCAGGGCCTCAGGGAATTAGAAGAGCACCCCTTTCTATTTCTGGAGGCTCCTCGTGTGCTAAAAAGTAAAGTTATGCCAAAGCAAGGCTTTGAAACATTACAGTAGATTTAAAATGCTTATGTTGCATAAGGCAGCATCTTTAATACCGAAAAATGACAGCGACTGGGTGCCCAGACCGTCTGTGGGGGGGGGGGCCTCCCCAGTGGGTAGGCCTGCCCACTCGGAAAGGCCAGGGACTCAGAGAGGAGGGAGCACAGGCTTGAAGGAGGAGGCAGGACAGAGTGGGGGACGTGGGACAGGAACATGCAGGGAAGGACACAGAAAAAGTTGGCTAGTTGCTGCAGCATGGGGACAGCTGTCCTGAACTCCTGCCATGTCTGTAGCAGCCTCCAGTCCATGAGGCCTGTGGGTCCCACGTTGGGCCTCTCACAGGTGGGGATGGTGGGGCAATGATATTTTAAGACACTAGGCACATTCATTTATTTTATTTAGTTTATTCCCCCCTCCCCCCCCCTTTTTTTTTTAGAGACAGGGTCTTGCTCTGTAGCCCAGGCTGGAGTGCACTGGTGTGATCTTAGATCTCTGTAACCTTGAACTCTTGGGTCTGAGTAGCTGGAACTACAGGCATTTACCACCATACCTGGCTAATTGTAAAAAAATTTTTGAAGAGTTGGGCTCTTGCTGTGTTGTCCAGGCTGGTCTCAAATTCCTGGGTTTAAGCAATCCTCCCACCTTGACTTCCCAAAGTGCTGAGATTACAGGTATGAGCCACCATATTCATTTATTTTAGGTGTGAATTCTTTATATGCACAAAATAATACAGGTATTCATTGTAAAGAAATCCAAAACCACAGATAAACAACAATAACAAATTGCCAGCGGCACCCATAGACATGACCACATGATAATTTTTTGGAATCTCACCTTCCAGTCTCTTACTCCCCTGGGCAGACCTGTGGACCTGGACATTAATTACATTGTAGCGGGACCTTGAATTTAGGCTCTTCCATTTATCATCAAGTGAAATTGTGGAAATAAAAATACATGAACGGGGCCGGGCGTGGTGGTTCACGCCTGTAATCCCAGCACTCTGGGAGGCCGAGGCAGGCAGATCACTCAAAGTCAGGAGTTCAAAACCAGCCTGAGCAAGAGTGAGACTCTGTATCCACTATAAATAGAAAGAAATTAATTGGCCAACTGAAAATACATAGAAAAAATTAGCCAGGCATGGTGGCACATGCCTGTAGTCCCAGTTACTTGGGAGGCTGAGGCAGGAGCATCACTTGAGCCCAGGAGTTTGAGGTTGCTGTGAGCTAGGCTGACGCCACGGCATTCTAGCCCAGGCAACGGAGTGAGACTGTCTCAAAAAATAGAAAAAAAAAAAATACACGAATGGGATTGACCACTCAACATGCACCACAGTTTCGGTAACCTGGATTTTGTATACTTTAAAAAAATTATACCAAGACCCTAAAAAGTACATGTGACTTGAACCGCTTGCAGAAGCCCTAGCAGGGTAGCTGTTTTCTGCTCTGTGTTTGCTAGCACATGTTTAGCCGAAATGTCTTCTGGTTGGATGTCCCTATCCTTTGTGGAAGCAGAATTCAGTCTCACTTCAGAGAGTAATTCCTGGACCCACTAAAGGGTGCTCAGAGATCCCTATCATCTGTGACCTGTTTCTGGCTACCTCTGCCCCTGGTCTTCCTCTCTGTTTCTGGCTCTTTCCTGCTGTCACTGTATGGTGAGAAGCCACCATGCCTGGAGGTGCCAGGTGGCACTGGGTGTTGGGCTCTGGCTAGGTGGGGAGAGGGGACCTCCTCTCCAATTCTGTGTCTCTCATTGTCACTGCCTGCCTATTAGGCCCACAGGTTCGCAAACACCCCCGAACAGCTTTAGGGGGATTCTGGTCTGTCCAAAGGACTTTCAGCGAGGTGGCGTGTCCTTTCATTCCTTTTTTCTGCCCCTCCCCTGGTCAAGACTTCTCTTTACTCCCAGTTAACAGTGCTAGGAGTGAGATAGGGAGATAACTGGGGACGAGGTGAGGACAGAGGTGTCCTCGGTGGTAGCAGGTAGCTCAGGAGGCTGTTCTAGCAGGCGTGCATGTGGTCTTTCTTGAAATAAAATGGAATCATACTGCACGTATCATTTAATAACTTGCTCACATTTCAAAAACTTACACAGGTATTGGCGGATACATGGTCTCTAAAAAATTCACATAACATAGAATTATATAAAGTAAAAAGTGAAAAAGCAGCACTTCACCATCCCTTAAGCCTAAATCCTATTCCTATGGGTAACCACTCCCATTCCTATGGGTAACCACTGTTATTAGTTTGGTGTTGTACCCTGTTGGCTCTTTTTCCAAATATCTATCTACCTACCTGTCTATCTCCCTACCTCTCTTTCTAAATCTCTATCTATCTGTTTGTCTACCTACCTATCTATGTCTGTCTGTCTGTAACTATATATAATGATATTTCCAATGATAATATATAGGTACATATGTGGTTGCTAAAACTGTAAATAAAATTGTACCATACTTATTGTTTTGTGACTCCCCCTCCCCAGCAACATATCTTGGAGATTTGTTCATGTCAATACCTACAGATCTACCTAACGCTATCAATTTTAAATATATACACGTATGGTATTTGACTTACCCATTCCCCAATTGATTGACATTTAGCATTTTTAGAGTATTTCATTCTACAAACAATGTAACAATATCCGTCTAGCTTCAGCTTTGTGTACTTCTGTAGGCTAGATGTATGAAAGTGGTGTTGGTGCGGTAATGCCTGTACTCGTTTCCAATTTGGGCCGGGCCGGTCCTGCCAAACGGTCCTCCAGAAAGGCCCTGCCTGTCACACTCCAGCGACAGTGGGTGAGATGCCTGTTTCCCAACAGCCTTGCTGACATTGGATGTTGTCACAGTTTTAGATTTTTGCCAGCATCATAGATGAAGAGCAGATGCATGTCCTGACTCTGTTCACATTTATATTTATATAAATGTTAGTGGAGTTGAGCCTCTTTTTCCCTTCAGTTTTTTATTATGGCAACATAAATGTAACACACACTTTACCATCTTAGCCATTTTTAAGTGTGCAGCTCAGCGCAATTAAATGTATTCATAATGTTGTGCAACCACGAGCCTCTTTTTCAGGCTTCTTGGTCATTTATGTTTCCTCTGGGCTGGTGGTGACTCTGTGATCCTTCTCGTTTCCTTCATCTCTGGGCAGAATTTGTACAAACCTTCCTTGCGGTCACCAGAAGCCGGCTGCAGTGACAGGCGCCTTTCCCTATGACGGTGGCATGCATGGGTCTTCGGTGGGCCGCGCCCCGACCCCTCGGCTCCACGGAAAGCAAACATAGCGGGTGTTTCGTGCAGTGAAAAATGACATTTTATCTTTTCTTTTCATGTGTGTGGCTTTAAAGAAATCGAGACACCTACTGACTTCGAAGAGGAAGACGCGGAAGAAGAGACAGCTTACCAGAGACTGTACTATGCGGATAAGGATAAATCGGTTTATCAGAAAGCGGACTATGCGGATAAGGATAGATCGGCTTATCAGAAAGTGGACTACGCAGATAAGGATAGATCGGCTTATCAGAGAGTGGACTACGCAGATAAGGATAGATCAGCTTATCAGAGAGCGGACTACGTGGATAGGGATAGATCTCGAGGTGCGGTGGCGAGGAGCACGGGGTGGGCGGGGCAGGGGGAGCCCACCCTGGGTGCAGGGCGCTCACCGCCACAAGGCCCTGGGTTCCTGCTGTCCCTCGGTGCCAGGTATAAGGGAAACTGCTGGCTTGGTGACAGATACACATAGTAGTTTCCAGGGCTGTCATCAGGAGTCACCACCGACTTTGTACTGTTAGGAATGAGAACTATCATGTATATTTCACAGAGCCCACAGAGCCCTGTTTTTTTTTTTTTTTTTTTTTTTTTTTTTTTTTTGAGACAGAGTCTCACTCTGTTCCCTGGGCCATGGTGCCATGGTGTCAGCCTAGCTCACAGCAACCTCAAACTCCTGGGCTCAAGCAAGCGATTCTCCTGCCTCAGCCTCCTGAGTAGCTGGGACTATAGGCATGTGCCACCACGCCCGGCTAATTTTTCTATTTTTAGTAGACATGGGGTCTTGATCTTGCTCAGGCTGGTCTCCTACTCCTGAGCTCAAGCCATCCTCCTGCCTCGGCCTCCCAGAGTGCTATGATCACAGGCATGAGCCACTGTGCCCGGCCAAGATGTGATCATTTTATTTAGACTACTTTTCTTTTTGTCCCTCATGAGTCTCATAGTGAAAAAGGTGTAAATGCAAACAGGTTAGCCATCCTCATCTTAATGATAAACTCCTTTTAAAGTAGAAATCTCAGAGAAGCCACATGTTGGACCCTGTAGCTGGAAAACCACACAGACACACACACACACACACACACACACAATTTTTGATGGATGACCTGTGAAAAACACAGCCCAACTCTCTTCAGTTATAATGTACGTCAAGCCTTCATTTGTAAAATATGTCCGTGTAGCTAATGGATAACATGCCTTTTGAATCAAATATGCTGTTACACAAAATGCAGGCCTGCCTGATCTTGACAATAGGAAACCTAACTTTCTCATTATTTCATCTTACATTTGGAATAATGTCTTGCAGGGAAGAGTATTGTGCAGAAAAGTGCTTCTGTTGGTCAACGTTTAACCAGCCTAGACAATGAAGACATAGACAAAGAGACTTCAGAAAAACTCCCCACCAAAGTACGCACGGCCCTTGGTCTTCTTTGCTGGGGTAATGGGATGCTGCTGCCCGCTGGGGGTCCGGGGGATGGACACAGTCCCTCCAAGGGACTCATTGTTTTGGAGTGGAGATTATAGGACCCCGTGTTAAGGGCCCTCAAGACCGCTCTCAGCTTTAGTGCTCGGCTAGAAGGACTTACAGGACCCAGAAAAGCTGTTATACTCACCGTTCTCATTTATCCCAGTGAAAGAGTGCAAATTAGCATCAGCAAAGGTGCACAGGGTGGAGGCCAGGACAAAGCAGGTGCACATTGTCCTCTCCCAGTGACGCTGCAGGGCTGGTGCTTAGTTCTCCCAGTAACCAGTGGGTGATAACTTGCACAGAGTATCGCCAACCAGGGAGGCTCACCCAAGCCTCAGTGTCAGGGTTTGTGTTGGGGGACAGTCACGCAGGCATGGAGCATCCACACACTGACGTCAGTTACTCAGCTTCCCCAGCCCTCAGCCCCCAGCCTCCACCTCCACCCCAGAGGTCGAACTGCGACAAGCGTGACCTGACCAGGATTCCAGGCAAAAATAAAACAGGCATTCACCATGAATCAAGCAGTTAGCAAAAACAACCTGGCTTAGCCCAAAACCCCAGCTATGCAGAGACACTCACACCAGGCAGGACATTCCAGAAGCTTAGTTGTCACCCCGGAGCCAGTCAGAGACCAGGCCTGAAGACATCTGGGGATGTGGGGGTTTGGATAACCCAGGCCTGCTGAGTGAACGCTTTCTTGCAAAAATCCCAAGGGTGGTGTTTAAGACTAGGATGTCAGCATTCAGCCTGGCCTGTGCTTAGTGAAATTGTACTTAATTGCTTCATGAATATGAAACAGAATTCAGACCTGCTTTGTTGCAAGGTCTGGCCTAGCAAAGCTCTGTCTGGACTTTTTCCAGGTCAGTTTATTGGGACCTGGCTGTGCTGGCCAGTCGACAGAGGGGTCAGGTGTAGAGGTCTAAGTCTGGGTGCATTGTGGTCCCTCATTGTAGTCCCCCAGTTCCTATTGTCTGGCTGTGGCTGTGTCATGCGGAAGTGAGATCTGCCCCTGCGCTGAGAAGAGACCTCAGGCGCACCTGAGTCTTAGGGCCTTCGGATGAATAAATGTATCTCAGGAATGACAGCTTTTGTTCCCCGTGTTTCAGAGGCTTGTGCAGATCATCGTGGACAAGGTGTACCTCCACATGCTGTGCACGCCTGTTCCTGAGGAGTTTCTGGACCAGAACATAGTATTTTTTCTCCGAAATACCAAAGGTATATTTCTGCTGTGTGTGTGTGTGTGTGTGTGTTGGGGGGCGGGTTATGTGTGGACATACGTGTGTGCATGATTCTTTCTCTTACGTTTTCTTGAGAACATAACTTTTTTTTTATTTTTTATTTTTTTATTTCAGCATATTATGGGGGTACAAATGTTAAGGTTATGTATATCGCCGATGCCCCCCTCCCCCCTCGAGTCAGAGCTTCAAGCGTGACCATCCCCCCAACGTTGCACATCTTACTCATTGTGTTTGTATATACCCATCCGCCCTACCCTCTCCCACCCGCCTGACACCCGATAAATGTTATTCCTATATGTCCACTTAGGTGTTGATCCATTAATACCAATTTGCTGGTGAGTACATGTGGTGCTTATTTTTCCATTCTTGAGATACTTCACTTAGTAGAATGGGTTCCAGCTCTATCCAGGAATATACAAGAGGTGCTAGATCACCATTGTTTCTTAAAGCTGAATAGTACTCCATGGTATACATATACCACATTTTATTAATCCACTCATGAATTGATGGGCACTTGGGTTGCTTCCACAACTTTGCAATTGTTAATTGTGCTGCTATAAACATTCGAGTGCAGGTGTCTTTTTCATAAAGTGACTTTTGATCTTTTGCGTAGATGCCCAGTAGTGGAATTGCTGGATCAAATGGTAGATCTACTTGTATCGCTTTGAGGTATCTCTATATTGCTTTCCACAGAGGTTGAACTAGTTTGCAGTCCCACCAGCAGTGTAAGAATGTTGCTATCTCTCTGCATCCACGCCAACATTTATTGTTTGGGACTTTTGATAAAGGCATTGTCACTGGAGTTAAGTGATATCTCATTGTGGTTTTGATTTGCATTTCCCTGATGATTAGAGATGTTGAGCATTTTTTCATATGTTTGTTGGCCTTTATTCTGAGAAGTTTCTGTTCATGTCCTTTGCCCATTTTTTGATAGGGTTGTTTGATTTTTTTTCTTGCTGATTTTCCTGAGTTCTAAATAGATTCTAGTTATCAGCCCTTTATCGGATGTAGCTTGCGAAAATTTTCTCCCATTCTGTAGGTTGTCTGTTTGCTCTCTTGACAGTTTCTTTGGCTGTGCAGAAGCTTTTTAATTTGATCAGGTCCCATTTATATATTTGTTGCTGCTGTGATTGCCTTTGGGGTCTTCTTCATAAATTCTTTGCCTAGACTAATGTCTAGAAGAGTATTTTCAACATTTTCTTCTAGAATTCTGATAGTTTCACACCTAATGTTCAAGTCTGTTACCCAGCATGAGTTGATTTTTGTGATAGGTGAAAGATGTGGGTCTTGTTTCAGTCCTCTACATGTGGCTATCCAGTTTTCCCGGCACCATTTATTGAATAAGGATTCTTTTCCCCAGTGTATGTTTTGTCTGCTTTGTTGAAGATTAGTTGGCTATATGAGGATGGTTTTATATCTGGGTTCTCTGTTCTGTTCCACTGGTCAATGTCCCTGTTCTTGTGCCAGTGAAAAGCTGTTTTAATTACTGTAGCTTTGTAGTATAGTTTGAAATCTGGTAAACTGATACCTCTTATTTTGTTTTTATTGCCTAGGATTGATTTTGCTATACGGGGTCTTCTCTGGTTCCATATGAAGCATAAAACTATTTTTTCTATATCTGTGAAAAATGATGATGGTATTTTAATAGGGATTGGATTGACTCTGTAGGTCACTTTGGGTAGTATAGACATTTTAACAATGTTGATTCTGCTGACCCTTGAGCATAGTATATTCTTCCTGTTTACATCCTCTGCTATTTCTTTTTCAGTGTTTCATAGTTCTCCCTGTAGAGGTCTTTTACCTCCTTAGTTAAATGTATTCCTAGGTGCTTATTTCTTTGTTGGTATTTTGAAGGAATTGAGTCTTTGATTTGGTTCTCACTTGTACTGTTGTTGGCATATATGAATGCCTCTGATTTCTGTGTATTGATTTGTATCCTGAGACTTTACAAATTCATTTATCAATTCAAGAGTCTCTTGGTTGAATCCTTGGGGTTTTCTAGGTATAATATCATGTCATCGGCAAAGAGAGAGAGTTTGATCTCTTCTGCTCCCATTTGGATGCCCTTAATTCTGCTCTCTTGTCTGATTGCTGTAGCCAGGACTTCCAGCACTATGTTGAACAGAAGTGGAGATAGTAGGAAACCTTGTCTTGTTCCAGTTGTAAGTGGGAATGATTTCAATTTTTCCCCATTCAGTATGATATTGGCTGTGGGTTTGTCATATATGGCTTGTACCATTTTTAGGTAAGCCCTATCTATGCCTATTTTGTTGAGCGTTCTTTTTTTTTTTTTTTTTTTTGAGACAGAGTCTCACTTTGTTGTCCAGGCTAGAGTGAGTGCCGTGGCGTCAGCCTAGCTCACAGCAACCTCAAACTCCTGGGCTCGAGTGATCCTTCTGCCTCAGCCTCCCGAGTAGCTGGGACTACAGGCATGTGCCACTATGCCCGGCTAATTTTTTATATATATATATCAGTTGGCCAATTAATTTCTTTCTGTTTATAGTAGAGACGGGGTCTCGCTCTTGCTCAGGCTGGTTTTGAACTCCTGACCTTGAGCAATCCGCCCGCCTCGGCCTCCCAAGAGCTAGGATTACAGGCGTGAGCCACAGCGCCCGGCCTGTTGAGCGTTCTTATCATAAAAGGGTGTTGAATTTTGTCAAATGCTTTTTCTGCGTCTATTGAGAGGATCAGATGGTTTGTTTTTGCTTCTGTTTATGTGGTGAATTACATTTATAGATTTGCATATGTTGAACCATCCCTGCATCCCTGGGATGAAGCCCACTTGGTTGCGATGGATTATTTTCTTGGCAAGCACCTGGATTCGATTGGCTAGGATTTTGGTGAGAATTTTTGCGTCTATATTCATAAGGGATATTGGTCTTTAGTTTTCTTTTTTTTAGAGAACATAACTTTTTATGAATAGAGTTGGTCCTCATTTTTCCTGGATTCTTTACTTGTGACTTCGCCTACTTGTTGGCTCGCGTCTGCCCGTAACCCCTCGGGCGACACTGGCGGTACATTCGAGGCCGTTCACGGACGTGGGCAGAGGGGGGAGAAATTTGAGTCTCCCAGGGCTTCGTGTTCCCAGATGAGTCTGAACAAGACGACATTCTGCCTTCCTGTGTCTGCTCTCATCCTGTGAGCAGGTGTCCTTCTCATGACCGATTTAGTGCCATACTTCCTGCATTTTTGTGCTTTTTGGTGGTGATTTTGCTGCTTTAAATGGCCCCTGAGTATAGCGTGCAGGTGTTGTGTGTGTTCCTAAGGGCCAGGAGGCTGCAGTGTGCCTCATGGAGAAAGCAGGGAAGCTTTGTTCAGGTACGCACAATCGAGCAGTTTTCCATGAGTTCAATGTCAACGAGTCGATGCTGTATATTAAATATGGTGTCTTTAAACAAGCGCATATGGACAAAGTTGGGTGTCGATGGGTTGATGCATGGTGGTGCCCAGCGACTCACAGGACCCGGCGCTGTGTTTGCGCTGGGAGCAACGGTTCAGCCTTCCGATTCTGCGCTCGGTCATGGGGACCTTATAGAATGTCACTACCAGGAACAACAACAACCGACCGTACGTTCTTGACTCTACTCATAACAATCAGAGGAAGATTCTAAGCCAGCGTTATTCATTTATAAGAAGAGTTTTTGTGGGCTTCTCTGAGTGGCTGTGCAGTTTAAAATGCAGGTGCCACTCGGAGGCCAAGTTCATCGTGCAGGGTCACTTTTTGGGCATTCCCACGGCACTCTGTCCTGTCTGAGTACCCCCCAACTCTTGCTGAACCCCCTTCAGAGCAGCATTCACAGCAAAGCGGAGGCCCGGGGTGGGCGGCACCGGTCTCTGGCCTGACTTCAGTGCCGGTCGATCTCGTTCTACTTGTATTTTCCGCAGTAATCTTTTGCTCATGTCTATGTCCCCTTCTTTCCCACACTGGCTTCCTACGTAGTCCTTTACAACCAATTCCAGTGAAGAGTGTTTGATATAAGGAAACGTGTTCCGCGAGCGATGGTGCATCTCTCCGAGGACTCGGGGAAAGGCGTGACGACTGAAACACATGACATAATGTCCCTAGCTGGTGGATTTGTGGTGCTCCTGTTTTGCGGTCCCATTAGATGGAGGGAGGAGTCTGAGGCCCCTTTGCACTGTCTGCTGTGTGGCTGGTGCTTGGCTGGGTGAAGTGAACACGCATGAAATAAAGCCCGGGTGTTGGGAGGGCAGGCTGCCACCAAATGTGCCCTTTTAGAAACCCCGTGACTCAAAAGATGCTTTGGTGACATGAACCGGGGAGCAGTTGGGAGTGGAGACGGGCAGAACCAGTGTCTGAGCGGGGGGTTGGTGGGGCTGGAGGAGGAATCACAGACAGGGCGGCTTAGACCTCGATTTAGTTCTCGTGGTTCTGGGTGCCGGGAACTCCAAGTTCAAGGTGCCGGCAGATACGATATCTGGTGAGCGCCTCTCCCTGGTCCACGGATAGCGCTTCTCCTGTCCCTGCACGGTGGGGAGCACAGAGGGAGTGGGATCAAGCCCTAGTGTCCCTCTTACAAGGAACTAATCCCATTGTGCCCCTCCCAGCCTAATCACCTCACACACCCCCACCTCCTAACACCGTCACATTGGGGATTCGACGATGCATTTTGGGCCATTCAGGCCATAGCAGCACGGAACCCAGCAAGCATGTCCAGGCAACCCCAGTTATTTCTGTTGTTGCCCAGCTTTGGACACTGCAGTTGGCTGATGTGTGCAGCTCCTGGGCACTGCTTGTAATGATCCGTGAACCACAGGGTTGGCCAGGTGCAGCGGCTCACCCCTGGAATCCCAGCTCTTTGAGAGGCCGAGGCAGGAGGATCGCTTGAGCCCAGGAGTTTGAGGCTGCAGTGAGCTATGATGACACCAGTGCACTGAATGAGACCATGTCTTAAAAAAAAAAAAAAAAAAAAAGAACCACAGTGTGTTGTATTTATTTCAGCTTCTCAGAGGCCCAGGGATTCATTTAAACACAAAAAAGCATCTATTCTGAGTCTGTGACCAGAGCTTGGCTGTGCCGAGACGTGAGCAGAAGGAGATTTCTGCACCCTCGGAAGGGCTGGCTGTCGGCCACTCCCGCTCTGATCTCGTGTCTGGTCTGTTTCTCCTCAGAGGCGGTCGCCGAAGCTACTGACATGAAGGAGGCGATGGAAATGATGCCTGAAACGCTGGAGTATGGAATCATAAATGCTCACGTGCTTCATTTCCTGAGGGATATCATATGTCAGGTAATACGGGGAAAGGAGGAAATCCCGGCATTTCTGAGATTACGGCCACGTGATGCGTGTATTCCACAAACAGGTCGTGGGCACATTTATACCTCAATATAACAGAGTATTCAAGGTCGCAGGCAACGTAAGGACCCGAGTTACCGAAAATGACATCGGGTGATTGCATCCTTAACTTGGCATTGCAGGTTTTCTTGCCAGCGTTGTCCTTCAATCAGCACAAGATGGACTCGACCCTGGGCCAGGCACCTAGAGAGTTCTCTGATGCCTCTAGGTTTGACATGGACCTCCCCAGCGTGCCCGGGGAGCCCGTGGAGTACCACAGCATCCAGTTAATACGGGATGAATTTTTAATGAACCTTCAGAAATTTGCAAACGGTATTCAAAGAACCGTGCAGCAACTGGAAGGTAGGGTTCCGTTTTCCTCCTCTTGAGTTAAGAAGGCAATGTAGGCATTCGGGAGCTTTTTGGTTTTAATTGATAATAGTTCTTGTTTACATGCTTCTGTGCGTGAAAGAAACTGAGCTCATCATTATTATAAGAGACACAAAAAGGAACAGTGCAATCTTTTGTCTTCAAGTATCTTAGAATCCAGTGCCTAAGGAACTAGGGCAGGACAAGGGGCTTAAGAAAAGTATTAAGGTCTGTAGGGTTTGGAAGAGGGAGACCAAGCTGGGGAAATCAAGGAGAGCTTCATGGAGGAGGTGGCATTGGACCTCATCTGAAAGTTGCACTCAGCAGCTGACGTTGTATGGAGCTGGTCTGCACCTCGTTCGATGGGGTGGGCCAGAGTCCCAGAGCCTGGGTCCGGAGGAGAATGTGTGTCTCGGGAAGAGAACAGGGAGGCCGGCAGGCTGGCTTGGTGAGGAAGCTGAGTCTCACGTGGTGGCTGCATTTTTAGGGTCTTGCATTGTGAAAAGACAGAAGAGCCTTTATCAGCAAGACGATGAAGGCTCGTGAAATGGGATTGCTGTTCTAGGAAAATAACCTTTTTTCTTCCTTAAAAGTAAAATTTGACAAGCCCCACTTTGTACACATGTGGAGATCCAAACCTTTTATAACATGTTACGGGATGTTTTTTGGGGCTTCTGTTTAGAATGTTCTTTTCTCCCCCACGGGAAGCACGCTTTCTCTTTCCTCGTCTCTTGTACCTGTTTTCCAGTATTTCTGCGTAGTGTTTTCCTTTCTTTCCCCTTTCTTGTGCTCCTGGAATCAGGATAACACAGCAGAGCTGTAAAGAGTTGTTTCTTATTATCTTAAACACGATCGTATGTCTTGTCCTAGGTGTAAAAAGGTAGCTGAATGAAAAATACATTTGTGTTTTAGATAAAACACTGGCAGGAAATACCTTAAAATGTTATCAGTGACTGTCACTGACTAGGATATGAAAATAAGATGGTTTTTCTTTTTTTTTACAATCAGTATATTCTATTTAAAAAATCAGAAAAGCAAGTGAATTAATATTCTATAAGAGGGTTCAGAATGTTATGGCCAAATCTGACCCACTGCCTGTTTGTAATGGTCTATGGGCTACAAATAGTGTTTTTAATGTTAAATGGTTACATTTTTAGTGGCTATATAAACACCTACATTCTGTCTTTGATTTTGCCTCTTGGCCTGCAATATCTGAAATATTTACTGTTTGGCCTTTTGAGAAAAGTTTGCTAACCCCTGTTCTATAATATTGTGGGGAAGAAGTTTGTTTTTGTTTATGGGACATTTACTAATAGCTTTTTGTTGGTTATTGGCTGTTAATTTAAAAAGCTCTTTTATTCTTTTCTTCAAGATGCATACTATCATAAATGCCAGGTAATCTGTTGCAGGGAGAGTTTTTTTTTTCTTCATGCAGTGAAAGGCAACAGAGTGAGTTTTTAAAATAAGTATGTTATACACACACACACATACACATATATATATATATATTATATAATCTTTCTTTTTTTATGCAGCTTTTCCCTATTTGTCTTTGTTTCCTCTTATTAAAATTCCTATTGGACAGATGGGTATAGATTTTGTTTCTTATCTCTTCTATTTTCCATCTTTTTGTCTTTGCATTCTGCCTTCCTGGAGTGTTCCTCAGCTTCCCAACCTCGGGTTGATAGTTCAGATCTCATATTCTCACACCTCATATTCTCTGACTGTGCCTTTTTCATAGCATCCTATTCTTGTTTGATGGATGCAACATTATCTCAAATCTCTGAGACAAAAAGTTGGGATTTCTTTTTGGAAATTTCCCCCTTTTCTTTGTATTACCTGAATTTCCTCTCAGGTCATTTCCCCCCTGATTTATCTTTGACTGTCTGTTTCATCCTGAAGATCATCTCACATATCTGTTCAGTTGTGGTTGTCTGTTCAAACTTTTAAAAATGGAAGTCACTAGGTTGTAAATTCGGGAACATCTTGAGTAACTAAATCATCATCACGGAGCTTAACAATTATCTAAAATGTTTTGATTGCATTCTAATGAAAGAGAATGAGATAGGGACATTATTGGGACAATGCATGTGTCAGAGCTTGTACTGCTGTATGGAGAGAAACTGGAACATTACTGTTTTAGAGTCATTTTTCCTGAGCCAGTGGCTGACTGGCCATCTTTGTCCTACTAGGTGAGATCAAGTTGGAAATGCCGAGCATCAGTGTGGAGGGAGAGCTGTCTGACCTGGCAGCTGACGCGGAGATCGTTGAGCTCTTGGAGCAATGTGTGATAAACTGGCTGAGCCAGATATCTGCTGCTGTCCAGGACCAGCTGAAGAAGACGCCTCAGGTAATTTGTGCAGGGTTCAAAGATACCTGATCCAGGCTGTGCTCACCACGCTAACAGCCAAGAGACCAAGGGTCTGTATGTTCTGGCCTTTTTCTTACTGTTTTGTCACTTCCTTAAAACATCCAAGTAAACATACCCAAGACATCATTCTTGGGCTCTCTGGTGTTAGTATACCAGATTCCTGCCTGCATTGATAGACTTAACACCGTGTGTCAGTCATGATGCCCGGGCTGCCAGAAACATAAAACCCAACTCACCTGGATCAAATAAGAAAGAGTATTTCTTGCCCCACATAACCAAAACGTCCAGAGGCAGGGCTGGCTTCAGGTATGGTTTGATCAGGACTCTAGCTGAGTTTCCCTGTGAATCTCTTGGTTCTAGCCTCTTCTCTGGGAGGTGAGGGGGCTTCTTCCTCGGGCTGGCTTCCCTCACAGTAGCAACTTGCAGCAGTTTGTGGCCCCACGGCCACAGACCGCATTGTCCAGAGAAAGGCCGCATGTCTTTGCCTCTCGTTCCCAGCCGGCGCCCTGAGACATTCACTCTGATTGCGCCATCCGAGATCGGAAGGCCACCTCTGGAGGCCCTGTATGGACCAGAGCCATAGGGGAGGAAGGAACAAGTGCCGAAGAAACTGCCGCGGGTGTCTGCTTCACACTAAGGATGCGAGTTCTCTGTGTGTTCCTTTCGCCACCCAGGGTCATGGCCCTCTGGCTGAAATTGAATTCTGGCGGGAAAGAAATGCAACCTTGAGTGCGCTTCATGAACAAACAAAGCTGCCAGTGGTCAGGAAAGTCTTGGATGTGATCAGGGAGGCGGACTCCATGATCATGGCCAACGTGCAGCCCGTGCTCACCGAGCTGTTCAAGCTCCACACGGAGGCCTCGGACAACGTGCGCTTCCTGTCCACCGTGGAGCGCCATTTCAAGGTAGGCCGGCGCGCGGCGCTGCGGAAAGTTGGCTCTGTCGGCGAGCTCTCACGTAACTCCCCTTTTTATTTCATTCAGTATTTTAAAAACTGTGCTAAAATAGATATGGCATAGTATTTATCATCTTAACCACTTCCAAGTGCACGGTTCAGTGGCATAAATACATATGTGATGTCATGTCCACGTGGCACTATCCATAGCCAAGCCCATTTCGATCTTCCCAAACTGAAACTCTGTGGCTATTAAATGCCACCGCCCCCTTCCGGCCTCCCCCACGTCCCCTGTGATCTCTGTTCACCGTGCAGTCTCTTATGAACTTGACCGCTCCGGGGACTTCATACAAGTGGCATCACGCAGCATTTGTCCTTCCGTGTCCGGCTTCTGTCATGCAGCATAATGTTTTCAAGGTTTGCCCACGTTGTAGCTCGTGTCAGTGCCTCATTCCTTTTTTTTGGCTAAATAACGTTCCACCATGTGGATATGTTAACACTGCATTTTGTTTCTCCATCCATCCGTTGGTGGATAGTTGTCTGCACACTTTGGCTGTTACGAGCAATGCTGTTGTGAACGGCTGTGTGCAAGGTTTTGGGCGGACCCATGTTTTTAGGGACCCTTATGCCTGGGCGTGGAATAGCTGGGTCATGTGGTAGCTGTTTAACCTTCTGGGGAACTTCTAGACTGTTCTCCAAAGCGGTTGCCCCCATTACATTCTCATCAGCAATATGTGAGGTTTCCAGTTTTTCCACATTCTCACCAACACTTGCTACTGTCTGTCTTCTTGATGAAAGCCATTCTTGTGGGTAGGAAGTGGTGTCTCATTGTGATTTAGTTTGCATTTTGCTCATATTATTAGCTAGTGAGACAAAATGTGCTTAATGTGCTTCTTGCCAATTTCATATCTTTGCACATTGTTTTTTTGTCTTATTATTGATTTGTTAGAGTTCTACAAAAATTCTGAGTATCAATTTTTTATCAGCTGTATGATCTGCAGCATCCCAGTCTGCAGGTTATTTTTTTCACTTTCTTAACAACAACCACTGTGTTTGTCTCCGCATTTTGTGGGTCAGGAATTTGGGAAAACTTAGCTGGGTGGTTCATCCGGGCTTCCGAGACAACCGCGGGTGGTTGGGCCAGAGGACCCCTTTCCAAGGGGGCTCCTTTGCCTGCCTGTCTGGCACCCTTGGCATCTCCCCTCTACACAGTGTCTCACGCCCCAGGGCCCCTCCAGTGGTTGGGACATGGTAGAGCCTGTGGTTTCGGGGTAACAAAGTGGTCATGCTTCTTCCATGAATGGAGAAGAGTGAAAGTTCTCGTGCACCACACTATTTGCTCAAGCTGTGGGAGCGGCACAGCCGAGGTCTTGCACTGCTCTGTCTGTCTGTCTGTCTGTCTGTCTGTCTGTCTGTCTCTCTCTCTCTCTCTCTCTCTCTCTCTGACTCGCTCGCGCCCCCTCCCTGCTCAGAACATAACGCACGGCTCGAGCTTCCACGTGGTCCTGGACACCATCCCGTCCATGATGAGCGCCCTGCGGATGGTGTGGATCATCTCCCGGCACTACAACAAGGACGAGAGGATGATCCCGCTCATGGAACGCATCGCCTGGGAGATCGCCGAGCGCGTCTGCAAGGTGGTCAACCTGCGGACTCTGTTCCGGTGAGCAGCAGCAGCCTTTGTTTATTTATTGGATCCGAAGCAGCTTTGCTGAGCTGTAGTTCACCCACTGCGCCACTCTCCCATTTAAAATGTAGAATTGTAGCCGGGCGCGGTGGCTCACGCCTGTAATCCTAGCACTCTGGGAGGCCAAGGCGGGCGGATTGCTCGAGGTCAGGAGTTTGAAACTAGCCTGAACAAGAGCGAGACCCCGTCTCTACCAAAAATAGAAAGAAATTAATCGACCAACTAAAAATATATATACAAAATTTAGCCGGGCATGGTGGTGCACGCCTGTAGTCCCAGCTACTTGGGAGGCTGAGGCAGCAGAATCGCTTGAGCCCAGGAGTTTGAGGTTGCTGTGAGCTAGGCTGATGCCACGGCACTCACTCTAGCCTGGGTAACAAAGTGAGACTCTGTCTCAAAAAAAAAAAAAAAAAAAAGAATTGTGTGTCCGTCACCAAGGTCAATGTTAGAACATTTTAGAAGCCTTGTCCCTTGTAACGGTCCCTCCTAGCCTCCCCGCAAGGGACCCGTACACCTGGGGGCACACAGTATGGGAATCCTGTGACATGTGGCCTTTGGGGTCTGGCTTCTTTCACTCAGCACCACGTTTTCAAGGCTCGCTGATGTTGTAGACATATCAGTGCTCCTTTCCTCTTCATGGCCGAATAATACTCCATTGCATGGAGATGTGTGCATATAAAATTGTGTTTTAACTGGGACTTCCTTCCCCAGGTATACGTGGGGACACTGAGGCAGAGGGCCAGGGTGTCCGCAGTCCTGGAGCCCGGCCCCCTCAGATGGAACAGCCTTGGAAGATGTTGAGGGAGACAGAGAACTTCTTTCACTTTCTTAAAAAAGAAAATCCACATAGGGGAAATGGGTGCCCAAGTTGCGGCACTGCAGCCACCGCGATTGACCTCCGGTCTGGGGCCCAAGGCCGCCCGCCCTCCCTGTACCAGAGAGAAAAGCCACCAGGAGTGGCACAGGCTTGGGCGCCGGGTGGCAGCGCGGCAAAGCCTGCAGCTTGGCTCCCTGCCCCTGCATGCCATGAATCCAGGGAGGCTCCTGGGTTCGAACCCCCCATCCGGGTCACCTGCTCCCCTGGGGCCCTGCAGCCCTGCCCGGCACCCACCATGCCACCTCTTGGCTTTGCAGAGAAAACCGAACGAGCGCCCAGCACAAAACCTTGGAGGCCAAGAACACACTCAAGCTGTGGAAGAAAGCCTACTTTGACATCCGGGCCAAGATTGAGGCCTCGGGGAGAGAGGCTCGATGGGAGTTTGACCGGAAGCGGCTATTCGAGAGGACAGATTACATGGCCTCCATCTGCCGGGACCTGTACGAAGTTCTCCAGGTAGAGCCCGGCCGTCCAGCCAAGGAGAGTCTGGATCTGCCCAATGGGAAGCTCTTGGCTTTGTGACAGTGGACCCCTCCCTGCCAGGCAGAAGCTGGGGCTCAGGAAGGGCCTGGTGAAAGAACACACAGAATGTAGTAGAATGTGCCAGAATGCATCAGAGCACACCAGACCTTTGCAGCGTTTTCTTGTCTTTGGTAACATCCCTTCCTCCCCTCTGCCTTTAGGTTCCTTGGACCTCTTTGGCTGCTCCTTCTCCCTATTCTCTGCGAAGTCCCCCTCTGTCTTCCCAGCGCACGTTGGCATTCCTCAACGACAGTGCCCCTGCATCCTTGTCCTAGATGTCTCGAGCTGGCCTAGACTCCCTTAGGGGCTTGCAGGACTCACGGTTCCACTAGAAGTCTCTGCTGGGGCAGCACAGTGCCCTGCGGAGCAGCAGACGGGCAGATTGCTGTCCCCTCCTCTGCCCACACACGCACACCCCTGCCGCATCACAAAACACTAGTTCAGACAGCAAATTACTAAGAATTTCCAGTTGGTAATAGCAGAGCCCTAACTCCAGCACAGGGCTCTTCTGAGCAAGCGTTGTGAGGCTGTGGTTGCGTGGAGCTTACCGTCCAGTGGAAGAGAAAGATGGTAGACTTCACTGTCACACGCCGCAGCTGAGGCAGACGCTATAGAAAGCACATTGAGGGTGCTCTGGCATGTGCACCAAAGGCCTGACCTGGTCTAGAAGGATCGTTCACAACAAAGGGATAATTAGTCACGAGTAGGAGCTAGTTAGCTTCCCACTGTGAGTGCAAAGGCCCTGCGGCAGAGAGGAGTGTGGACCTGAAGGAGGGTTGGGGTGGCTGGGGCAGAGCAGTCTGGGAAGAAGTTGGGGGACTAGGCAGGGGCAGAACTTGCATGTCTTGCAGGCTACGTGAGGGCGCCTGGATCTTATCCCACGTGCAGTGGCATAGTACCAAAGGGCTTAGTCGAGGAGGAGGTTGCCCTCAGCGACTCTAGACCTGCTATCCATTTGTAATCAGAATAGTCCTGAGAACACCACACTAACCTCCTCATTGTTGTTCTGTTTGATCGGCAGGTCATGGAGGAATTTTACAACATATTTGGTCCAGAACTCAAGGCTGTGACAGGGGATCCCAAGCGCATTGACGACGTCCTGTGCCGAGTGGATGGCCTGGTGGCCCCCATGGAAACCCTGACCTTTGACCCCTTCAGCATCAAGTCCTCCCAGTACTGGAAATACGTGATGGATGAGTTCAAGATTGAAGTTCTGGCAAGTGACGCATCCATTGATTCAATCTCGGGGCGGACACCATGTTTTCCCTGCGTTAAGTTTGTTAGGTTGTGTAGTGAGGCATTGAGGTTTCCTTTCTTCTTCTTCTTCTTCTTCTTTTTTGAAATCACAAAAAGCAACACATGCTTATTTTGCAAAAAACAGAAACAATACGGAAGTCATAAAGTAAACGGGAACATTCCTTCATCTTCTTCTTCCGCACTCCGGTTCCCCAGGTGGAAAAGTTTAAATTGAGGTAGACCCAGTAGCATTTCTACGACGTTTGTTCCCTACAATATAAATTCAGCTATTTATGAACCAAGGTGAAAATGAAACCAGATATAGCGAGAGAATCACAAAGTGCTCGGTGGGTTTTTGAAAATTGTGTTTTGTGAGGGGTTGAGGGTGGGGAAGGCAACAAGCTGAAAGCAACATCTGGGGTTGGGGACATTCTGGATGGGGGGGACAGAGCCGAGGAAGCAGAGGGTATCTCAGGAAGTCAGGTGTGGATAAAGGCGACAGAATAAAAAAAACAAAACTGGGGAATTGTCTGAGGCAGAGAAACTCGAAGGGCTTGGTACAACCCACAGGGAGATGGCAGAGAGAAATCAAGCTAGAAAGGTGGGCTGGGTATAGAATTGGAGAGGAGCAAGAAGGGCCAGGGTGAGGGATGCGGCTTAATGTAGCAGGTAGTAGGGAACCATTGAGGGTTGTTGGCCAAGGAGTGAGATAATCAGAATTATACTTCAGGAAGGTTTTTCTGGCCACAGCATCGGCTGCTTTGGGCTGGGGGATGACAGGGTGGGGAGATGATGTCGGAGGTGGTGACCCCAGGCATGGGGGAGGCAGGATTGGTCAAAGAGAGGCTGTAGCTGCCAGGAGGGGGTGGCCTGTCACACTCCCTTTCTCAGTCTCATGGGGGAAGCAGTGTCATTTTACGTCTTACATAATTGTTTTTATAACCCCAGACCATCTTTTTATATGGACAACTCTAGATGGTTACATAGGAATTTTCCATTTTAGTTATATCTCATTCATTCTCAGCTCCTATTTCAAATGTTATTTACTTTTCAAACCGAGCTTTCCATCAAAGTCACTTAATCCAGTAACATTGAAAGGTTCGTGTTAAGAAAAAGCAGCCCCATGTGTGACTCCTTGCCCTTCCCATTTCTGCTGTCATTTTCAATTCCAGATGTTTCTTTTGCTGTTTGCCTCCAGGTTTCCTAAAGAACATGCCAGTGTGATTAATCTTAGACGTCTGTTAGCTGCTCAGATACAGACTTATTGTCCCACTGCTAAGCCCAGTTGCCTCTCTATCCTATAACATAGTTTTATCGTAGCTTCTGGTTGAATTAAGGGTCAGTGTTTGCTCATTATGCCTGTGCAAATACTGGTCACTGCTGAGCCAAGAAGCCTGTCACCTTCCTTGTTCAGCCCTTCATTTTTCCTGGAGATAATCGGGGCCTTTGTTTTTCATTGGCCTGGTCCTTTGCATACCTATTGTTAATTTTTACGAACTTGTCTAGCATCTCTGCCACATGCCCACCAGTAATGGGTTCCATATGCTCCAACCTGTCAGTTCCATTATTTCCCAGAGGTCACTGTCCCCCTACTCTAGTCCACACTGCTTGCGTTCTAGGCCTGTCACAGAGCGGTCACCCTGGGACTTCCTGTCTTCTCTCCTCTGCGTTGGATCTTCTCTTCTGTTTTCTGGATCGCAGGTCTTCCTCTTTCCTTGTTTATGCCTGTGTTTTGCTGGAGCATGTTTCTTTTCTTTTTTGAAAAATATCTTACTATGTTTTTTTTCTTTTCTTTTATTATTGCTATGGCAAGTATGTAGAGCCGTGGGGCACATTTTTAGCAGCTTTCTAAGTAAGGTTTCATGGGACATGTATGTTTTGAGTCTTGTATGCGTGAATTCTGAAATAAGAGTTAGGTATAGAATTCAAGGCTGAAAGTAACTTTTCCTGAGCAATTTGAAGACATTCTTTGTGACTTCTAGTTTCCAATGTTATTAGAGTCTGATGTTCTGATTTAATTTTTTTTTTTTTGAGACATAGTCACACTCTGTTGCCCAGACTAAAGTGAGTGCTTGTGGCATCAGCCTAGTTCATGGCAACCTGAAACTCCTGGGCTCAAGCGATCCTCCTACCTTAGCCTCCCAAGTAGCTGGGACTACAGGCATGCACCACCATGCACGCCTAATTTTTTTTCTCTATATTTTTATTTTTAGCTGTCCAAATAATTTCTTTCTATTTTTAATAGAGGCAGGGTCTTGCTCTTGCTCAGGCTGGTCTCAAACTCAATGATCCACACTAGCCTTGGCCTCCCAGAGTGCTTGATTTAATATATACATTTTTTATTTCTTTTTTATATTCAAAAGTGGGTGCACTTTTGATTTAATATTTTTAATTACATATACATTTTATTTCAGAGTATCACAGGGGTACAAATGCTTTGGTTACATAAATTGCCTTTGCCCCACCTGAAACTGATTTAATTTTTCTAGAACTAACTTCCACCCTTTTATAGAGCAGGGTTGGGATGGGAGGGGTGGAGGATGCATGTGGCTGGCTGTGCAGGGTGGAGAAAGGGATCCTCCAACTGTCCCTCCTCACTTGTCGCCAACCCGGCTTCCTGGTGCAGGTCAGGTGCAAATGCTCATCAGTCTTACAGAGGTTCTGTGGGGACAGCTGCTCCCCTGCGCCCCCTAGTGTCAGCATGAGATTGTAACTCTCTGCCTGCCTTAGAGTTAAATCCCTAGCTCTCTGCTATGTGTCTTGGCTGGTATTTTTTTGTCTATGTGAGTTAACACTTTAAGAAAATTTCTCTTCCCTATCACTTTGACCTGGTTGGGGAGACAGATCAGAGAACCAACACAGCCAATCTGCCATTTTTAATTGTATACCAGTTTCCGTGAAAATGCAGTAGAAATCTGTCCCAAACCACTGATTTTTTTTTTTTTTCTCATTTCTTGCCACTTTGATTTTGTAGGATAATTACGGGGCCATGAGAGCTCTTTTCTTGATTTTTTTTTTTTTTTTTTTTTTTTGCAGGTTATTGAGAAAGAAGCAAAAAATTTTATTGATGAATCTTTTAAGACACTTCGATCAGCTGAAGCAGCATTTGACATGCTTTTAAAATTTAAGCATATTCGTTCACGGGAGGCTGTTAATCGGCAGATGATGATGAAGTTTAATGATATTCTTGCGCAGTACTGCAAAGAGGTAATTGAAACATCGGTAGCTGGCAGAGCAGTGAAAATGCACTTGGCAAAATGTGAACAATTGAACCACTTTCTGCCTTTCCCATTTGAATTCAGAGAAACTGTAGGATTTTCCCAAATAGGCGTGTCACATAATACAGGTAACCCAAAGTGGGTTTGTTTATTTAGTGGAGAAATTCGATATGAGTTTATTGAGTATAATATTATTTATCTGATGTTGTGGTGGCCCCGTGTGAGTTAGTAATAATCTTGGCAATAGTAGTAGCCAGAGCTCACCGTGTCCAAGTATCATCTGTGTATGTGTCATTAATTCAGAAAAATGTATTCAGGGCTCACATCTTCCAAGTATGGTGTTAGGTACAGAGAGACAGACGAAACATAGCTTCTGCCTTCGAAGAAATCAGTATTTAGTGGGAGAAACAAATAAAAAAATGCTTATTGTCTTATTCAGAATATAATATGAGAATATGTGAATAATTAGATCAAAATAAGGCAGTATCAAATAAAAGCCTTCAGTGGTCTCCTAATGTACAATATTAGTTTTCTATTGCTGCTGCTGTCAAACAACCACAAACTTAGCTACTTAAAACAAATCTATTATCTCATAGTACTGGAGGTCGGAAGTTTGCCGCAGGTGTCCCTGCGTGGAAATCAAGGTGTCAGCAGGGCTGGAGTTCCTCCTGGAGTTTCCAGGGAGAATCCCTCCCCCCCAACCCCCTCACTCCCCACCCCGGATTCTAGAGGCTCCTGGCACCTTCCCATCTTCAAAGCCAGGGACGACCAGTTTCACATCTAATCACCGCGACCTCCTCTGCCTCCCCGTTTCTGTTTTGTGGCCCCTTGTGATACGTTGGACCTGCCCAGAAAACCCAGGACAATCTGTTCTAGGACCAGCTGGCTGACAGCCGTAGCTCCAGCCGCAACTGCAGCTCCCCTTTGCCGAGTAGCGAGTAGACAAATTCTCAGGCCCGGGGGATTGGGAGGTTGGTGGTGTTGGGACGTAGACCTCCAGGAGGCCGTTGTTGTGCCTGCCACACCCCGTTACCTCCTCGTTTCTTTTGAAATGCAAGTAAGCCACTGGTCACCTCTGGAACATATTTCAGGATTTCTAATAATTCAATCAAACCCATATACATAGTGCGCAAGGTCTGTTCGTTCTAAGTCAATTTGGAGCATTGCATAGGTTAAACCAGAGGAAAAAAATTGCTAGAGAGCAAAAGAAAAAGTAATAAATAATAAGGAAGTAGTAAAAGCACTCTTCTATATGCTAGAATACTTCTCGACATTGCAATGTTCCTTTCCTTACTGATCCAGATCTCAAGTCTTTTGGGGCTCACACGGTGATGTTTGTCCCTTACTAAATGCATCTGATTGCTTTTCAGATTGACATCGTTAATAAGCTCTTCGTCCAGAACCAGGAAAACCCGCCGCTGTATAAGAACCTGCCCCCCGTGGCGGGCGCCATCTGCTGGGAGCGGTCCCTGTTCTATCGAATCAAGCACACCATCTTGAGATTTCAAGAAGTGGAGGAGATACTGGAAGGTGACCGAGGACAGGAAGTACGTGGCTTTGCTGGAACTGTCTCCTTTTGTATTTCATGCTTTAATCCTAGACAGGTCGGATCTCCCTGGTCTCATCCAGGAGAGTCATCAGCTCTGGGTGGCTGCCACCTGCCGGGGCGACGGAGAGTCTCCGTGTGACAAGCAGCTCACTTTCAAATCCACGCCTGCCAGGGAGAGGGTCTTCCCTGTGGTCCGTGATTCAGAGCTCGTATTTAAAACTACCTTCTGCGTTCTTTCTTTTTGGCATCTTAATACATAGGACATCCTCCAGGTCCTGGTCACATGAGCTGCTTCTTACACTTGATTTTCAGCTTCTCTGGAGGATGATAACTGTTTTTGGGGTACCATCCCTCCCCTGTTCCCATGGATATTTGTTTGTTATATAGCAGAGGTCAGCCTTTTCTTTAAAGATGTAGACAGTAAATATGTTATTCAACCTGCCATTGTTGTAAGAAAGTAGCCCTAGATAACATGCATACGGACAGGCGTGCCTGAGTTCCAATAAAGCTTTATTTGTGGGTGCTGCGATTTGAATTTCATGTAGTTTTCACGTGTTATGAAGCATTATTGTTATTTTGGTTTCCTTCCAATCATCCCCACGGTCACATAAAACCATTCTTGGTTCACGGGCTGTATCAGATTCAGCCCATCGGCTGCAGTAGCTGAGCCCCGCTATTTAGCCTGCATTTCAACCCACACAGCCCCACGCCAGCCCTCCACATCGGTGAAAACCCATCTAGTTCCTTTCTCAAAATGTATTTATAGGTCATTTAACTACACATACGTGTGTGTAGAGGGAGACGAGACAATGTTACTTCCAAGTATGGAATGACTGTTGCGTGCATTCTTTGGTAGGTAAAAGATAAATATTTGGAGGTGGGCAGGACGATGAAGGACTATGAAGACAGAAAGTACGAGCTGTGGAGGGACACCACGGAGCAGGTCCTCCCGAACCTCATGAAGAAGAGTCTCCTGACCAAGGTGCGTATTTCCGGACTCTTGTCCCCAGCTGTGGTGGCCGTGTCAGATGATGGTGTCTGCGTCATTTTCCTGAGGTCCTGTTTGTTGACACTCATGAAGTTGACAGGTGTTTCCAAAATCAAAGGAGGGCAGGGAGTGACCGAAGAAGAGGAGAGGCCAAAAGGAAAGAGAACAGAGCTATTGGAATGGCATGGTTAGGACTCGGCTGGACCCGGGCAGCCCTATCGGCTCCTTGGGCAGCAGGTGTCACTCTGAGCCTTAGTTTCCCTGTTTATAAAATGAGTTGGATCAGATGACATAAACAAGTAAAGGATTAGTTGAACCATATACGGAGTAGCTTTCAGTTGACCTTTTTTTTTTTTTTCCGAGACAGGACCTTGCTCTGTCATCCGGGCTACAGTGCAGTGGTGTGGTCATAGCTCATAGCAACCTCAAACTCTTGGGCTCAAGCAATCCTCCTGTCTCAGCCTCCAGAGTAGTTGGGACTATAGGCACTGGGCTAATTTTTCTATTTTTAGTAGAGACGGGGGTCTTGCTCTTGCTCAGGCTGGTCTTGAACTTGTGACCTCAAGTGATCCTCCCACCACGGCCTCCCAGGGTGCTGGGATTACAGGCGGGAGCCACTGCACCCGGCCCAGCGGACCATTAATAACCTACAGAAAAATGCCATGCCACGTGATTCATCCTTGTCTGTGGCATGGGGCCTGGCACATAGTAGGTGCTCAGCGAACACACACCAGCTATCACAGAGGGACGATGCGGCCTGGCAGCTTTAGGTCTTTGGTCCCAGAAACCCTGACGCAGGCACCACAGTGGGTGTAGAGGGCTCGTCCGCTCGGGTCCCATCAAAGGGGCAGCTGCTGCCTGGTTGCAGGCTATTCTTGCTACACAACTAGACTTTCCAGTTTTCCAAAGGATGCCAGCATTCTGGATTTTTATGTGAACTCACCCAATCTTCAAATGGCGACTAAATGGAATTTTTTAAAAACCTTATTCACCCAAGTACGCGTTCCAGCCAGGGCCCCAGTCAAGGGCTCGGCATTTGTCTTTTTCAAGTTCACTTTTAACGTGGGTTGTCCTGAGCCGACTGCGTCCGGGCCGGCCTTCCGCGCCTCCCAAACGTCTCTTCGCCGTCTTGTCTCTTCCACAGCTGTCCTCCGCTGTCGCTCTCGACGAGCCTTCCGCTTCGGAGAGGGGGATTGTGTTTGCAATCAATTTTTCACCTGCGCTCAAAGAAATTATTCATGAAACAAAGTACCTGGAACAGCTGGGGTTCGTTGTCCCTGAATTAGCAAGAAATGTTGCTCTCCAGGAAGACAAATTCCTTAGGTAAAACGATTCCTCTCTTAAATTAGCAGTAAACTTTTTAGCCTTGGGACCTGTTTACATTTCTTTTTTTTTTTGGGACAGGGTCTCACTTTGTTGCCCAGGTAGACTGAGTGCTGTGCCATCAGCCTGGCTCACAGCAACCTCAAACTCCTGGGCTCAAGCAATCCTTCTGCCTCAGCCTCCCGAGTAGCTGGGACTACAGGCATGCGCCACCATGCCCAGCTCATTTTTCTATTTTTTGTAGAGACGGGGTCTCGCTCTTGCTCAGGCTGAAAAGTAGTATTTTTCAAAAAAGAAAGTTAATGAAAAGAGTGGCATTGTTTTAAATTTTTGCAAATCTCTTCATCAAAACCATAGACAGGTTCATGGTCTTTGGTAACCTACTGATTACGGAAGCTTTGAATTCAGCTGAGCGCTTCCTCACGTCAATGCCTGTTGGTCACGTGCAGGTACACAGACGGGATACAGCGTATGCTGGATCACTATCACACGCTCATCGGAACATTAAACGAGGCAGAGACTATTCTTCTTGAAGATCATGCCCAGGAATTAATCCGGGTGTTTAGGTCTGGATATAAGAGGCTGAACTGGAACTCACTAGGTAAATAATTTTTCTATTTATTACCTTTTCTTTTTCCCTTTTTAGAGACAGGGTGTTTGTTACCTAGGCTGGAATGTAGTGTTATAGTAGTGTTATAGCTACTATGTAGTGTTATAGCTCACTGCAACCTTGAACTCCTGGGCTCAAGCCATCCTCCTGCTTTAGCCTCCCAAGTAGCTGGGCCTGCAGGCGCTCACCATCATGCCCAACTAATTTTAACATGTTTAGTAGAGATGGGGTCTCAGGGTCTCACTATGTTGTCCAGGCTGGTCTTGAACTCCTGGCCTCAAGCGATCCTCCTACCTCAGCCTCCCAAAGTGCTGGGATTACATGCATGAGCCACTGTGCCTGGCCTATTGATTGCCTTTTAGACGTTGGGATGCAAAATTCTTTTAGGTTGTTTTATTTGAATGACAATTTTTGTGTGCTTACAGATGCGATTACCAAATAATTTTTGAGGGTTGATAAAATACACTCTGTGGAACTTAGAGCTAATCTCCAGGCTGCGGTTGGGGTGAAGCTAAGAGGGGTGCCATTGTCACACTCTCCAGACCTAACATGCTCTCCTACAAAAAGAAAGTGACCTTTACCTTTTTAAATTAAAAATATAATCTGGAGGTGATTGTAGATTCACATGCAGTTGTTAAGAATTCCTGCAGAGAGACCCCCGTGTGCCCTTTACCCGGTTCTCCCCAGGAGTGACTTCTGGCAAAACTAGAAGATCACAGCCAAGATCCCGGCACCAACACAGTCAAGCTAGAGAACATTCCCACACCACAGCGATTACAGCCAAACCCACTTCCTCCTCCTCAACCCCTGGCAGCCGTGAATTTGTCCTCTATTTCTGCAATTTTGTCGTTTTAAGAGTATTATCTAAATGAAACATATTACAGAACCTTTATTGGGTTGGTTTGTCTTGCTCAGCCTAATTCTCTGAAGAGCCATCTGAGTTGTTGCATATATCAACAATTTGTGCCTTTTTCTTGCTAAATAGTACTCCAGGGTATCAACATACCATTGTTTGTTTAAGCCTTTTGCCTCTTGAAGGACATCTAGGTTGTCTCCCGTTTTGGCTGTTATGAATAAAGCTGCTATAAACATTTGTGTACAGGGTTTTGTGTGAACATGAGTCTTCGTTTTTATGGAATAAGTGCCCAGGAGTGCAGTCGCTGAGTTGTGTGGTAGTTGCACGTTTAGCTTAGTTCTTTTCTTACTTTTTAGTTGTTGTCCTGTTTTATAGGGTGGCTGTGCCATTTTACTCTTCCATCAGCAGTGCGTGAGCGGTCCAGCTTCTCCACGTCCTGGCCAGTATTTGCTGGGGTCTCTATTTTTTAATCTTAGCCACCTGATACTGTGTGAAGGCAGATTGTCGTGGGTTGGATTTGCATTGCATAATGCCCGATGGTGTTGAGCCTCTTTTCATGTGCTGACTTGCCATCTTTCTGTCCTCTTGAGGGAGGGGTCTTTTCATGTCTTTTGCCCATTTTCTAGTTACATCGTTTGCTTTCTTCACTGTTTTAAGAGTTTTGAGAGATCTTTATATGTTCTGGATACTCGTTCTTTGTTGGATGTGCGGTTTGCAGATAGTTCCTCCCACTCCGCAGCGTGTCTTTTCTTTTGCTTAGGAGAGTCGTTTGTAGAGCAAAAGTTTTAAATTTCGGAGATGTCCAGCTTGTCGGTTTTTCCTTTTATGGGTCCTGCTTTTGGTGTCAAGTCTAAGAATCATCGCCTCGCCCTAGATCTCAAGTTTTCTTTTCTTTTTTTCCCCTCTACAAATGTTATAGTTTAAATGTTATCACTTGGTTGATTCTGGGCACCAGGCTCCTTGTCCTGGTCCCTTAGGGATGCAGGGTCCCTTGGCTACCTCCAAGGCCCGAGGACTTGGAAGGAGTGGGGTCTCCCCCGTGGAGGGACAGTGTTGACGTTACAGAGGTTGGTGGGACGGATGTGGAAAGACAGACTTGGAAGCCAAGTGTCTTTCTCTTTCTCTCCACAGGTATTGGCGACTACCTCACTCGGTGCAAACAGGCCATCGGGAAATTCGAGTCTCTCGTGCACCAGATCCACAAGAATGCAGATGACATTTCTTCCAGGCTCACGTTAATAGAGAGCATGAACCTCTTTAAATATCCAGCACCCAAAAGCGAGGAAGAGCTGCCAGGTAGGTCTGACTTCTCAGTGCTCCGGTTGTGCAATGAACGAGGAGCTTCTTGATTGTGGTTTTCTATCTGTGTCCGCGAATGAAACCATGAAATCGAATAAAACCGTTCCTAAGCAACTCAGTCATCTTCCTTTAAAGGACCATGGGTAATTCCTACTTTTTGTCGTGTCTTACGGATTGCTGAGTTAGTTTAACGAATTCTTGAGTCTGAAAAATCAGTAGCACTTTTATCGATAGGTCCGTGACAGTAAAGTGAATCGTGCTTTTATGGGCTCACATTTGCACGTTCAAACAAGATATTTTAAGTGTTCTTAGACCAGTCAACAAGGAATTCAAGAAAAACAAGATTGCCCAAAGACACAAAAGCCACCTCCTGGATGTGGTGTACTTCTATGTACGTAACGAGAACCCCCAAGTTGTCATTTGTTTGTTGCTTAGGGTGTGTCTTGACTTCTGATGTCGACTTGCTTTCTGCTTCGGGTCAAGGTTAGGGGCTATTTATGTATTTCTGAGACACACGGCTGGTGCTAGGATTGCTTTCTGAGCTCTGCCCTTTCCTGCCTTTGTGGGCAGCTGTGACAAATGTCTTTCTCTGTAGGCGTGAAGGAATTCTTTGAGCACATCGATCGAGAACGGGCCCGAGACGTGGACCACATGGTCCGGTGGTATCTTGCCATCGGACCTCTGCTGACCAAAGTGGAGGGTCTCGTCGTCCACACCAACACGGGCAAGTCCCCCAAGCTGGCCTCCTACTACGAGTACTGGGAAAATAGGATTTACGAGGTCCTGACGAAGCTCGTCTTCAAGTAAGTTCATCTTCTTTTTTGTTTTTTAGAGCCAGGGTCTCGCCGTGCTGCCCAGGCTGGAGCACAGCGTCTGTGCACAGGCACGATGGTAGCACGCCCGCCGCAGCCTCGGGCTCCTGGGCTCCAGGGGTTTCCTTGCCTGGGTCACCTGATGGCTGGGACCACTGTGCCTAGAGTTCGTCTTCTTGTTGTGTGTTTTAGAAACAACATGTTTGGATTAAGATATTTTACATACATGGACAGCCATGTATGTCCATGTATTAAAGGGGGCAGCCAGGTACAAAATGAAAATCAGGAGATGGCTTTCTGGCCAAAGGGGCCCTTGTAGGATGGAGGGGTGACCTTGCACTTGGGCTCACGCTCTTGTTAGCCCCTCAACGTTCAGAACAGGAAATTATCCCTCTTTCCACTTCAATTGACTGAAAGTCACAGTGTGTCTGTTTTCAAAAAGTTAGCTGGGCGTGGTGGCATGCACCTGTGGTCCCAGCTACTCGGGAAGCTGAGGCAGGAGGATCGCTTGAGCCCAGGAGGTTGAGGTTGCTGTGAGCTACGAAGACACCACTGCACTCCAGCCTGGGCAACAGAGCGAGACTCTGTCTCAAAAACAACAACAACAACAGCACCCAAAAATCAAAAGAAAAAGCCAGAAGGCAGGACAAGGGCTTGCGTTTCACTCTGATGGCAACAAGAGGCTACTGAGTGTTTTCATCGCAGGGAGGGAGAGTTACACGTTTTTAAAAAGCCCCTTTGGCTGCTGCACGAGTCACGGAAGGGGCAGAGCCCTCAGTGGGGCTGATGAAGTTCCATGTCCAAGTGTCACCCCCAGTTTGACCCGGACAGGACAGAGCAGGTTGGGGCAGGCTGCGCGGGGCGTGAATACTCCTCTTTCCTGAACCAGAGTTGAACAGCTTCCCGAAGTGACCAGTGTCACTTAAGTATTTTCCAACCCACAGGCATTTGACTTTCCAAAAGTAGAAATGAACTGTTTGTATAAATTTAGGACCAAAAAAAAAATACAAGGAAACTCAGCCCAGACTGTCCGCTGCACCCCCATAGCGTGGTGTTCCTTGCGGTGGGCTTCTCACCTGTGACCCTGGTGACCCTGGTGACCCTGGTTCTCTCCGTCAACTGAGCGGTGTTTTTCGCTCTCGTGGGGGCACTCAGTTATTTGCATTTGTGCTTTTAGGAATTTGCAGTCTTTTAACACGTTAATCCTTGGCAATGTCCCTCTGTTCCAAACGGAGACCATTCTGACCGCTCCAGAGATCATCCTGCACCCCAACGCCAACGAGATCGACAAAATGTGCGTCCACTGCGTCCGCAACTGCGTGGAGGTCACCAAGGTGAGGGCGGAGGTACCCCTCGCTTCTCAGGCGGCGCCTCGCTGCAGGTGGCTGGGCCCTGCCTCCGCAGAAAGCCAGCGGCCAGGAGGTGGAGGACACGGGCTCTTCTTGCCTCTGCCTCTCCCTGACGCCTCCCGTGCAGCTCCAAATGCGGGAGTGTCCCAGAGCCCGGTCCCGGCTCCTTTCCGTCCCTCTCTCTCTTCTGCAGTGAGTTATCCTCTGCCCGTCGCCTTCCCGGTTTCTCCCTTCTTCTTCTCCTACCTTGGGCTCTTCTTTGAACCGACAAATATGTTTTATGTCTTTTCTCAATGGAGAAAAAAAGGTGCTCACAGAAACTTTCTCTTGCCTCTCTGTCCCCACGCTACGGTGCGGTGTCTTTCTGTTTCCTGCCACACTGCTCCTGTGGTCCCAGTCCGGTGGCTCTGAGCAGCACCCCCCCCTCCCCCGTGGCAGCGCCCTGGGGCCTTATCCTGGGCGTGTCCAAGGTGGAATTCTTGACTTTGCCCGCCCTTCATCCTGGTCCCGCCCCAGTTTTCCCACTTTGAAGAATGGCACCGACATCAATGCAGTTTCTCGAGCCCCAAACCTGGGAGCCATCCCCGATTGCTCTGTTTCTCCCGCCCAGCGACATGCAGGCTGTTGGCAAGCCCCCCAAGCACGCCGGATCTGTCTGTCCCCTCCTCTCCTTTCCCGTGTCACCTTCCTCTCCCGGTCACCATCGTCCCTCTCCCGGCCTGCTGCGGCGATGCCTTCTCCACCGCAGCTGGTCACATTATCCTTAAAAATACAAATCATTTTATGTCAGCCCTTGTGTAGCCACCTCCCCCGCCCCATGGCTTTTGATTACACTTTGAACATAATCCGAATACCTTTGCGAGGCTTGGTGCCCGCCACAGGCACCTGCCTGTGTTCCGATCCCAGGTCCTACCTGGCTCGAGTGCCACTGGCTGCCGTCTGGCACCTCCAGTAGGTGATGCTCGCTGCTCCCTCTCCCTGGCATGTCCCGCACCCCCTCCCCCACCTTTGCCTGGCTGCCTCCTTCCTGTCCTCTATCCTATCAGCCTGTTCCATCCTCTTCCTTCTGCTTATCACTGTCTCACCTTTTCTTTTTTATTCTCTTGCTAATTTATCTATTGACTCTCTCAGGCCACAAGCATACAAGTGGCAGAGAATACAGACCTTGAGTGTTTTGTTTTGTTCACCTTTTTTTGAGACAGTCTCGCTGTCACCCAGGCTAGAGTGCAGTGGCATTATTACAGCTCACTGTAGCCTGAAACTCTTGGGCTCAGGTGATCCTCCTGCCTCAGCCTCCCGAATAGCTGGGACTGCAGGCGAGCACCACCATGCCTAGCTAATTTTTTCTATTTTTAGTAGAGTTGAGGTCTCACTCTTGTTCAGGCTGGTCTCCAACTCCTGACCTCAAGTGATCCTCCTGCCTAGGCCTCCCAGAGTGCTAGGATTATAGGCGTGAGCCACCTCACCTGTTCTTTGTCTACTTCTGAATTCCCAGCACAGAGAAGAATGTCTAGCACATAGTTTATTCTCAGTAAATGTTTCTTAAATGAACATCTGTTGGCAGATACCTCAAAGTTTATGTCTTACCAAAAATGGAAAAATAGGGCCATCTTTGTGGATAAATGACATCGTGTCCCCTCAACATACTGACATCTTTCTCTTCACTTGGTTTCTTCAGCAAGGTAGACGTGATTCAGGCATTTTTTTTTTTTTTTTGGCATAAAAACAAATGTGGATATCACACATGGGGAATTTCATTTCACTGTACTTGGAAATTAATGAATAAATTGTACATGTTTTATAATTTATGCTAATACAGTTCTTTATTAAGCCTCTGTTGTATAAATTCTCTTAACTTACAGGTACTATATCATAGAGTCTTTGCACAGGGAAACAAAAGGGTAAATAATAGGAAAGATGGTCTATAAAACATTGTGAATATTAACCATAGTATTTCATGCCAACTTAACTTTCCTCATTATTAACAGATGGATTTGGGGCTCTTGGTGAAGCCTATATTATTTTGTCTTCATAAGTTTCTTCTTTTAAATGGAAATAACTCTTACATATTCTCTTGGAAAATGTTAGAATATATTCCATTAAAATAATGAACATGCATGACCAGGTCACTTAATATAGCTTAACTGTGGCATCTCTTTGATCTTTAAGATTTATATTTCATGGCTGGAAAAAATGAGCAAAAGTTTTTATCTAGGATCGGAATTAACTCATCTGATATGTGGAAATGATAACACAGTTCACCTTTTGGAGCTTTGGGGAGGATTGATTTATGTAATACATGTAGAGAGTTTAGTACAGTGCTTGGCAATCAGTAGCTCTAAATAAATATTAGCTATTATTGGTATTAGCATTACTATTAGTAGTAATATTAGAAGGAAAAGTAATAGTTGTTTATTCACATTTTACAAATGGTGAAACTATGATTCAGAGAAGTAATATGTAACACATCCATGGCTTACAGTTAGAAATCACACTTGATTAAAAGAAAAGAGAGCTTTGGCTATGTAGCAGGGAGATGTCAAATTAGCAGATTTGTTCTGGGACCCTGGGCAATTTGCCTGACTCTTTGTGTTTCTTCATCTGTGAATATGGAAACAAATGTTATTTTATTCATCCACAGTGCAGTTACCTTTTATCATGTAACAAGCCACTTCAAATCATAGTGGCTTAAAACAGTGACCATTTATTTAGCTTCTGGTTCTGTGGCTCTGTGGGCTGAGTTCTGCTGAGCGGTTCTTCTGGTCTTGGCTGTGCTCACTTACATGTCTAGCAGTTGATGACCTGAAGCACAGCTCTGATGACTGGCTGGTTGTTGGATGGGTGAATGGCTTATTATTACCTGGTGGGCTATCTGAGGCTCAAACATCTAGTGGTTGCAAGGTTTCAAGAGCATGAGAGTAGAAGCTGCAGGGCCTTTGCATCCTTGGCTTGGAACTTATATAACACAACTTCTGCCCCGTTTCCACTGGGTCAAGTTAAGTCACCAGGCTAGTCCAGGAAGGGGAAATAGACATCATCTGCTACTTTTTTTTTTGGTCTTTTTTCTTTTTCTTTCCCAAACCATCACCCTGGGAAATTCCATCTCTTGATGGGAAGAACAAAGGTTATTGTGGTAATTTTTGTGATCTAGCCTAGTTTATTAATAATAAAATGATTTCCATTACTAGGCAAGACTTATCACTGAATACTAATATATATACACAGGAGGCAAAATAGATACTAAAATACTATGTTTTCCTCAATTCTTATTTCGCCAGCATTTTGTGCGATGGATGCATGGCAGCTGCATCGAATGCCCTCCTCAGAAGGGGGAGGAAGAAGAAATTGTCATAGTGAGCTTTTACAGTGACATTTCTGTGACTCCTCAGATAATTGAACAAGCTGTTATGATCCCCCAAAACGTTCACAGGATTCTGGTCAATCTCATGAAGTACCTACAGAAATGGAAGCGGTACCGACCCCTCTGGAAGTTGGATAAAGCTATCGTGATGGAGAAATTTGCTGCCAAGAAACCCCCTTGTACAGCATATGATGAGAAGTTGCAGTTCTACTCCAGAATAGCCAGTGAGGTCATGCGCTACCCTTTAACTAAGGACGAGCACTGCATTAGGCTGCAGCTTGGGCCTCTGGCAAACACAGTGCAGGAAAATGCCAAGTCCTGGGTGGTTTCCCTTGGAAAACTTCTCAACGACTCGGCAAAGGAGGAGCTCTACAGTCTCCATGAAGAGATCGAGGTACTCCATTGCTGTGTTTAATTAAAACTACTTTTCGGCCAGGAGTGGTGGCTCACGCCTGTAACCCTAGCACTCTGGGAGGCCGAGGCAGGAGGATCGCTCAAGGTCAGGAGTTCGAAACCAGCCTGAGCAAGAGCAAGACCTCGTCTCTACTATAAATAGAAAGAAATTAGCCAAATTAAAGATAGAAAAAAATTAGCCGGGCATGGTGGTGCATGCCTGCAGTCCCAGCTACTTGGGAGGCTGAGGCAGGTAGATCGCTTGAGCCCAGGAGTTTGAGGTTGCTGTGAGCTAGGCTGACGCCACAGCACTCTAGCCTGGGCAACAGAGTGAGACTGTCTCAAAAAACAAAACAAAACAAAACAAAAAACCCAAAACACTACTTTTCATAAAGGTTGGGCTTCAGTTGTACTATTAACTGTTTTTTTCTGTGTGTATTTAGTGTCCTTTGAACTTTCCTTTATAGCACTTGTCCAAAAACCTTAAGAAGAGCCCTAGTACCCTTGAGGATCTCAAGTTTGTCCTTGCCACAATTGCAGAAATTAGAAGTAAATCTTTAGTCATGGAGTTAAGATACAAGGATGTCCAGGAGCGATACCGTACCATGGCAATCTATAACCTTTTTGTAAGTGGACTTCTGTTTTCTCGTGCTTTTTACAGTTGGGGTGGCTGCTAAGACCCTTTCCAGAAATACTTCTCAAGTGCATGGCCATAGATAGGTTCGTTTATAAATAAGTGACTTTAAGTAATAAGTTGTAAAGGTGAATTCTGGAACTGATGAATTACAATGCTTGAAATGAAAAGATCATAGGATCAGTTAAAGGAACAGCAAAAGCAGATCAGACACAACTGAATAGAACATTGATGAGCTGAAAGCTCAGGTCAAAGTATTAGAATGAACCACAGAAATAAAAGACAGGAGAGAATGTAAGATGCATGGAGTATTCTGGAGAAGGTCTAACATGTGGAATTACTTGTTTTTTTTTTTTTTCTCATTAGCCTTCTGATGCAGAGAAAGAACTCGTTGAGAATATTGAGAACATGTGGTCCAGTCTGTTTAACGAGTCAGTGAATGTGGAACATTCTCTTGGGGGTATAAAGAGAACTTTCACAGAGGTACTTTTTAAATTTCGCTTTCCGAGTAAAGACGTTGAAAAATGTATTTGGGGGCTAAATTAATGTGACCTCGTTTTTTCTCAGATTACTCGAGGTGAAATAGCCAACTTCCGAGCTCTGATAGAGGAGTTTGCAAGACGTTTTTATAGCGAAGGGCCTGGTTCTGTTGGTGAGGAGCTCGATAAAGGTAAGAATATTCACGTTGGTCTTACTGAGCAGCTTGAGTACGTTTTGCTTAAGAATTTTTCACATGGTAGTAATATTCTCCAGGGATTAGAGCAGGGGTCCTCAAACTTTTTAAACAGGGGGCCAGTTCACTGGCCCTCAGACCGTTGGAGGGCCAGACTATAGTTTAAAAAAACTATGAACAAATTCCTATGCACACTGCACATATCTTATTTTGAAGTAAGAAAAACAAACGGGCAAAAACACCCTCATGTGGCCCATGGGCCGTAGTTTGATTAGGGGGTTGTGGGGGTGGGTAAACTCACAACTAATGGACGCGGTGAGTGTTGTAGAGGGGAAGGGCCTGCCTCTAATGCTCGCTTGGGTGAGGCAGAGACATAAAATGTAACCAAAATGTTTGTGCCCTCATTAATACCCTGAAATAACAACACACACAAAAAAGAATTTTACAGGAAATGGTCATTGTGCTGTGATTTAAATATTTTTCCTCAAATACTTTTCTCTTGGGCAGTTTCAGTGGTTGCATATTTGAAAAGCCGGACCAATTCCTTCATCGCGTATGGAGCGCCTACTATGGGAAGGCGCTGGGGAAGGGGCTCTGGGACGGTGAGCACCCCCGCGGGGGGGAGGGGGAGATTTCTGCCGCAGATCCGGAACCTTAGGCACCCGCATCTGCCTTTGTAGATGCAGCCTGTGTCCTTCCCCGCGCTCGCTGCCTTTCTTCTGTTAGGTTTACCCTTGAGACTGAGGACCTTGGCTGCTTTATGCCTGTCCCCTGCTCTTCCAGTGACACAGGCTGAAAGAGCGATAGCATTAAAAATACCAGCATTCTTTTTTTTTTTGAGACAGAGTCTCGCTTTGTTGCCCAGGCTAGAGTGAGTGCCGTGGCATCAGCCTAGCTCACAGCAGCCTCAAACTCCTGGCTCAGTGATCCTCCTGCCTCAGCCTCCCGAGTAGCTGGGACTACAGGCATGCGCCACCATGCCCGGCTGATTTTTTCTATATATATTAGTTGGCCAATTAATTTCTTTCTATTTATAGTAGAGACGGGGGTCTCACTCTTGCTCAGGCTGGTTTCCAACTCCTGACCTCGTGCAATCCGCCCGCCTCGGCCTCCCAGAGTGCTAGGATTATAGGCGTGAGTCACCGCGCCTAGCCTAGCATTCTTTATTCTAAAGAGAATTTGATAAATACCATGAGACTGGTAAAAAAAAAAACAAAAAGCCAAAGATTCCTGGGGATTCAAAAGAAACAGGACACTTCTATTTAGAGATGCTTAAAAAAGGCATCTTGAAAAGGTTGTGTGTATATATATTTTAAACTTGCTCCATGTATTGTTTTTTTTAAAATTTCATTTCAGAATATCAGGGGGGTACAAACACTTCGGTTACATGTATTGCCTTTGCACCACCTGAGTCAGAGCTACGAGTGTGTGCCCATCCCCCAGACAGTGCGCACTGCACCCATTAGGTGTGAATATACCCATCCCCTCCCCTCCAACCTGCCCGACACCCGATGAATGCTACTTCCATATATGCATGTAAGTGCTGATCAGTTAGTGAACTAAGAGTAGAACTACCATTTGATCCAGCAATCCCACTGCTGGGTATTTACCCAAAGGAAAAAAAGACATTGTATAAAAAAGACGCTGGCACTTGAATGTTCATAGCAGCACAGTTCACAATTGCAGAGATGTGGAAACAACCCAAGTGCCTATCCGCACATGAGTGGATTAACAGAAAGTGGTACATGTGTACCATGGAGTACTACTCAGCCATGAAAACAATGGTGAAAAGGTTGCCTTTTGGGTGGGGGGTTGTGAGTGGGATGTAGAGTGTCCAGAGTGTAGAACTGTGGAATAGAGCGTGTAGGAGAGCTGTCGGTGTGGTGACCAAGCTCTCACGCGGGGCAGCGAAGGATGGGTGACGGAGATCATCTCAGATCCCTTTAAAAAATAGCCTCATTTCTCGCATGCTGTGTCTGGGTGTGAGAACTAGACGGAACTTTCTAACTGGAGGTCAGAACCGGAGCCAGCAGATGCCCTTGGCCTTTTGATTTCCGTTGGAACGATGGTGTGATAAAGTCTGGCGACTCTACGTCTGTCTTTCCACGTGGCTTATGTGGATGGAACTATAGTTTGCGTACATTACTCATGACTTCGTGCTCAGTTTTGTGCCCCTGAAAGTCTTATTTATTTATTTGTCTTCATGTTTGCTTACCAGGAGTGGACCTTCTAGGCCAGTTTGAGAAGGAGCTGGCCAGACACGAGAAGAGCCGCCAGGAGCTGGCCAACGCTGAGAAGCTCTTCGACCTTCCCATCACGATGTACCCGGAGCTGCTCAAAGTGCAGAAGGAGATGAACGGCTTGAAGATGATTTACGAGCTCTACGGGAACCTGAAGGTGAGCGTCCCCGGCAGGCCCAGCGCCCTCGGGCAGCGTGGGGGTTAACGAGGCCCCGTGGACTTCCACGCCACCCTAGTGAAGGGCTTGGGTCAGATTTTGCAGAAATGCTCATTTCAGCTGCAGGGAGGGGACCAGGAAGGGACTGCCCGTGGGTGCAGGGTTTCCATCTGGGGTGTTGAAGAAGTTCCAGAACGAGGTAGATGTTGACGATAGTTGCCTAACATTGTGCATGTACTTGGTGCCATGGAATCGCACACTTTGAAACGGTTGAAACGGTCAGTTTTACCTTACATGTAATTTCGCCACTGTCGTAAAAGGGAAAACCCTCTCTTTGGAGGTCAAGGGCTTGGTTAAGGTGCAGAGCAAGGGTTTGGCTGGAAGTGGAAATTAAAAGTAGCAAATATCATGTCATTTAGGTGCCTCTCTTTGGTAAATGTTCACCATCCATTCATTCATTCCTCTGTCGACTCAGTTCTTTCTAGCTCAGCGCTGTGGGAGTGCGGGGCCGGGAAAGGAGTCGTGTCTGCCCGTCCTGCCCTCCTTATGCCCCGAGAAAGACTGACTGTGCTAGTCTGGGTTCTTGAGAAACAGAATCAATAGGAGATACATGCATCTGATGTCTCGGTCTGTTATCTGTGTGTGTGTGTGTGTGTGTGTGTGTGTGTGTGTGTGTGTGTGTAAGGTATTCATTGTAAGGAATGGGCTTATGTGATCACGGAGGCTGAGGAGCTGCAAGCTCTGCAGTGGGCAAGCTGGAGCCCAGGGAGCCGGTGGTGTGAGCTCCAGTCTGAGCCAGGGACGCACGCAGGAGACCGATGTCCCGGGTGGAAGGCAGGCAGGCAGGCGGAGAGAGTAAATTCCCTCTCTGTCCTTTTGTTCCGCTCTGGCCGTCCACGGGTTGGCTGGCAGTCCCCTCTGCTGTCCGCTTCCCTCGCCTGCCACTTCCAGCATCAGTCTCATCCGGAGACGCTCACAGACACGCCCGGAACAGCATTTCGCTGAGTACCTGGGCACCCGGTGGCCCAGTCAAGCTGACACACGAACAAGCAACCACCTGCTATGACACGCATAGAAATGAGGTGGACAGAGGGCCTCGGAGCCCAGGGGAGGAAGGAGGGTGGCCCAGGAGCTCTGCGAAAAAGGTGACGTGTGAGCGAGGCCCCGAATCTGAAGCAGGTGTTTGCCTGGTGCGGACGAGCTTTCGGGCACAGGGCCGGCGGGAGCGAAGACGTGAGAGGCGACCATGTGCTGTGCACCCTCGACCTTCCCTTCACACAGGTGTAGTGGCCACAGACCTGCCAGGCAGGCTCAGGAGGCAGCAGGGACATTGCAGGAAGGGGGCCGAGGAAGGGGCCAAGGCCCCCGTGCTGGCAGCAGGGAGGACGGCTTGCTTTGTAGGACAATTATAGAGGGAAGAAAGATGAGAAGATTCCAGAGAGGTGTTAGAGTTGGAAGTGGTGAGACTTTGTGACTGATTAGGCATGTGCACAATGGAAAAAAATTCATAAAGCGGAAAAATACACTCGATTTTTAAAAGAAAAGGCATCACATGATCTGAGAACAACCATGTGTATGAGCAACTAAGTGATTTTTAAAAAAGCTTAATTCGATACTGAGGTGGCCTCCAGTTGGGGACAGACGGGTTCATCTGTTGTCACGTGGGGCAGGCGGGGTGTGTGTTAGAGACGCTCCCAGTGGGAGGCGTGGAAGCTGTTCTGATGGCTGCCGTCTCCCGGTGACTCAGAGGGCTGCCGGCAGGGAGGACGGGGTGGAGGGTGGCTGTCGAGGAGAGCGGAGCAGGGGTGAGAGGGTGGTCTCGCTGGGGCCAGCGTTTCGGATCTGGGTTTAGACTGAGCTTGGGTGTCGCCATCCATCACAGTTGGCTGCCGGGTGTAGGCGCCGAGCACTCTTGGCTGTTGGGTGACCTGGCCAGGGTTGGGTTTGGCCGCGTGCATGCGTCGGGGGTGGGCGGAAGACAGGCGTTCTCATGACCGATTGGCTGTCCCGTATTTAGGGTTAGAAACTCTAAGAAAGGCCTTCATTTCTTTTAATGTGTCTGTCATTTGATTTTTGCACAAAGGAGGTAATGAATCATGGAAGTCATCTCAAAAGAAAAAAAATATCCAAAAACCCTTTGAGCTTTTTTATGTCTTTTGAGAAAACAAAGAAAGGAAGAGAAATAAAAAATATAAATGTGTCATAACATTATTTATACTTTGTGTTAAAAAATACTGTAATTAGGGCTGGGTGCAGTGGCTCACGCCTGTAATCCCAGGACTCTGGGAGGCCGAGGTGGGAGGATCGCTTGAGGCCAGGAGTTTGAGACTAGCCTGGGCAACAGAGTGAGATCCTGTCTCTACAAAAAGCCTGGGTGACAGAGCATGACCGTTTCTTAGAAAAAAGCAAACTCTAAGTACATTTCATCAATTAATGCAATTTCCTGTCAAAATGTTTCATGATTCCAGCAACTTTATCAAGCCTAGATGTTATAGGTTGCCAATGCACACTATTTACAGTTGCAAATTTTACATAAGAAAGTAATTTTTTACATTAAATCTCAAAAAAATATAACACAGAAAGTCTTCTCTTCATTGGACTCAAGTAGGATCATGTTTATTCTTCCTAGTCTTAGGAAGTCTAACCTACTAGTCTGATGGTTAGTAGACAGATTCTTGGATTAGCAATCTAAACTGTAAACATTTTGTAACCTAAACTGCTTTTATCCGGAAAGAGAAGCAAGTTACGACAGTACCAAGTGATTCCCTCCTTTAACAAATGCTGTTATTTACTTCTCACTTTTGTCTTAAGGGAAGGAAGATGTAGTTTTAGATTCCACACATCCTCAGATACAGCATTGTTTTTTCGAGGGCTTAAGAAAGTTGGAATTCTTTTGTTTTTGTTTTAGATCCATGTAGTCAATCCTCCATTGGTGAACCTGAGGTGGTCGTGGATAGACGGGTAATAATATTTTATTTTATCTTAAGTTTGTTAGAGACAGAGTCTCACTCTGTTGCCCAGGCTAGAGTGTCGTGGCGTCAGCCTGGCTCACAGCAACCTCAAACTCCAGGGCTCAAGCCGTCGTCCTGCCTCAGCCTCCCAAAGTGCTAGGATTACAGGCGCAAGCTACCATACCCATAGGTAATAATATTTTCAAAGAGCTGAGCGTGACCAAGGTAAGAACTTGCGTTTCCTGTCGAGTGAGATTTCCCGAAGGGGTCTTGTTGATGGACTGATTCTTGTGCATTTCCAGGTTGCAAAGGAAGAGTGGTCTCAGACCCTCTGGGCCAACCTGAACGTGCAGTTTCTCCAGGAAGGAATTGAAGGTTTTCTCAAGTCTCTCAGAAAGCTGCCCCGGGCGGTCCGCGGCCTGTCGGTGGCCTACCATTTGGAAGTGAAAATGAAGGCGTTCAAAGACTCCATTCCTTTACTTCTCGACTTGAAACACGAGGCACTAAGAGACAGGTGTGTTTTGCCCCCTGCGAGCCGACGGGAAAGTGTGGAAGGAACTTTTAGTTTAAAACATGTCCCCTTAGGACCTCATCTCTGCTGAGATCTGGGGACAAGGAGCAAAGTTTCAGCAACGATGCTTTGCTGTGCATGTGTAAGAGACAGTTCTGGAATAGTCTTTCTATAAGATTTTTTAAAAAAGGATTCTTTTTTTAAAAAAAAAAAATCCCTATCAGGTGTAAAGCAGCATTTGCAGTTGCTCATTTGAAGATTAGAAAATATATATTTATAGAAAGGGGCCTAGACCAGGCCTGTGCAGCAGAAATGTCATGAGAGTCAGGAGTGTCATGAGAATGACACATGTCATTTACGGTTTTCTAGCCACTACGTTAACAGCTCAAAATGAAACAGCTTCGATTAATTTTAAGAGTATATTTTCATGAACCCAATACATTCAAAACATCATTTCGGTATATAGCCGACACACAGACGGATGCCCAGGACATTCTACATTCTTCTTGGAAACTGCGTTGAGATCCGGGTTGTGTCTCACGCCCACAGCATCTGTAGCCTGGCCTTGGCACGTCTTGAGTATTCGACAGCCACGTGTGGCTCTTGGCTACCGCAGGGGACCGTGCGGGTCTCACTTGTCTTTGATGGAGTCGCCAGTGCTGCGGGGCGGCCGGGAGGGAGGGGACACCCACGCAGGCGTCTGTGGTTGTTTGGTTGTGGCCCCGCACAGATGGGGGTGAGCAGTCTTGTGAGCGACATTCTTTCTTCCTCTGTCACGTTTCCCAAAGTTGGTCGTCGAGTCAGGGAATGACATCAGTGGCTTCGTGTTACTTAGCGAGAAAGTCATTCTGTTTTCAGCTCCCTTCCGGTCCTTCTGTTTACATCACGAGGGGTCTCCCTTAAGTGCTCACCTGTCTTTAACACCTGTGGCACCTGTCTCTCCCTTTCGACAAGGAGCAGGCAGCCCTTAGGCCCTGTCCTGATGGGACGGGGGACACACCCACCTCTGTTCCGCTGATTGGCCTGGAGCCCTCGCTCCTCCCTTGGCGCACTTTACGTGTCTCCTCCGCAAAACTGAGCAGAAGGAAGCATTTTCTACCCAATGGTCCCTTGTTTTATGATCTCATCACGCAGTGTTGCCCAAACTTTGGCCATTTCTCGCCAATTTTTGTCATACCCGAATATCCCTTACGCTGTTATGGCTTTATATTTTCATTTCTATCTGTTAATTGCCTTTTTACTTAAATGAATGTGTTTTAAAAGCAAACTTACACCACCACTGTAAATTAAGAACCAAAAGCTCTTGCCAGAAATAGAAACTAATTATAAAATAGAAAAATTAAAAAGAATTTCAGCTCAACACGGTCGCGTGTGTCCGGGCCAAAGGCCTGTCCTCCGGGAAAGGGGGCGGCAGCGGGGAGGCGTTGAAGACGTAGCTGCGCCACGTGGAGACCTTCCCGCCTCATGGCCATCAAAAGGGCCGGGAAGGAAGGGCGGAGGGACCGTCCCTCCCTGGGTGACTCGGGGCTGCGGCGTGAGTCTGTGGGCCAGGGCTGTGACGCCTCCCCGTCAGCTCCTTTCTGCACACTGCGTGTGTTCACAGCAAACTCCGGGGGCCCAGCACCTGCTGCTCAGCCGCCCCGGCACACCGCTGTCCCGCGCCACCGTGCGCTGCCTTCCCCTCGCCCCGCCTGTGCATGCCCACCGACATGGGGCAAACACGCAGGCTCCGTTCAGACCTTAATAGAAGCAAAGTCGGGTCCAGTGCGGACTGCCCCCTGCCGTGTCATGGACACGAGTCTGCTCTGAGGAGCCCGTGTGAGGTGGCCCTTCTGACTTTCCGTCACGCCATGGTTTCTTCTTCCCAGCACTCGAAACCGCGTGCAGTCGTTTAATTCATAGATCTGCTTCATTGTCTGCTGGCTGTCTCCCCACGTAGGCGGCTACAGGCCTGGCCCCTTGGTCACCGTGCACCCCCTGCACCCCCCCCAGCACAGTCAGCGCGGTGAATGTTTATCAGCTGCACGACAGCTTGTAATTTACACCAGGTCCCCAGATAGGCCTGTGTAAGGAACGGTCCGACAGAGACTGAGACCGCTGGTTGGGACTGTGACACAAGCAATTTCCAAAAATTAAAAGCCGTGTGTTTCATCAAATGACGGCGGAGACGCCTGCATGCGGGATCTTGCTAGATGCAGTTCCCTGGGGTTAGCCAGTGGGACATTGGAAAATTTGGGGAATAAACCTCCAGTGACATCCTCATAGTCTAGAATGCTATTAAAGGGGTTTTCGTAATGGGATTTGCCCCGTGACTTAACTGAGAATCGTGAAATCGGTCACCGAACCCGGTCCGCACGTGGATTTTAACGCTGATGCGCTTGCAGGCACTGGAAAGAGCTGATGGAGAAAACAGGCGTCTTTTTTGAAACGACCGACACGTTCACCTTGGAGAATATGTTTGCGATGGAACTGCACAAGCACACGGACGTTCTCAAGGAGATTGTCACCGCGGCTATCAAGGAGGTCGCCATCGAGAAGGTGAGGCTGCGGCTGGACAGCAGCCTGCAGGAAACGTTGTTGTTATTCAGAGAGAAAACCTATTTGCCCTCGTACCTGTTGCATTTGAGGGATAAAGAATTATGTGTTGTAGAAACAGGATTTCCGCCTCCGTGACTTTTTTTTTATTGCCCCTGTAGTTTTACTTTTCAGGAAACCGATCCAGGACTCCAGGCGAATTGCCGGCCAAAGGCAAGCAAAGGAGCTTGCTGTTGGGTTGGGTTTCTGTCTTTCCGATGTGTGTGTCTGAATCATTCTTTTTCCGTCCCTGACCAGGCTGTGAAGGAAATCCTGGACACGTGGGAAAACATGAAATTCACCGTGGTCAAGTATTACAAAGGCACGCAGGAGCGAGGCTACATTTTGGGCTCTGTTGATGAAATTATTCAGTCCCTTGATGACAACACTTTCAACCTGCAAAGCATCTCAGGAAGCAGATTCGTGGGGCCTTTTCTGCAAACTGTTCACAAATGGGAAAAAACCCTTTCTCTAATTGGGGAAATTATTGAGGTGAGAGAAAAGACCCTTCCCCCCCAAATGGATTAGAGCCAATTCACAGCAGGAAAGAACCTCTGTATGAGAATATTTTGTGCTTAGAAACGAATGATCCTCTTTCATACTTTTGTCTTGGTTTATTCTGGGGAGAGGAGTGTATGATTAGAGGAGTCAATCTGAGTTTTAATTTAGATGAACAATTTTTAGTTTCCAAGATTCCTAATTGGTTCTTTTTCGTATGTCCCTGTTCTTCTTTAATACCGTCCTGTTCTTGTTGCAAGGATGCTTTCACCTCCTTTATTACACAGAAAATTGTAAATAGATTTATTTTAAAGTCCTTTTCAGGTTTCTCTATACTTTTTTTCTCAGGCAAGAATTTTATTCCTTTTTGTGTCTGTCACCTGTCTCTCATGGTGGTGGGTTTTCCTCTGTGTGATTTTGATTGTCTTTAGTTCATCACACATAAAGTTTTTTCCTTGTCCTTGCATCACTTTGTCATCTACTTTTGCAGTCTGTCTAACCTGGTTGTCACACTGGGAAATACCAAAGTGGTTTGGGGCCTTCTTACTTTGTGTACGATACTAGTGCATACCCTCTGTGAGCAACCTAGGCTCATTTCACCATTTTTGGGTGGCTGCCTTTTTTCCTGCCCAGACCACAGGCAAGCACCCTGTTCTGGCCGAAACCAGAGCTCTGGGTGGGCTGATGCCTGGCCTGGTTCACCTGCTGGAAGTGTGACTCTGGGCCAGGCCTTCCATCATGCCTGGGCTTCCTTGGCTTGCTTTTCTTTATAGAAGCTCTGATGTAGAATACACATACACCATTGCTGTTTTCTTTGCTAACTAAAATCATTTTTTTAATTGAGATGAAGTTTACAAAACATAAAATGAGCCATTTTAAAGCACACAATTCAGTGATATGTATGTAATACATTCACAATGTTGTGAAACCACCACCCATCGTTCCGGAACATTTCCATCAAGCCCAAAGAGAGCCCAGTGCCCATTAATCTGTCATTCCCTCCCCATAACCACCCCCCCTGCAGCTCCTGGCAACCAACGGTCTGTTTTCTGTTTCTGTGGACTTACCTATTGTATTATAGATATTTCTCGTCAATGGAGTCATACAATACGTGGACGTTTGGGTCTGGCTTTTTTTCGCTTAGCATAATGTTTTTGAGTTTCATCCACATACATCAGTACTTGATTATGGCCAGATAATATTTGATCGTATGGCTAGACCACCTTTTATCTGTCTGTCCATTGGTTGATGGGCATTTGGATAGTGTCCACCTTTTGGCTGTCGTGAGCATATCGTATGAGCGCAACGTTATCAGAGGTCCGTTTTTCAAAAATACTACTCAGGTCTGCTTCTAGTCTGCAGCACGGCAGGTCCTTCATGGTGCCTTGGGTTCACTATTCTGTGCTCTGCATGGCCTGTGCGTGGTGGTTGTGGGTCACAGGGTCTACCACTGTCAATGACTTAGAGTTTCCTCCCTGTCTGGGGCTGGCATAGAGAGTTTTCTTTTGCTTTTGAGTGTGGCCATGTGGTTTTAAATATTTAGCTGTGTGTTCTCCGGCACCCCGTCCATCTGGGGTTGAGGGGGAGGGGGCCACGTGAGTCCTTCTGCCCGGTCGATTGATCATCCTGTGTCAAGGTGGGGCTTTGCGAGACATTCCCCGAGGCCAGTAACCTCTGCTTGACATGAACGTTTTTGTGCATTCACAGATTTGGATGTTGGTTCAGAGGAAATGGATGTATCTCGAAAGCATTTTTATTGGCGGAGATATAAGGTCACAACTTCCGGATGAGGCAAAGAAGTTCGACAACATCGACAGAATCTTTAAAAGGGCAAGTGACTGGCGACTGTTTTGGTCATGCGAGGAGGACAGCGATTTGAGATATTTTTATCTTTGTGGTTGCATCTCGTGTTTTCTCATTAGTTTCGAATTCTGTTATGTTTATGACCTAACAGTTTAAAGTGAAATTTCAGAGCTGGTCACGGTGGCTTGTGCCTGTAGTCCCAGACTCAGGAGGACTGAGGCGGAGGATCTGACCCAGGAGTTTGAGGCTGTCAGTGAAAGCTGTGACGTACCACTGGCTCAGCCTGGGCGACAGAGCAAGACCCTGTTTCTAAAAATAGAAAGAAAATGTATGTTTGATATTTAGCAACTGGCATATTCCATTGAACCTTTTTCAATGTTTCATGTGTTTATATACAAAAGTGATATTTGCTTGTTTAAAAAAATTTGAAAATGTAAAAGAGGAGGAAAAGTGGTTCTGTCACCTTCATGGACCACTTTAACTTGTCAGTTTGATTCTTATCTTTCTATAGCTATGTGGATAGTTTATTTATTTATTATTTATTTTCTTAAAATACACACGTACAAATTTTTTTTTTTTTTTTTTTTGAACAGAGTCTTGCTTTGTGTCCAGGCTAGAGTGAAGTGCCGTGGCGTCAGCCTAGCTCACAGCAACCTCAACTTCCTGGGCTCAAGCGAGTGCCTATGCCTTCAGACCCCGGTAGCTGGGACTACAGGCAATGTGCCACCATGCCGCTGATGCTATATTAATATTATGATATCAGTTGTGAAAGTTTTTGAAACCATAATGATAATCATATCGTGTACAATTTTGTAACTTATATTTTATCTTAATATTGTGAGAAACATTTCATATTATGAAGCCATCCGAGAAAACATTTTAATGTCTTTATATACTGTTCCAGTGAGGGGGCTGACATTAGTTTAGTTGACTGTTCTCTAGTCATTTGACCTTTTGTTTCAACAGAATTCTCTGCCCTGCATAAATCCCGTGCAGGTTTGTGCCTAATGCTTCTTCCATATTTAGGATGGATATCTTAAGACAGGTCGTTGGAAGGCAAATTGCCCGGGAAAGGGAATGCTCATTTTAAAGCCCTTTCCAGACAGGGCTGTGGCAGTCGTCACTGCTGCCGCTCATTAGCGTGGCTGGATTTTAACCCAGCCCACCCCGCCTGCATGCCGGGGACTCTGCGTCAGTACTTGGCCCGGCTGTTGTGCAGTTCGGTTACAGGCGGGCAGGTCAGGTTTCCGTCCTCATGACCTGCTAGGGTTGATAATTGTTTCTTATCATTTGCATAAGCTCTTTTTGGAAAAACATAAAAAAAAAAAACACAGCAAATATCAATTCATTTTAGAAGAATGTAGAAATTATTTAAAAAGCAAAAAAAAAAAAAAGCCAAGAAAAAAAAAGAAAAAAAATGCCTGCAACACCCCAGCCAGGACAGTCACTTTCACAGCTGAGCGGGTGGACTCTCGGAATGGCTATTCCTGTGTGGACGTATCGGTGCGTATCGATAATTAAGGGCTCCACAAAGCATCAGCATCCCTGCCAATATAATTGGCTCATTCCATTTAACATTTTTGACCTATTTCAATAAACGAGCAACTAATTTGGCCCTTACAGCAGATTATTATTTACCTGTTTCTCTGTTGTTGGACGTTTAGGCGAGTTCTTTCTTTTGTTTTCGTTTTGGTTTTTGGCCAGGCTAGAGAGTGTGCTGGAAGTGCCGCAGTATATCAGGCAGGTCGTTCTAAAGGGGAGCCCGCTTTAGCTCGAGTCACGCAACAACTGCGGGCTGAGCGCCTGCTGTGTGCAGCGCTGGGTGGGTGGGAGGGAGGGACCCTCCGGGGAACAAAGCAGATGAAACCCCTTCACCGCGCAGCTGGCCTTGTAGTGGGAAGACGGGGAAAAAACCCCAACAAATACGTGAGTTGCATGTCTAGTACATTGGAAGGCGCTATCGGTGTGCTGGTGTAAAAATCTGATGGCTTTTGCCCATGGGTCCCCACCAGGCTGTGGCATTGGCGTTTGTCGGTCTTGCTCTCTGGTGTGCCTGGGCCCTGGCGGACGCCTGTTCCAGCGGCAAGAACGGTGACGCTGCTTACCTTGCACGGGGACGGCGACAGCGGCTCTGCCCACCACCTTGCGTGACGGCGCTCTTCTGTCCCCGTGCAGATCATGGGCGAGACTCTGAAGGACCCCGTGATCAAGCGCTGCTGCGAGGCCCCGAACCGCCTGCACGACCTGCAGAACATCGGCGAGGGCCTGGAGAAGTGCCAGAAGAGCCTGAACGACTACCTGGACTCGAAGAGGAACGCTTTCCCGAGGTTCTTCTTCATCTCCGACGACGAGCTGCTCAGCATCTTGGGCAGCAGCGACCCGCTGTGCGTGCAGGAGCACATGATAAAGGTGGGCGCCGGCCCCGGAGGTTCAGGGCCGTGCATTGCTGCTGGAGTGTTCATCGGAGCCGGGAGCCTCGGTCTGGAATGACACCAGCCTCAGCTCTTTCTCCACACTCCAGAACCTTTTATTTATTTGTCTATTTTTTTTAGAAACTAAAGAAATACAGAAATACACAAAGGCCAATATAATAAACAGGCAGTAGAGGGTGGTGGTTTCTTGAAGGGACTCTGGAAACAGATGGCCTGGGTTCAAATCCTGGCTCTCCACTGAGTTGCTGTGTGACCTTTGGCAAGTTACTTAACCTCTCTGAACATTGGTTTCCTCATCCGTAAATAGACATAACCCCCAAAGTTACCTGTTTCCCTGGAGTTGTTATAAAGATGGAATGAGTTAATATTTATAAAGGACTTAGCAAAAGTGCCCACCTTTCAATGGTGGCTCAATAACCTTATCCACCACTAACCTCCAACGCCCCAGCCTGGGCTGTTTCCTTACTCTCCTTCCTCCGGCATGCGATCTGGTACCTATATCTGGATCCCTCCCCATCCCATAGACCCCGCACGGAGCCGGGCGAACGGAGGTGCCTGGCACCTGTCTGCGGAGCGCGGGCAGGCGGTGAACGAGCGACTGCGAGGTCGGCTGGCCGGTTGCCGTCGCTCGCGCCCGCAGCCCTGCCGTGGGAGGGAGCGCCGCGGGCCGTCTTGATCCCAGGACCCGCGGAAGTCTGACGGGGCGGCGCTGCCGCTGTGTTGCAGATGTACGACAACATCGCCTCGCTGAGGTTCCACGACGGGGACAGCGGGGAGAAGCTGGTGTCGGCGATGATCTCAGCGGAAGGCGAAGTCATGGAGTTCCGGAAGATCATCCGGGCTGAGGGCCGGGTGGAGGACTGGATGACGGCCGTGCTGAACGAGATGAGGAGGACCAACCGACTCATCACCAAGGAGGCGATTTTCAGATACTGCGAGGACAGAAGCAGGTGAGGCCGTGAGCGCGCACGTGGCGGGTCCAGCCCGGCGGCGGCAGGCGGATGGAGGTTAGGGGTGTGGAGGCCGGCCGGCATGCCAAAGGAGGCTTCCGCGGCGCTGCCTTTCAGTGACCGCCTGGTGCAGGCGCCCCGCAGCTCGTTGGGAATGCGAACTCCTGGGCTCCACCCCACACCTGCTCCCCGGAAGCTCTGAGAGCGGGCCCGGGAGAGCCAACAGTAACCGGGTGTGTAGTAGGGTCGAGTATGTGCGTATACGGTTTCTCTAGAATATTTAATGAATTTTAATTAATCATTTCTTGCATTGAAAATGTGGCTTTTATGAAGATTGGGTTGGACCTGCGTGCGTTCACCTAGAGGCACATCCCTAAGGATTATTCAATGAGAAAAGCGAGGTGCAGAGTAACTCAGTCATGCGATGCATTTTCGGAGAAGTGCCGGTCATGACTCCTTCGCCTCCTATGTTCATGTATAATTGATCAGGTCAGGCGTAAGGGAAGAAGCAGAGGGTGACGCTCAGGAAGTTATAACAAGGGCGTGGTCAAAGATTATGAAATTCTTTGTTGGAACGCTTTTACAATAAGCCCATAATACTAAGTCATTCTGAAAACCTATGCAGAAATATTTTACAATTTTACAGTATTTCTGTGCAGTCAGGTGGGTGCGGGACCTTCTTGGAGGCGGGTCGCTGGCCTGGCGTTTTACTATCCAGGCAGAGGAATCGTACTGTCATTTGTTCACCTAACCCTTTGCCGTGCTGTCCCCACGGGACTATTTCCGGTGTGAGTCCTTGGATCGGGCAGTGCGCTTCCTCCGCAGAGTCGACTGGATGCTCCTGTACCAGGGCATGGTGGTGCTGGCCGCCAGCCAGGTGTGGTGGACCTGGGAGGTGGAGGACGTCTTCCGCAAGGTGCAGGAAGGGGAGAAGCAGGCCATGAAGAACTACGGCCGGAAAATGCACCGGCAGATCGACGAGCTGGTGACGCGCATCACGATGCCCTTGACCAAAAACGACAGGAAGAAATACAACACCGTCCTCATCATCGACGTGCACGCCAGAGACATCGTGGACTCCTTCATCAGAGGCAGGTGAGTGCCTCCCAGGCCACCTGCGCTTCACGACGCGCCCTTTGGTGGTTCTCTGGTCCCCGTCGGCCGACCCCCCCACATTTCTCGCCACCCAGCATTCTCGAAGCCCGGGAGTTCGAGTGGGAGAGCCAGCTGCGGTTTTACTGGGACCGAGAGCCCGACGAGCTGAACATCCGGCAGTGCACGGGCACCTTCGGCTACGGCTACGAGTACATGGGCCTGAACGGGCGGCTGGTCATCACGCCCCTCACCGACCGCATCTACCTGACGCTCACCCAGGTGACCGTGGCCTGGCGCTCGCAGCTGCCGAGCTCGTCCCTTGGGGCTGTGCGCTTTCCCCCAGGTGTGACGGGGGCAGTGACTGGAATAGTTAGGGGAGACCAGGAGAAGATGTTCCATTCGGAATGTAACCTGATTGTCACCGTGTGGGACTGGGATGTGAGTGTGCCTGTGAGGGCCATCACTGGGGACCATGGGGTGTCGCCCTCAGGGCAGGCACCGAACAGTCTGCATGGGCTGCTCAGTCCCTGGGTCACTGGTCCCTATATAACGGGGGGTCGGCAGAGGTCAGTGGGAGAATGCGGAGCTGTCAAAGGCGGTGTCATCGGGGCCGAGAACACCATGCTTTTGCACGTTTGTGACAGCTCTTATTCCGATTCCAAGGGAACAGCCTTAGAAGACGGAGACAGTGTCTCCCTCCAGGACAGAGGGCAATGAAAATAATGTCGCTGTCCAGGCAGGGTTGGGGCAGGTGTGCGAGCAATGTCTGTGGCTCAGAGCCCCTGTGGTGCAGGGCGCACCTGGGCCCCTCCCCGCCTCGCCCGGGGGCCCCTCGGGGACGGGTGTGAACAGGAGGCCCACACTGTCTTCCGTGCTAGGGGTAACAAAGTCCTTCGTTTTGGGGGAAGAAAAAAAGGTGTGATCTTACCTGTAGGAGTCAGGGTTCTCCAAAGAAACAGAACCAGTAGGAGACGGTCTGTCTCTGTCTAGATAGTACATATTGTCTTGGTGGGCAGATATCTAGGCAGAGATTTACTACAAGGTGTTGACTGGCTTGATCATAGAGGATTAGTCCCACAGTCGCCGTCTGCAGGTGGGTGGTCGGTGCTGTAGATGGAAGGTCTGACTGTGGAGAACCACTGGGAGCCAGGAGCGCCCAGGGCAGGTGCCGATGTCCCAGCTCAGGCGGCCCTGCCGGGTCAGTCCAACCTGCCTCCATCCTTGTGTTCGAGTCAGCCTTCAATGGGTCAGACGAGGCCGCCCACGCCTGCTTCCTCAGTCCAACCCCCGCAGCACACCCGGGACAACATCTGGCCACCCGTCTGGGCATCCTGTAGGCCTGTCAGGTTGACCCATAGACTTAGTGATCACAGGTCCATATGTATGCACACGCGCACACTCTGCACCTGTTGTCGCAGTAACGAATTGGGAAGTGACACCCGTTTCCTTCTGTGCGTCAGAAAACACGTTTCCCTCTGGCTTGCCGCAGGCCCTGTCCATGTATCTGGGCGGTGCCCCTGCCGGCCCGGCGGGCACCGGCAAGACTGAGACCACCAAGGACCTGGCGAAAGCCCTGGGCTTGCTCTGCGTCGTCACCAACTGCGGCGAAGGCATGGATTACAAAGTAAGGCCTCGTGCTCACCTCCGGCCCTGTCTCGGGGGGCAGAGGGGGTAAAGTGGGACACGGCAGGAAGGCATCTCACCTCACTGTGACGTGGTGACCGACAGCTGCAGGAATGTGCTAGAAAGCCTCTGACCAGAACGGTCCCAGAACCGAAATGTGTGTGCACAAGGATTCCGCTTTGTCAGCAGCGTGTAGAGCAGGTGCCCCAGACCTCCGAGCCTATTGGGGTCGGGTAGCTCATGTAAACCAGTGAAGCAGCCGGCAGAGGCAATAGGGAGTGGCGGGGTCTGTGGCCAAGTGGAGGAGAACAGTGCTCTAAAAGGGGGGTTGCTCTTCAGCTTCCATTAATTATCCCTACTTGGGAAAGAGGTCCCCGCACTGCTAGACTTTACAGCAAATTTCGAGAGAAGCCAGAAGTCTGGCCTTTTACAGGGAAATCTTGATTTGTGAAATCCCGAGTGGGAGCTGGCCCATGAGAGGGGCCTGGAGGTCTTGCCAGAAGGATCCACCCGTGGGTGGCTGGCTGGCTGCTTCTCTGTCAGCCCGACGCTCTACGGTTTGATTTAGAAAGTGTATCCACCAACGCGTGGCCTGCGGTCCTAAAGACGAGCACCGCCCGCCCCGCCGTCTCTCTCCCTGCAGGCCGTGGGGAAGATCTTCTCCGGCCTCGCGCAGTGCGGGGCTTGGGGCTGCTTTGACGAGTTCAACCGGATCGACGCCTCCGTGCTCTCGGTCATCTCGTCTCAGATCCAGACGATCCGGAACGCTCTGATGCATCAGTTAACCACGTTCCAGGTGAGGACAAGCAGGGAGCCCGCCGGGGTCAGCTCCCCAGGGCGGACACTTGCCCGCTGCCTGCGAAGCGCAGGCGGTGTGGAGCCGGCATTCCAGACCAGACTTCCTGGAGACGGTGGGTCAGAGCGCTGTCTTCCAGTGGAGTTGGTTGCGGTTCCCCAAATTATCATCACTGATGATTAAGGGTTTTGGTTTTTTATTGCAAAATATTAAGGGGGTATAAATGTTTGAGGTTACCTGGATCGCTTTTGTAATGCTCGAGTCCTGGCTGGAGGTGTGCCCGTCACCCACATAGTGCTCGCAGTACCCCTTACGTTGGCGTGCTCCCTACCTGCTTGCTGTCCACTGAGGGCCACTTCCCTCTGTGCACAGGTGTGCTCATTGGCTAGGTCCAGTTTAATAGTGCCTACCCGCGGTGTTTGTTCTCCCATTCTTCAGAGATTTGATTAAAGATTTTAATAGTCCAAGGACTTCAAACTAATTCCAGACATATAACTAATAGTTATAGACAGGTAAGACGGTGTTCTCAAATAAGTGATGTGCAGGACCCCCTATAACGGAAAAAAAATATTCTTGGTGACTTCCCAAGTTTGAAAAGACCTGACTTAAAAAGTTAATGTTCTATTTAGTCACATTATCACAATGAACAAGAAATTTTGACTTCATACCTTATAAAGTTATGGCATTATTATGAGTAGGATTTTTAATGTTGTTACCAAAGTGAGAAAGCAAATTGAAAACAAATTTTTGGTCAGCCGGGCATGGTGGCTCACGCCTGTCATGCTAGCACTTTGGGAGGCCAAGGCAGGAGGATTGCTTGAGGCCAGGAGTTCAAGACCAGTTCAAGACCACAAGAGCAAGAGTTTCTACAAAAAAATAGAAAAGCTAGCTGGGCGTGGTGGCACATACCTATAATCTCAACTACTCACTCCTGGAATCCCAGCTCTTTGGGAGGCTGAGGCAGGAGGATCACTTGAGCCCAGGTGTTTGAGGCTACAGTGAGCTATGATCATGCTACTGCACCCCAGCCTGGGTGACAGAGCAAGACTCTGTCTCCATCAATCAATCAAATAAAACAATTTTTTTTTTTTTTGGAATTCACCAATCTCTGTCCAAGGATACGTTTGCAGACTCGAGTTTGAGAGGTCTGCATTAAATTACATCAGATTAAGCTGGATCGGAATTTGGAGAAACACAACCTTAATATATAATTTAGGTAGCCCAGACAGAAGTGGGTCCTTTGACAACACAGGACCAGGGTGACTGGGCTATTTCCCCGCACTGGGGCCCTCCACGGTCCCTATGTGCTCCCTTCCCCGCCCCCACTTCGGTCCTTGCTCCTGCCTGCTCTGCACGCTGGTCACCTCATGCCACTCCCCCTGCAGTCACAGCATACCCTGTGACACCATATTCATCCCTGTCCATCTGGAATTGTCCTTTCTTTCCCTTCACTGGAGAACTCCTACACATCCTCCAGAGCCCCACTGGGGGGTTCAGATTCAAAATTGAGCTTGAGCCCGTGGCCCTGGCATCCCACCTGCTTTCTCTGCAGACCTTGTCAGGGGTCACTGTCAAGAGATTATGTAAACTGAATACTGTTAAATATATTCCGGATCCCAGTAAAGGTTCTGGATACATTTCCGTTTAATTAGTCCCTCTGAAATACGTTAGGGCTCGAGGGGGAGGGAGATGGAACTGGTGATGCCGTGGGTTCCGTGGGTTCCGGGAGCAGCGGGCGTCTGCTCTTCCCGGGGGGCCGTCTGGGCCTCGGGGGACACGGAGGAGGGTGAGGATGGCCCCAGTGGGGACCTGGGAACAAGACAGTGGCTTGTTTTGGGGAGCACCAGCTGCCTGCCGGGCGGCCTTCTTGCCGGCGACGCAGCCCGTGCCCCGTACAAATAGCAAGTCCTGGTGGAGGAAGAGGAGAAATAGAAAAGTTCACCGAGAGGCCATCGGGACTCAACCGTGGCTGCAGAGGCCAAGAATACGGGGCTGTCTGCAGGTCGCGGGTGCCTGGGGCAACTGGGGAGGCAGAGACAGGGGTCCTGAAGGCGGCTCAGCTGGAATTAATGTGGGGAGGGTTGATCGCAGTGAGCGTGGCGCCCACGCGGGGCGGAGACGGGTGGGAAAGATTTCACAAGTGAGAGGAACGGGACCCGGTGCGTGCCCATGCGAGGTGGCCGCCGGGCGTCTCCTATGCTGTCTCGTTCAGTCACCACCACCATGCGGGAAAGGCGTCTGAGACTCAGGGTAAGTGACCTGTCGGGGGTCACACAGCGCCTCGTGCCAGCCCCAAGCTCACGCTTTCCCAGCCTCGGCCACTTCTCCCATGGGGAGACCCTGGGTTCAGATCAGAGTTTGGGGCTCCCCCCTCCCTCCAAGAACACCAGGGCCTTCAGCAAGCGGGGGCGGGTGTTCTGTGTTTAACACCTGGGAAGGGGAGGAGCTAAATGGTGTCCTCTGCCTCCTCCCCTGATAATTGATCTCCAGGCGGCTCGCCCAAGGCCCCCTTGACCCGGGGTGGGCCGGCCGCATGACCCTCCCTGCTTTCTTCCTGTCCTGCAGTTTGAAGGGCAGGAGATCGCGCTGGACTCCCGGATGGGCATCTTCATCACCATGAACCCCGGCTACGCGGGCCGCACGGAGCTGCCCGAGTCGGTGAAGGCCCTGTTCAGGCCGGTGGTGGTGATCGTGCCGGACCTGCAGCAGATCTGCGAGATCATGCTCTTCTCCGAGGGCTTCCTCGGGGCCAAGGTGGGCTCCGCTTCCAGGCCGGGGCGCGGGGCCGGGGACGCTGCGTGGCTCTTCAAGTATTTTTTTGCTTTGTTTCTCTCCCTACCACTTCTTATTAAGCTCTTTTTAAATTCCGGAATAATTAAAGTTGCACAAGGGGTCGCAAGAACAGTAACATACGTGCCCCTTCCCCATGGTGACATCTTACACATCCGTGGTCTGGCCTCAAAACCAGGGAAATGACCTTGGCTGGAATGCCATCACCTCAGCTACTGACTGTAGTTGGATTTCACCAGGTCTCACGCTCTCTCTCTCTCTCTCTGGAGCGTGCATTCAGCTGTGTGACAATTTATCACACGTGCACCCTTCCATCGCCACAAAGAAACTCCCTTATTGTCACCCCTTAATAGTCACACCCTTGCCAAATAACGCCCGCCAGCCGCCCAGCTGTTCCCCAGTCACTAATTGCGTCACTTCCAGAATGGTCTGTGCCTGGAAGCATCGCAGGTGACCCTTGCGAGGGGCGGCTTTCACTCAGCAGAACACCCTTGAGAGTACGCGATTCAAAAAAATTTTTTTGATGACTTTTATTCTCTGCAAAATGTCTGTAAAAGTATGCACATGGATTTTTCCAGAAGGTTGATACAAAACAGAGAATGCTTTTACCATAAAGGGTTGTCATGTTGCTTTCCTGCAATATATATTTTATTGGAAGCCCCTGCTGCCTGTTGTGGGGAATTCGAGGCAGTGGGATGAGCGCTCTTGTTCTGACTTTTTATGGCTGAGATTCCCACGCCTGCCTCAGGGACCAGTGGGCTTTGAATCCTTGGTGCAGCCTGGGTGGCCGACTCATCCTCAAAAATAGTCACACCAGGCCAGGCGCGGTGGCTCACGCCTGTAATCCTAGCACTCTGGGAGGCCGAGGCAGGTGGATTGCTCGAGGTCAGGAGTTCGAAACCAGCCCAAGCAAGAGCGAGACCCCGTCTCTGCTATAAATAGAAAGAAATTTTTGTTTTTTGTTTTTTTTTTTTTTGGTTTTTGAGACAGAGTCTCGTTTGTTGCCCAGGCTAGAGTGAGTGCTGTGGCATCAGCCTAGCTCACAGCAACCTCAAACTCACGGATAGGAAGACGTAAAGTCGAGTGTTTTTGTAGGGCAGGGAAGAGCGGGTTAGCTGATATTGATTAGTGGAAGCTCACAGTCGTAGCAACTAAGGTGCCGAGTACGTTGTAGTTTCGTGTTTGGACTGGCAGACTTAGGTCATCCTGGGCGTCTCTTTACGAGTGCCAGGGTCCAATTATGCTTTTTATATATGATCTTAGTTCATTTCCTCGACGCGCGATGTGGTAGGTACCGGACTGGTCCAGCTCCATGGGGGAAACTGAGCCTAGAGGAGGGGTAAGAACTTGCCCTGGGCCAGGGATTTGGACTGGACTGTGTGCAACTGGATCAAGTGCGCCGACTGTCGGCAGCCGCAAGGAACGGGCAGGTTTCTAGGCAGTGCTGACTGGTTAGGACTTTTCCGCCCTGCGAGGCTGGCTGGCCTGTCATGCTGTGCAGGGCGGTGAGGCCGCATGAAGTGGCTCTGTGGGCCAGCGCCGAAGCCTTCAGTTTGTTTCGTGTGATACCTCCTGGTAAACTCAGGAACAGTCCTGTTTTTATGGTTTAGTCATCCCATTAATATAAATAAAACTTTAAACAAGAGCGAATCAAACTAATGGTTCTAAAAACCTCTTGTGCACTTCTCCATTTCTGGGTCAGTCCAAGATCTCCTTTGAGTTCAGTTGTGCCCTCCTTGGGATCCCTTGCTTTGGCAGTCTCAGATTTCTTTGTCCTTTGGTGCTTGGTGTCTGGAAGTCCAGACCAGCTGTTCACAAACGGTTAGCTTTTTGATTGTCAGGATGCCTTCACCATTTGGTTCAGGCTGGGCCTTTAAAGTGATGACACAGGGAGGAGTGAGCGTGTCCGTCTCGCGTTCGTGAGCAGATATGAGGTTGGTTTGCGCCATATTGTGTTACTTGGTCTGGGTTGGATGTGGTGTCATTCCCTTTTGCAGTTGTGCTGTCTGTAGGGATGCCTGTAACACTGTGAATGTCCTGTTCTTCATCAAAACCTTCACCAGGTTGCTTTTTTTTTTTTTTTTTTTTTTCTGGACAGGGTTCTGTCATGTAGGCGAGTGCGTGGCACAATTCCTAGCACTGCAGCATTCAGTCTAGGCCCAGTGATCTCCCACCTTGCCTCCTCGTAGCTAGGACTACGTGCCCACCATGCTCAGGTTAATTTTTAAATTTTTTGTAGAGAGGGTCTCACTAACATTGCCCAGGCTGGCCTTGAACTCTGGTCGAACTCCTGGCCTCAAGCAATACTCCTGTCTAGCCTCAAATGCTGGGATTAATAGTTGCTTGAATCTGTTTTACAATGCTATAAAATGGGGTCTTTCTATTGGATAACTTGGTGAAATTTGATACGGTGTATCAGATAGTAGTTTGTATCAATGTTAGTTCCTGAATTCATAATTGTGCTTGTGGTTTATAAGAGAAAAGGTGCTTTCTTAGGACATGTGTGCTTATATTTAGGAAAAAGAGTGTTATGTCTGTAACTTGCTCTAAAAACTCGGGAGGACAGGGCATGGCAAGTGTGGCAAAATTTAACCTTGCAGATCTGGTTGAAGGACATATGTATGGGCAGTTCTTTGTACTGTTCCTTGATAACTGTACAGTTTGAAATTATTTAAGAATAGCAATTAAGGTACTGGAAGAAAAAAACAAAACCAAAATGCTAATGCTGCAAAAATTACTTTCTGTCAGTGACTGAATGGAAACAGTATCCAACCCATTGCAACACGGCTGAATGATCGGTCCTCCTTTGGGTGGGCTTCGCTGCGTTCTGTAGCATTCAAGCAGAGTTGAAGCGCCGCAGCTTCACTCTGAGCCCTTGGGGCGAAGTGTACTGCTGCGGGGTGAGGGCATGTGACCGGACCGCAGGTGGCGTAGAGGAGTGAAGTGCGGCGAAAATCGTGCGGCAGTCGCTTCTTGTCCCTGGGTGCAGTGCAAGGCCAGGGGTGGTTAAGTCAACAGACATGTACCCCTCGCAGCTGTGAAGCCAAAGCTCCTAACGTAGGGGTGCGCCGGTCGGCTCCCTCGCAGCTCTAGGGCAGTCTCCGGCCCCGTCCGGATTCTGTGCTCGCTTCCTGGTGCGGGCTGCCCTCGGTCTCCGCCTGTGTCTTCCAACGGCGTTCCGTTGTGTCCAAATCGACCCCTGGCTTTGTTTTTGAGGATCGTTGGCTGGGTTAAGGCCACCGGTCAATCCGGACATTCTCATCTTGACGACCTGTATTAGTTCCCTCGCCAAAGCATTTACCCAAATAAGGTCACAGTCTGTGTGCCAGGGGGCACATCGTGTGGTGACCTGGACCAGCTACACATGCAGGTACAAAGAGACTCCCCCTTTAACTCTACCATGAGGAAACGGGCGGTTAGAACCAATGATAATGGCCGTTATGCCAGCCTCAGCGTCAGAAAAGGAAGAGGTGGGTGCACAGTGACGCTTTGTTCCTGGGCAGCTCCTACTTCAGCTCGTCATTGATTGGTCTAGGCGAAACGCGGGGCCCCCGCATTGGACCTCAGTTTGTCTGAGAAGTGACAACTCCGATATTGTGTGAAGTTCACCGATTCATTATTTTTTCAAAAAAAAAAAGAAAAGGCAAGAGGGATGATTGGATGATTGTGGTGTTTTTACTCGGAAGCGTAGGCTCACCCAGTGCCATTCTGCGGCCTTGCTTGTTTCAGTGGCTGCCCTGTTTTATTTTAAATTTTATATCTTATACTTCACTTTTATGTGTTTCATTTTAGATTTTTATTTTCATATATAAAACATTTTTAATTTTGAAAAATATGAAATTTTACATTTAACATAAATTTCGTTTTATAAAGTTTTATAGTCTACATACAATTTTTTAATAAAACTTTTATATATAATTTTAACATAAAAGTTAAAAGCGTATATAATTTCTCTATTTACTATCAATTTATGTACCAAATATGTGTCATAATTTTTAAAATACATAAAGCTTCGCTTTACACCGTGTAAGAGGGTTCCCAGGCTGGAGCCTGGCAACCCCGTGTCTCGCTCCCCCCAGGACGTGGTGCTGATGAGGGCCCTCCGGGACATGAACCTGCCCAAGTTCGTGTTTGAGGACGTGCCTCTCTTCCTCGGCCTGATTTCCGACCTGTTCCCGGGGCTCGACTGCCCGCGGGTCCGCTACCCCGACTTCAACGACGCCGTGGAGCACGTGCTGGAGGAGAACGGCTACGTGGTGCTGCCCGTGCAGGTGGGGGCGATAAAGATGTCTCGGACTGATGGTGGCCGCAGTTGCACAGCCCTGTAGCTGTGCTGGAAGCCACTGACCTGTACACTCCACATGGCGAACCGTGCGCTAGGTGAACTGTATCTCAACAAAACTGTGTGTGTGTGTGTGTGTGTTTTTTTTTTTTTAAAGATGAGTTTTAACCCAGCTGCCGATGCTTGTCCCGCAGGTGGATAAAGTGGTTCAGATGTTCGAGACCATGCTGACCCGCCACACGACAATGGTGGTGGGGCCCACGGGCGGGGGCAAGTCCGTGGTCATTAACACCCTGTGTCAGGCCCAGACCAGGTGAGTGTGGCCCCGTGTCGGGGCCCGGTTGCTGCCCGGTGGTTCACGGGAGACGTTTGGTGGCCGCATTCCCACGTCCCACTGTGCTCTCTGATTTCCTGGGAGGGTGAACTTGTCCTAAACACCCTCGTAACACTCAGAGTGTCTTTGCTTGTTTCACTGCTGAGTTAGTTAGCAGATTTTAGAAAGCAAAAGAGCAACCCTTTGGTGTGTCAGATGGTGTTAGGTTGGTTTGTGAAATGAGAATTTCACAAACTACCTTGTAAGGATATTTTGAAATGAATGTAAGTCACATTTGGTGTCCAGAGTGCTTCTTTACAGTCAAGGCCACCCTGTGCAACGCCACCGTGGTATCAAAGTGGCCAGAAAATGTCCCCTCCTTAGACTGTCTATTATCATGGGCCCTGCAGGGGCAATTCTGCCTGAAGGAGGAAGTGACCTCACATACCAGTGTGGACTAGCAGAGCCCTACAGGGGACGGACAGCCTGTGCCGAAAGTGGGTGTCCTGACCTCCCCTACGCAGCGACTAGATTCCAGACATGCTTCAGCGGTTGCCGGCAGCCCAGCAAAGTTCTAAATCAAGCCTTATCATTTTTGTGGCTTTCACATTTCTAGGTAGTCTATACAGTCTAATGAGTGACTGTCATTTCTTCTTAGTTCTTCAAATGTTTCACGTGAGAAAACCAGTGGGCGGTGGCCTTCTGCCCTTAAGTGGGCTGTGCTCAGTCATCCTGCATTTCATTACTTAATTCATTTATAGATAATTTACACAGCTATCACATACATATGTGTGTATATGCAGTATGATATGCATATTATTATTTCTTTGTTAATTATGAACTGTGGTTTTGCGTGACGTTTAGTTTTCTTTAGGTGAGTTGATGACGTGGTTAGTGTTGCGGGATTTCCAGGCATCAGGGTGGGAGCACACTGTCTCCCCGATTCGTGACATCGGCAACACCAAGCAGATCCCGCCCTGTGAATAAAGGGGATGGGATGTTCACAGTTCAAAGGCTTGTGATGTCATCCGGGATGACTGAGTATTGTCTCTTACACACCATTAATTATGGAATATTTACATAAGTGTCATATATGTGAATATGTATGAATATGAAATATACTTGAAAGTTAGCTGCTTGGCGTCCTTCACAGGCAAAGCTGTGTTTGCATTTGTGTTGGGGCCACATTGTTGGTGAAACGTGGTCCTGTACATTTAGTGTAAACCACGAACAGCGAAGGGGAGGCCTGGTGGAGAGTTCGTGTGGATTGTGTTTTAAATTTTGGGCTGGATCCGGAACATCTAATTCCTCGCATAGGCAGCCCAGGCTGATTTGCTGATGTATTTGGTTTGCCCAAACCGTGGCTGAAGACTCTCTTTGTTCTAGGCTTGGGATAACGACCAAGTTGTACATCCTGAACCCCAAAGCTGTGAGCGTCATAGAGCTCTATGGCATCCTGGACCCCACCACCCGCGACTGGACCGATGGGGTGTTGTCGAACATCTTCAGGGAAATCAACAGGCCGACGGATAAGAAGGAGCGAAAGTGAGTGTTTTTGTAGGCAGGTAAGAGCCAGGGTTAGCTGATATTGATTAGTGAAGCATCACAGATCGTAGCAACACTAAGTGCACGAGTACGTTGTAGTTTCGTGTTTGGACCCGAGCAGACTTAGAGTCCCATCCTGGGGTCTCCTCTTACGAAGTGCCAGGGTACCAACTTAGTGCTTTTTATATATGATCTTAGTTCATTCTCCTCGACAGCGCAATGTGGTAGGTACCAGGACTGTCCCCAGCTCCCATGGGGGAAACTGAGGCCTAGAGGAAGGAGGTAAGAAACTTGCCCTGAGGCCAGGGATTTGGACCTGGACTGTGTGACTTTGAGCACTCAAGTGCAGCCAGACTGTCGGCAGGCCAGCGAAGGAACGGCAGGTCCTAGGCAGTGCTGGGACCTGGGTCAGGTCTTTTCCCGCCTGCGAGGCTGCTGGCCCTGTCACCTGCTGTGCAGGGCGTTGAGGCCCAGCATGGAAGTGCTCTGTGGGCACAGCGCCGAAAAGCCTTCAGTTGTTCCTGTGATACCTCCTGGTAAACTCAGGAACAGTCCTGATTTTATGTTCTAGTCAAATCCCATTAATAATAAATAAAACCTTTAACAAGAGCCTGAATCCCAACTAATGGCTTCTAAAACAACCTCTTTGTAGCACTTCTCCCAATTCTGGGTCAGTCCAAGATCTCACTTTGAGTTCAGTTGTGCCTCTTTGGGATCCCTTGCTTTGGAGCAGGTCCTCAGGATTTCTTTGTTCTTTGTGACCTTGGTGTTCTGGAAGACTCCAGACCAGCTGTTTCACAGAACGGTCTCAGCTTTTGATTGTCAGATGCTTCACCATTTGGTTCAGGCTGGGCCCCTTTAACAGGAATGACACAGGAGGAGTGATGCTGTGTCCGTCTCAGCAGTTCGTTGGAGACAGATATGAGGTTGGTTTGCGCCATTATTGGTGGTTTTAACTTGGTCATTGGGTTGAGATGTCGTGTCATTTCCCCTTTTGCAGTTGATGCTGTCTGTAGGGAGATGCCCTGTGACCATGTGAATGTCCTGTTCTTCATCAAACCTTCACCCAGGGATTTGAGCTTTTTTTTTTTTTTTTTTGCGACAGGGTCTCTGTCATGTAGGCTGAAGTGCAGTGGCACAATTCATAGCTCACTGCAGCATCAAAGTCCTAGGCCCAAGTGATCCTCCCACCTTAGCCTCCTACGTAGCTGAGACTACAACCGTGCACCACCATGCCCAGCTAATTTTTAAATTTTTTGTAGAGACGGCGTCTCACTACATTGCCCAGGCTGGCCTTGAACTCCTGGCCTCGAACTCCTGGCCTCAAGCAATCCTCCTGTCTCAGCCTCCCAAAGTGCTGGGATTAATAGTTGCTTGAATCTTGTCTTCTTACAATGACTATAAAATGGAGTCTTTCTATTGGGATAATTGGTGAAATTTGAATACGGACTGTGTATCAGATAGTAGTATTGTATCAATGTTAAGTTTCCTGAATTTCATAATTGTGCTGTGGTTATATAAGAGAAAGGTGCTTGTTCTTAGGACATGTGTGCTTAAGTATTTAGAAAAAGAGGGTGTTATGTCTGTAACTGACTCTAAAAACTCAGGGAGACAGAGCATGAATGTGGCAAAAAAAATTTAACAATTGCAGAATCTGGTTGAAGGACATATGTATGGGCAGTTCTTTGTACTGTTCTTGTAACTGTACAAGTTTGAAATTATTTAAGAATAAAAAGTTAAGGAAATACTGGAAGAAAAAAAAACAAAACCAAAATGCTAATGCTGCAAAAAAATCTAACTTTCTATCAGTGACTGAAATGGAAACAGTATCCAACCCCATTGCAACACGGTAGAATGATCGAGTCCATCCTTTGGAGCTGGGCTTCGCTGCGGTGTAGCCATTCCAGCCAGAGTTGAAGCGCCCCGCAGCTTCACTCCTGAGGCCTTGGGGCCGAAGTGGACCTGCTGCGGGGATGGAGGGCATGTGACCCCGGGACCCCGCAGGTGGCGTAGAGGAGTGAAGTGGGCGAAATCGTGCGGCAGATCCGCTTCTTGTCCCTTGGGGCTGCGGTGACAAGGGACCAGGGGTGGCTTAAGTCAACAGAAATGTACCCCCTCGCAGCTGTGAAGGCCAAAAGCCTAACGTAGGGGTGCCGGCAGGTCCGAGCTCCCTCTGCAGCCTCTAGGGGCAGGTCCTCCCCGGCCCGTCCGGCTTCTGTGGCCCTGCGCGTTCCTGGGCTGCGGCTGCGCCGCTCCGGTCTCCGCCTCCGTCTTCACACGGCCGTCTCCGTGTGTCCCAAATCGCCCCCTGCTTTGCTCTTTTGAGGACGTTCGTTGCTGGGTTAAGGCCCACCCGTACAATCCGGAACATCTCATCTTGAGACCTGTAACTTAGTTCCCTCCGCAAAGGCATTTTCCCCAAATAAGGTCACAGTCTGTGCTGCCGGGGGGACACATCCGTGGTGGGGTGACCCTGTGACCCGCTACACATGCAGGTACAAGAGACTCCCCCTTTAACTCTACCATGAGGAAACCGGGGGTTAGAACCAATGATAAATAGCAGTTCATGCCAGCCTCAGCGTCAGAAAAGGAAGAGGGTGGGGGTGCACAGTGACGCTTTGTCTCCGTGGGCAGCTCCTACTCAGCCTCGTCAATTGATTGGTCCTAGGCAGAAACGCGGGGCCCCGCATTCGGACCTCCCAGTTTGTCTGAGAAGTGACAACTCCAGATATTTGTGTGAAGTTCACCGATTCATTATTATTATTTTTTTTTTTTCACCCCACCTGGCGCCTTCTGAGACACCCCAACACCTGGGTCACTTTGGGAATATGTCATGGGTTCCTGGGTGTAATTGAGCCCCAGCCCCACAAGACTGTCACTCCATCTCTGCTCCTTTCAAAGAACTTTGTTAAGCACATTCGCCGCCACTATTTTTGTAAATAAAGTTTATTGGTACACAGCCATGTCCCTTTGTGCACATATTGTCTCTGGCTGCTTTCGTGTTACAAGACAGGCTGAGTACTTGCAAAAGAAAGCATATGGCCACAAAGCCTAAATTTATTATACTGTCTACCCCATTCACAGAAAACTTTGCGAGCCCTCGTTAGACATCAGAATCATCACCTATCCCACGGGCTGTGAACCGTCTAAGTTTAACAAGCGTGTCTGCCGTGCTTCCGTGCGATTTGTGCTCAAGAAGGGGCAGGTGAGGGCAAGGTCATGGCCTTCAACTGCAAACATCCCTCGGCTACGCTGTCCTAACGGCCAGCCACCACTAATAGCCAAGTCATTTTGGAAATATTAACCTTGTTTTGTATTCATTAACCATTTTCCAGTATGGTTCATATTTCAAGTTTTAGGATCCACATAACATCCCACATCGAGAGACAGTTGCAGGGGAGGCGTACTGCAAATCTCAACCTGGAGAATAAAGAAAATAGTCACGTCACAGCTACAGACAAGACAGATTAGATATTTATTAAGGGCCTTTTCCTTTGCAAAGTTTCCACAACTGCATATGACCCAGGTCCTATCAAAATTAACAGAGCTTCACGAGTTTTTGCTTCAACACCTAGGTTTACGATGGGAGATTATACATCTGTGATGTGACACCTTTTTAAGTCTTCTCTTACTATAAAATTAATGTGAAAATGGGTATGTTGGAGAGTATCTGACTAAAATAAAGAAAATAAGTTACTTAAATCCACCGCCCAGAGACAGATATATGTGGAGTGTTTTCTTTCAGTCTTTTGCTTGTTGTTTTTTTAACATAGTTCAGTCAGGTTGTATAAAACTCAGTAAGTGCATAGCTAAATCAGCAATATTACACACCTATCTCTTCCTAGGAAAGACGACGTAGTTCAGTCTGCTAATCAGATAAAGAGATGTGCAAATACTCGTGCACTGACAGATCTTGCAAGCCAGTATAGACATGCACCAATACTGAGTTAGAGTGAAAGCAAGTCCAGGCCCACAGCCGTGAAACACGCCGCCCACAACAAGCAGAGGGAGGGCCTTAGAGAGTAGTCCCAGGAAAAAAGGACTCAACAGAATACTCGAGTGACAGAAAGTTTGAAAAGAAATGAGGATGACTAAAACAACGGGGGGGGGGGCAGGGCAGCAGTCAACACTCCGGATAAACACGATGCTCTAAAAGAAAGTAAAGGTGATCACAATGGACTGCTCAGCTCGGCAGTAAATATTTCTATCTTCTTAATAATGTCAAACTGTTTGCTGTTAACCAGCTCAACAATATGCTGTCCTGAGGAGGGGAGGTGGAGGGGCATGAGCGATGACTTCTCACTTTCGTAGCAGCCAGTCAATAGATGATTATGAGCTATAAATGTATAAAGGAAGAGACAGCATGCTGAGCATGTTACTTACAGATGCTACGGTAATCATCAGGAAAAACAACTCAAAAATAAGTAAATAATCACATCTGGATGGAGTAAAGAGGAATGAGGGGAGTAGATAAAGAACAAAGAGTTGTACTCATCATAAACTCTCGTGCATGTTTTTTTACGGTCGTCTATTTATATACTTCGATAAAACATTCGGATTTTTACTTAAAAGCAAGACGCATGTTCGAAATCACTTTCCGTCCACTTGCCTCAAAGAGCAGGGCCAGTGCGCTTGAAGCCGAATGCGCTCCCCGTTGGCCAAGTCAACACTGTTGTCGTCCATCACAGAATCTCATGTTTTCCACCCACAGGGCGTCACGTCACCATCAAACAAAATGTACCTGCGGCAGCCACAGAAGTTTCCAGTTACGCACACAGGTGTAACCTGCCCACATGCACTGAACATCTTTTCTGGGTTTTCTTGCCAGGATCAGGGACAGAGCACCCTGCTTGGTCCAGACGTTTGACCGACAGGGAACACAAAAACTGCGTTAGTGCCAACATTTAAGAATCAGGGGCTGGCGTGGTGGCTCACGCTGTAATCCTAGCACTCTGGGAGGCCCAGGCGGGAGGATCGCTGAGGTCAGGAGTTCGAGACAGCCTGAGCAAGACGAGACCCTGTCTCTACTGTAAATAGAAGAAATTAGCCGAACAACTAAAAATATAGAAAAATTAGCTGGGCATGGTGGCGCATGCCTGTAGTCCCAGCTACTCGAGGCTGAGGCAGGAGGATTGCTTGAGCCCAGGAGTTTGAGGTTGCTGTGAGCTGAGCTGATGCACAGCACTCTAGCCCGGGAACAGAGTGAGACTCTGCCTCC